CTAGTCCAAATACTGATATGCCTATTCCTATGTGATTGATTTTGATAACGTCTAACTATTTACATTCTGGAGGATGGACCTCTATTTAGATTTTATAGACAATAATAGTTCTTTTTTTTCTTTACTCTTTTTCTTTTTCTCTTCAGTTCGCGTACAATGCTAGTAATGCCTAGTGTTGTAGGTTTCAATAATAGGCAGTACGATCCCTTCTTAGAGGGGGTTGGGTTTATATAGGTACAGTGTTAGGGTAGTAGTTTCCTTTTGTAAGGACTCAGCCCACAAACTTGTATGCTCCCATCATTGTCTACATTTTAAAAATAAAAATAAATGTATAAATTATATGTTGCATGAGCAAGCCTCATCACTTTAACTAAAATAATAAATAATTGCCTCTATCTCTATAGCTTTAATATCTTCAATTCATTTCATATATAAGCACTATCACTTAACTCGGTACTCCATTCCTGCTATAGAAATTAGACTGCTTGATTTTACTACGTTGATTATCACATTGTTTGCGAGTAATATATAAAGTATATGGTACGATATGATATAATAAGTAAGGTATTATTAATTATGTACAGGTACGATGGGTACGATACCAAGCGTACCAAAATCACATGAATAACCTTTGGGTATAATTAATCATGTCCACTATAGTACTTACCAATGAAAATGCTGACAAAATGAATAATTTCCCTTAACTTTTTAATGGTAAGTCTTAAAAATTAAATTAAAAAAAAAAAATATTATAGGTATTATATTTTATTAGGTGACTTCGTACCGTACAGTACCTGTAAGTTTAGTTGTATTATATAATATATACATCCAGAGAAACAAGTACAAATGGAGAAAGCATACCAGTTAAAGTTTCATATCTAAAAAACAATAAGGCACAATACTGTAAGAAATAAACAAGAACATAACGTAACCTATTAAATAATACCTATTATTTGCTACACCATAAATTCTAATAAAGGTGGTTTAATTTCCTTAAGAGTATTTTTCGATTGAAAGCAAGATAAATATTCATGCTCATCTATTGCGTGAAATTTCTGTAGAGCTCACTGTATATTACAGGGGAATATTTTAGTTCAAAAATTCAACTTATTTTTTTAAATTTTTTATATATATAAAGTTTCGATTTTTTGAAACTTTTTTATGCATGAAGTTTCGAATCGAAAATGTCAATGTTGCTGTAATGGGAAACTGTTGTCTTGTGAAATTTCTACCTTGTAAATTCATTGCTATGTCGTATACGTTATTAACTTTACTACAAAATGCGGGAAAAAAAGTTAAAAAAAGCGAGTAAAATCTCGAAACTTTTTATTTTTATTTTTTTTTAAAGGAAGCGTTGACTGACCAACATTTCTTTATTTTTTTTGTAGGTTTCTTCCAATTTCATACGGAATTGTAAGTGCTGGTAAGTTTTGTAACTTTGAAACTTTTTTTCTAACTTTTATTTAAAGAAACATAAACTAATGTTTCTTTCCTTTTGTATCTTTTTGTAGTTTTGGACTTTGAGTGAATTAGGAGACGGTAAGTTTCACAATATCTATGTGAAACTTTCTTTATTTTTATTAATTAGAAATGTTCACTATTAAACGTTTCCCATTTTTTTTTAGATTACACTGGAAACGTAAATTCTGTAATATGCCGTTAAGAAACAAAAAAAAATTTTATTATAAACGTTAATATGCCGTTAAGAAACAAAAAAAATTTTTATTATAAACGTTTGCTAATGTTTCTATATACTTTCTTTTAGATTTCAGGTCCAGAACACATTGGAGACACCGGAGTACATTATCCCTATTGAATAAAAAATAGACTATATGTGAAAAATTCTAGTAATTTATTTCTCCTGATTATTACAAAACAGATGATCACTACAATGGTACAAACAGGAAGACACTATGGAAAACTGAAAAAAAGAAGATACAAAACTAATTAGTAAGAAAATCACCTCCAAGAATTGAACTTGGACACAGATATTGTGGAACCAACGGTGATGGATTATTGTTGAGTTGATAAGTTATTAAGGAAAGAACTCAACAAAGGAATGAAATAAAGGATATCACATGTGAAGAAGGAAATCACATGAGATAGATCAAATGATCAAGAAAGGTAAATTTTACAAGACAAAGGATCTCTCTGACACCAATTAGCATAGTGCAATGCTTCAAGGGCGATGCAAACGATCCCCTTGTAAAATTTATCTATCTAAGAATAATCAAATGATCAAAAAAGGGTAAATTTTTACAAGACAAAGGATCTCTCTGACACCAATCAGCTCAGTGCAATGCTTCATGGGCGATGCAAACGATCCCCTTTTAAAAATTATCTATCTAAGAATGGTCAAGTATTCCCGAGTTGACCAAAGGGTAAAGATTACGTCTCCATGCTATATTTGGTAAGCAATGGACCTAGCTACGTAATATAAAATTATTTAATTAAATAATGTCTAAATTATTGGGAATTATTAAGGGTATTTTTTAAATCAACTATCAAATCAATTTTACGTTTGTAAAAAGAAAGTGAAGATAAAAGAAATAATACTATAGAATGAGTCAACTCATAAAGAAAATCAAGAAAATAAATAAGAGAATCAAGAAATAAAAGAAGAATTGATATAACAGGAGAATATTGTAATAATAATGAAAGTTTTGAAATAAGAAAATGTTTAAAAAGAGAGAGATTTGATAGTAGATTTGATGGATGAAATGGTTGGAGGAGAAGAGAGAGATTTGAGAGAGAGAGATTCAAGGAAAGGAAAAAGAATATTTTAATGACAGATTTTATCAAAACAAGGATTAAAATGAGTGTATAGTTAAGTAGATTTGTAGATATCAATAAAATAGCAAAAAGAATGTATAGGTAAGTTATGAATAATGACAAGTATTGGAAGTTAGATGACCCAGATTGGAGATAATAATGATAGCATTTGTCAATTGGAATATTGTTAAAGGGAGTATTGAAATTTGGGCACATTTGGTATGACATTTTGAATTATAAAAAATTTAATTTGAAAAATTTGAAAATTTGATTTTGTAATAATTTGAAAAGAAAATTTGATAATATTTGAAAAAGATAAAATTTGAAAAAGATTTTGAATTTTCTCAAGGAAAAATTTAAGGGTATATATATATTTTTAAAAATCTTTTGAATACATAGTGACTAATAGTAACTTATTAAAAAAAAAATTTAGATCATATATGAGTCACATCTATTATATCAATTAATTTATAGTTATTTAACCTAAACTAAGCTTAATGATGACTAATAATGTATAATTGTGGATTATAATGCATAGTCAATATGATTTATTCCCTTATTGGAATTTACTGTACTATAACACTTATCAAACCAGTAGTGATTTCTGAAGATGATTAATTTAAAATAAAAAAATTCTTTTTGATTATAGTATTTGGAATAATATGGAAAACGCAATTAGTCATTACATGTTTCTTATCTTGGTAAATTAAAAGGTTTTAAAAGTACTGCCTCTCTCGGCGTATTCATAGAGACCAATTCAAAAACAACTGATAAAATATCAGTTTTTATGATTCTATCTACTTATAATCATGAGATCGGTAAAAATTTAGATCTCTAATTGTGGCTTATCGGCTTATCAACATTTATCTAAATTCGTCCAACAAAATCTGGTATATATTTATTTATGCGATAGTATATTTTGTATATACAATGACTCATTACAGCACTACAGCACTGCGCCTTTGATATCATAGTTACCGATCAATTTATCTCTTGTCATCGGTCGCGTAACATTTTAAGGAATTTCATGTGCGATTATATATAAATGGTTAACGGATGCTATGAAATGTGTATTAAACATATACAATTTATTTAAATTTAAATAGTTATCTTTTATACAGGATAAATATTTTTTATATGGGCTTTTAGTAACCTTATCAAAGAAAAACCTAGACATCGTTAAGAAAATTTGAAACTATGACTCAGATGCGTGATTACAGATTAATGTTGATTGGATAAATGTTTTCAGAAATGTTTAGTGTAATAGGTATACATTAAATATATACTGTACGATATAGACGCAACCGCTACCTAAAAAATAAAACAGCCGATCATGAACGTGAAAATCGAAAGTTAGAAACAAAGTTCAAAAAAAGTAATAATGCAGATAAAACATTTTGGATACAACATTAAACCTAGCGGGTAGGGAATTTGATTATATGTAATGTATATATATATTTCATAAATGGTTGTTGAATAATTAACTACGAGCTGTGAGTTACAATTATGAAAAAATTTTTTCAATAGAAATCAGCTAACGTCACAATCACATGTGGGTGCCTAGATTCTCATTAGGCGGCGAACATAAACTTTTTTTTCATCACCTTTTATAATATTTCCTTGGTTTCTTTAGAATATAATTTAATTAATTATGTTTAATACCTTTAAAGATGGATTACTATATCTTTAGAATTAATTTAATTAATTATATTATTAATTATGTTTCATACCTTTTAAATATGAATTACTGTATTAATTAGTACAACCATTGTGCTATAATTTATTGTTTATTACAAACAGTACTTCGTATTTTGAAAAATTGTCGTTTCATTTTCATAATTACTCATGTTGAAATAATTCTAATACTTTGAGAAATTTCACATTATTTTCAACTGATCAATATTTCGTTAGTATATTGATTATAGAAGCATTGATTTATTGCCATTGAAGAATCTTGGCCCAAAAATCTTCGCCCAGAAATTTCAAGGAATTCCTCTGATTAAATAATTTTTATTTTTATGACGCAGAAGATACAAAGTTGCAGTACAAATTATAAGGACAAAATATACATTAAGCCGAGAATAATTCTAACACTAACAACCAAATTGCGACCCTAAGGAGACGATGATCCCTGACCTTAAAGAAGAGCGAGAAACGAGAGGGATCCAAGATCACTCCCGGGACTCACCCGCCAAGGGGATAAATTATTCACACTGTTACATAAAATATTATCCAATAAAGTAACTATTTCCTATAAAATTATAATGTAAAGTATGACAAACATCTATATTATCAAACCAAATATTATCTCTATGAGATTCCCAAGAACCCGAATGTAAAAAATTGTTTGATGTCCACTTAATATGAGCCGTATCGTCGTATAAACCACCAATGCGGCCATAGGGGATTAAAGGAGTATGACTCTGTGTAGCACACGTGTGTTTTTGACGAGTAACTTCATTCAAAGCGCAATGAGTGGTTTGTCGTCGTTTGTAAAACTTCTTTTTAACCTTTGTAATGTTTAAAGATTTTCCCATTCTTTAAAGAGTTTACTACGTTGATTCCAAATACTAGAATTAACATCGTCCATGATTCATGAATTCTTAGCGTTGTTTCTTCTTAGGAATATAATTATCAAAAATGATTGTGAGATCAGCAGGGATCAAATGGTGAATTATAAGGTAAAAAGGATGATTTTTTGGTAAAATTTCTCCAAAATCTTTGTTAAAAAATCTTGAACTGCGGATAGTATCCACTAATCCTTAATATTGACGCCTACCGCGTCTTCAATGATATTAATTAAAGTGATCTCGTGGTGTGTCAGTATATCTATGATGTTTTCTTTATGAGTTATACATAGGCCGACGTGTTCATTAGTATCTTTTTCGATGTTGCAATTAATGCATGGAATATTTCCTGAGGGATATAAGCGCGGATAATTTCTTTGTTGGATATCCGCAGTGGGATATATAAAGTTACATTTCTTGATTTAGAGCCTTGTATCCTGGACAATTTAGCGTCTGGAGAGTCTAAGGGATTAGAGTTGATCCATTCATGAATGAAGGTCCAATCAATGTCTCCGTTGATGATTTGTTCTTTGATAGGTGACAAAGAGGAATTATTAATCAAAGAATTAAAGATTTGAGGGTTAATGACGTTGTTTGACCATTTTCTAACGTTACGATCAATAACGTATATGTTGTTCCATTTGATGAGTCCTAGACTAATATGATGAAAGAAACGGTGGTTAATTATGAATAGGATCTTTGATATATGATCCCGCGTTCGCTAATCCATCTTGTTCTTCTGATTAAATAAAATTTAAAAACAAGGATACTCTGCAAATCACGTGTTAGGCAGTGATTATTCCAATGTGTAATGTTGTATATTAAATTACTCATAAACAACAAAATACTTATACAAAAAAAGTTGCGAATTACAAATTTGGATATTATGTTGCGTGTAGTATTACATCAATTCCTTTTTTTTGTTTTCTTTTCATGTCTCCTCTAGGAGATTCCTCCTTCCTCTTTTGGCAAACGAGTAGCAGCAAAGAGATTGGATCGTACGCAACAATTTTTGATTCGGGAGTGGCCCTTTAGGATATATTTTATTTGAATGTTACAAACTGCGAAAGAATTTCTTTTGGTAAGTTGTTCCTAACAGCTTACATATCTATGATAATTGTCTTTCTATAGTTCCATCATGCCGTACGTAGGAGGAAATAACGGATGGAGTTTCCTTTTTGTCCGGCTTGTCCATGTAAGCCCAGATACGTCGGTCCGCCTGCGTACTGTGGTTGCCCGGATAGGTAGTTGAACATATATAAATTCGAAAAATATTTACTATCTTTTTATAATTTCATTAATTTCTCATAATTTTCCTAATTTTTTATTAATTTTCATTTTTTTTTTTTCTTTTCTTATTTCATTCTTATTTTCATTATTTTTTTATTTGTTGTTTTTTTNTTTTTTTTTTTTTTTTTTTTTTTTTTTTTTTTTTTTTGTTAATTTTCTCATTTTTGTTTCTTTTATTCATCTTCATTGCTTATTTTTATTTTTTTTCGATATATGTATATATATATATAGATATTTTGATATATTTTTGTTACTTTTTACTATTTTATGAACAAAAATCTAAGAATAGAATAGATTAGCTTACCAAGGGAACGAACGGAGGAATTATGGAGTCATTAAGGAGAAACTGGCTTTCCTGGAGGAGGGTTAGCCTATGCACCTGGCTCCTATCATAGAATAATTAGTATTTTTTTTATTAAATCAATACTAAGATCTTTTTTATTTTATAGTATCTCCCATGTTCTTGAAATTAGGATGAACATGAGATGCGCGGTAATATGAACAAGAAAGTTAGAATCAAGCAATACAAAGTGAAGATGTTTAATATCACTCAATTTGACAAATCTACGAAGAGATATAGAATTCATAGACAAATACGCGATACTAGGGATTGGAATCGATTAAATCGTAAATCGAAACCCAAGAATCAATTTAGGAATCGATTAATCGTTTCTCAGTAATTTTACAAAAAAATATTTTTAAACATTTTCGTGATGCAACGCTTTCGATGATCCCGGCGGCACAAAATTTTAGGTGGATCTTAACTAAATACTAAAATAATCTTTATTGTAAAATTTGAAAATTTTTGATTAAAAAGTAAAATGATTTTATTTTTGCATTGAATAAAAACCCTGAAAATTTATTAGCTAAAGTAATTATCGTATAAAAAGTCAAAATTTGTTATCATTATAATAAAAAATATATGCGTAGACATTTTTGGCCCGCATTATAGAATTATATTTAATTCCGGCCAAAAGATGATACAGGCCCCTGAAAAATAAATTATCAATCAATAAAAAAATTTTTTTTTTAATTAATTAAACATTAGCCACAATTAACTTGATTGGATAATGTTTGATTAAATTCTCGATTGTCTAATTGCTCAATATCCAATTATTATTATGCAGCCAAATAGGATCATGATGTTTTTAACATACTGAATTACTGATATTTTTTATTATTGCGTAAATATCTTTGATATTTTTGACGCATTACGTCATATATAATAGTTATTGGGTAGGGGGGGTTGAAATATCACCGAACTGCGAAGCAGTTCGGATGATATTTTAACCCCCCTACCTAATAACTGTGTTATTATGTAATATATATAATCTAATAAATATATAATACTTGGATAACACCTATTACCTTTGTAAATCATACATGCGAGTTTTTCAACCTTTGCGAAATAGAAAGTTTCCAATAATAAATTATTACATCAATCTTGAATGATCAATTCACATAAAATATTTATAAAATTTTTCGATACAACAAATTGGAATGATTTCACTGCTTAATCACATGATATTATCGAACACAGTAAAATTGTTCCTAATTTTTCCCGATTTAGAGCAGACCGCATTACTATAATTTTGGCCAACATTACATATCACGTGCACTCGAGAGTCTCAGGCTAGAGTCACACGAGAGCGAGCATTTTCAACTTAGTCAAAATTGTATTCAATTAGAACAATACTATCTAGGGCTGGTTACGGTGCTCGGTAACATGTTACCAGACACTATACAGGACTATAAAAATTACACTTTTTACCAATATCTTCAATTTTAAATGATCAGAATGAGATAATTTAGACGTTACCTTTTAAAATAATTCATTGAATGAATGCAAATTGGAAAGTTCTTACCATATTGAGCCTATTTTTAGTAAGAAAATCGCATTATTTATGAAACACTATGAAATAATTGTAATACACTAAATTTTCGTTAAATTCTCAACAATCACAATTTATAATATTAATCGCAATCATGTACCGCAAAAGATAAAAGTTTAACCGGTTATTCAACCAGTAAAGCCAAGTACTCCTGATTTCTAAATTAGTAGTTCGGTACAGGACGGTGTAGCGCTACACAGTATTATTATAAACTTGATTTTACTCGTTCAAAGGAAAAACTTTTGCACTATATGTCCAGGCATTTCGCCTCCACTTTCAAATTTTTTCTTTTGAATAATGTTTGGATTTTCTTTGTATGTATGCATGCGTTATTATTCAAAAGAGATTAGTTGTTCTTTTTTTTGAATCCGTGCCACAATTCTGCCTGCATTATTTACGATGGACGAATCACCAATCATTACATTTAGTTTAATATTAAAAGTATTAAAAGTTTAAGGTTATCAAATATTGCTGCGTCATGACGTAGTTGCTGTATAACTGATAATCTCGGCCTTCCTAATTATATAGATGACTTTGAGTCGATCTACAAACTTTATTAATCGGGAATCGATAATAAAAAAGAAATTTTTGATATTTTTTGCAATCTTACGGCAAAATTAAAATGACTAATTTATTTTTAATCTCGGCCGATGATCAAAAGTTAGGCCGAAATTACATGAGCCTTGTGACCATCGTCATAAATTACACAATATACTATAAACGGGTTCATTATTTATAATTTATTTCCAATTGTTTACATGTATATTCCTGAGCTCAAAATAATATTTCTTTTTAGTAAATAATCTTTATTCATTGTTATTTTGAAACACAATTAATTATACCAGTACTTACAAATTTGTGATAATTATATAGGTACAATATATAAATATATAAGAATTTCATACAAAGTATTCTTTTTTAAAACATGCATTGAAAAAAAAAAAGAAAAACAAAATAAAAAATTGAAACGAGTTAATTTTTTTTTTAAAACACGGTGCGTTCGGTGCTCCCTAATAATTGCTTGGCTTTTTTTTTTATGCATTCTTATATATTTTATTGTTGTCAGGGGATATTTTTTTTTTGGGAAGGGGGAATTCCTCACTCGAAAAAAATATGGTAAACGAATTCCGAATTTATTTTTTTAAATGATTTAGTATGAAAAAGTGCTAAAACTTCACTTTCCCGATTGAGATGACGATCACTCTTATTTCCCAGAAAGAACAATAAGATAGATTTTCAACAAAAAAAAAAATGATAAAAAAAATTACATTATATATATATATATGTATATATTTATATATATGTCGTGCATATAAATTATTTCGGAATTTTCTATAAGATTCCGCCGATTTCCTTTCGAACTCATATGGTCTAATTTTCGTCATTCAATATTATAGATTACATATTGCATTACATATGCTATATAAATAAAATCTATTTTAATATTATAAATTTTCACCCGTTTTATATTACATTAATTCCGAATCGAGTCGGCAACATAATAATCCATCAAATTATTCGTTATTATAATTATAATTTTAGGTGGCTTATTTATAGGAGTTGTAGCTCCGTCACATTACAAGAATCGGATAATTTTTTTTTTTTTACATTATTTCACATAAATAATAAATAAATAAATGAATAAATGGTATATATATATATATATTTATTTATTTATATATGTATGAATGTATGTATAAATTAATAAAAAGTAACACCAGGTTTGAAATAAATTTTTTTTTTTTTTTTTGTGATATTTATATATATAATATATGATTACCTGATTTATTTTATTGAAAAAAATTTTCTGAGATAATTTAAAAAAAAAAAAAAAAAAATGGCACACAATATCAAAAAAATTTTTTGTGTCGGATTAAAGAAAAAAAATCAAAGTACACAAAGAGCACAAAATACAATACCGCAAAATAAAACAAAACCAAAATGGAAACGATTATTTTTATTGGGGAGAAGAAAAAAAAACGATTCGAAAAATCAAAAAATTGTACAAGATGAGAAAGAGAAAAATCTAATATTACCAACCGATTGTTTACTTGAAATATTTAAATATTTTCAGGATGATTTAAGAACATTACATTCTTGTCTTTTAGTTGACAAAAATTGGTGTATTAGTACAGTTCGATTAATTTGGAAACAACCATTTTTAAATAAAAGTTCACCAATTATCATAGATGTATATTTATCATGTCTCACATTACATGAAAAAAAAAATCTTATTAAAAATGGAGTGGATCTTACAAACATTACGAAACCTGCAACTTTTCATTATGCTAACTTTTTACGTCACTTAGACATGAAAAATTTCTATGCAGCCGTTGAGGCTCGAAACAGAGTTAATAAGATCGTCGAAAAGTAAAGTATACAAAATATGTAGACTTTTAGATTAAATGGTTTAAAAGTAGTAAGTACTAATCATAATTTCTTCACTTTTTAATAGTCGGCACACAGATTTAATATGTCGTGCTTTATGCAGACTTTTTACGACAAAGTGTGAAAATATTCAAACGCTACACTTAAATTGGAATTATGTCGGAGGATGGAAAAGATATCCGATCTTCCCTTATCAACGAAGTGCATCGAAATTTTTGAATGAATTGAGTGAACTTTCAATTTATAAAGTCAATACACGTGATATATTCTTAGACATGGAAAAACATTCCAAAAATCTCGTAAAATTAGAAATATTGGATTATTGTTTTGACAATCTTCCAGAGCATAGACACAAATCCATATATATGCTCATAAAAAATCAAAAAAATTTACAAAATTGTAAATTATTTGCATATGGTATTTGTCCTGTGATACCAATGAAAGCTTTAGATTTTCAAACAAATTCATTAATTCATTTTGAATTAATATATGCAAAATTTCCATCTGACAATAATGCTTTTATATCATTATCAAATTGTCATAATTTAAAAACTTTAATTATAGAATATTGTTATTTTGAAAATCAAGATATTCTTCGACCTTTAATTCAAACTCAATTTCCACATTTACGTAAAATTAGATTTAAAAGTTTACAAAGTAATGCGTCAGAAATTTTTGTCGAATTAATTAAAAAAAATTCTATTTCATTAAGGGAACTTCATTATTCTGATGAAGTATCTCGACAATTTAATCATTTAATATTAGAAACAATTGTAACTTATTCAACGACATCTTTAATCTCTCTCACAATTCCCTTTAGAAATTGTCAAACACCTCAATTAATAACCCTTTTATCCTTTTCCAATCAACTTCAAAGTCTTAAATTAATTGGACCTTACGGTCATGAAAGAGCTTTTGTAGAATTTTTACCTGTATTAGCAAAATTATTACCAAGTTCTTTACATCATCTTAGCTTAGATTTGAATTGGGTTATAATGAATAATTTACAACAATTTTTAACAAATTTAAATACTCGACTTTTTACTTTTTATATTTCTGGTTGGTCGAGACGAATTCGTGAAAGACATGTTGAAACAATTAAAACTTATTTACAACAATATAATCCTACATTAGATTTTTACGATTTTTTAAAAGACATTACTTAGATATTATAAAATGGTGGATGAACATTATTTTTGTAAAAAATTAATTTAGAAAAAATAAAATAATTAAAATAATTGTATATATTAATTACATATTCGGCATATCAGATGTACGATCATAAATTTCTATAGAATTTCACGGACAATTTTTTTTTAAAAAAAAAATTAGAAAAGAAAAAAAAAAATAATAAAAATAGGGTTAATTTAATAACTAATTTTTAATAATTAGTGCTAATCGTTATTTATTGATTTAACATCCTATGAGTGATTATTTGGTTTTAAATGCTAAAAAGTGTTAAATTGCACAAACGCAGACCTCGATATACCGATTTCGATATGCTGATATTCCGATTTCGATATGCCGATATTCGATATACCGATCTATATTAAAAAATTTACTTTCCTACTATATGAGAGAACGGTATAATTTTGATATAATAATATTTTTGACATATCATTTGACTGTATTTATAATAACGAGAATTATCCGCGAATTATTATTCGACTAATACTATAATCGGGTCAGGATCAAAGTAATAAACATTAATTTCTTGGTTATTAAAAAAAAAAAATCAAAATACATGTGAATTTAATTTTATTATGTTTGATATATGTGTTACAACTGAAAATTGTTCGTTGTTTAAATGATATAATAATAAAATTTTGACATACGTGTTACTAAATGTCAATTGTCCAAATGTTCATATACTAATAATACTAAATGTAAATTGTTCAAAATGTCATATAATAATAATAATAAGTGTTGTAAATGAAATTGTTCAAATGTCACTTAATAATAATAACCATAGTAGTAATAATGTTTTTTTTTATAAATAAGATTCGACTTTATCAAATGATTTAAAATTAAAATCAATCAATCTTCTAGAATAAAAAGCATTAGGATTCTTATAAAGATCATTAGAATTATAATCAATAGATCCCCCATCAGAAACAACACTCCAATTTAAAGAAAATGCGATAGAATGAATTGATGGTCTTTTAGAAGGATCAGATTCCCAACATTGATTTAAAATTTCAACAAGATCTTGTGGTGTACCATTAGGAATCATAGGTCTTTTTCCTTTACATAATTCATAAGCAAGAAAAGAATCATGAGAAAATTTTGAATAAGGTAATTGACCTGATATAATACACCAAAAGATCATTCCAAGACTATAAATATTTGAAGATTTTGATTGACGCTCTCCTTTAAGAACTTCCGGGGCGGTAAATGGCATTACACCAAATAATTTTGATTGATGTTTTTGTTCATTAATTGAATTACACATTTCAATATCACTTACACAAACATTTTGAATTGAATGTGGTCCAGATGTCCTATTCAAAAGGATGTTGCCAAGATGTAAATTTTTATGAATTAAATTTGATTCGTGAAGTAATTTGATGGCTTGTACAATTGTTTTAAATAATTCCTTCTTTTCCGTCCAAGATAATGATGATGAAAAGTTTTTAAGTGTTGTTGAATCATTTAAAGATTTCACGTTGGCGTACTGTAGGATTAACATATAATCTTGTGTTGAAGGATCTTTTGTGATTCCATAACATTTTGTTATTGTCTCATCCATACAAACAAAATAATTCTTAATCTACGCCAAAATAAATAAATAAATAAATAAATTTTAAGATAAAATTATGATAATTATGATTAGAAACCTACCGAATTTATAAATTCCTTAACCGTACGACCGGAATTAATGATTCTTTTCAATGCAACAGCCCTCGGAATATGAGAATTGGGAGCATCCAAGTAATTTGAAACAACAAACCTATCATAACTCATCATAATCAATTCATCTTGTTTTATCATAGCATAATAAACTTCACTATATCCTTTATTACTACCAATTAATTGTAAATTTTCAAAAATATCATAATTAAACCAACGAAAATATCCATGTTCTTCCCTCGCATTTAATTGACTCTCTTGTATAAAATTATCCAATTCATCATTTTCACTCGTCCATGTTGAAAATCTTTCTAAAAAATATTTTGTTCTACATCCTTTACACCAATATTTATTAAATAATTGTTCTTCACAAATATTACACTTTCCCAAGACTAATTCGAACATGATTTTCTTTCTTTTTTTTTTTAAAAAAAAAAAANTTGTATACCAAGTTCATAGTAAAAATCTCCAACCCCCAAGAGTTCAGACCAGAAGCCCTTATTTGCTGTAATCAATTTTCTCTATTATTAATATTTAAAAAAAAAACAAAAATAAAATAATGATAAATAATAAATAATAATAAATAATAATAAATTTCAGAAGGTTAAAAAAAGACAAATAATAAGAATTTGTATTTTTTTTTTTTTTATAAATAATTTTCAATGGTCACAACAGGTAAAACTTTATAATAATTCTTGTTTAAGATCGTCAATTTACACAATTTACAAATAAAATTAATACTCCGACTCGGCATAGCCATAGAAGATATAGAAGATTGCCATTTATTAAAAAAGAACGTTTCAGATCCGGAATATAATTTCCATAATTTAAAAATCTTGTGATCCATATAAAGAGGATTCAACAAAAAGAATTCCTTTTTATGTAAAAAAATTGTAGATCTTTTCCAATTATTTTTCTCGTACAATGCTTCGGAAAATCCATGATTCTCTTCTATGAATTTATGGTTTAGCCCAAAAATTTTTTTGTTTGTAAATTTTGAGTAAAACAAAGAAAAATCAAGAGAGAATGAAAAAGGAATAACAATAGATACAATGAAGAAGGAAATCAAGGAACATGCAAGCAGTTTTTTTGAATTTGGCAATATAAGATCTTTAAAACGTTCCTTCGCGTAATTATATACGGAAGGTTGATAATCAGGTAAAGTTAAATACAATGCGGAAACTTTCAGTGTTCAAATTCATTTTTATGGGGGTTAATATCATTTCTTTCTTTCATTGAAAATATACTCGATTATATTATATTATTAAGTATTGAAGTTTTTTTTATTATAATTTTTATTTTAACTTTTTTTAACTTTTTTGTTTGTCTTTTTTTCTTTTTTTTCCATATTTTTTTTTTTTTAAAAAAAATTTAAGAGTTTATACATGGTTTTTTTTTCTTTTTAGAGTTAATAAATAGGTTTTTTTTTCTTAAAACTTATAAGTATATATAATTATAATAAAAGGGAGGATAAGCAAAAAAAAAAAAAAAATATTATTATGTAAGGGATTATGAAATAAATAATTGTACAGAGTTAAAATAATAATGATGAGAAATAATCTTTATCTATACAGTATTCGCCATTCTTACGAAATCATTTATGAAATAACGGAAGGAATTATTTCAAATAATGATTCTTAATAAAATGTGAAAATTATACTTATTTTTTTTGCATATTTTTTAATGTGTTTTAATCTATAGAGTATGTGTGTGTTCTAATGTATATAACAAGGAAAATAGAGAGGGAGATGAAAAATAAATAAATACGTTTTTTTATAATAATGTAATCTATCTCACGCCCACCCAAAATGTAATTAAGAAAGAAGAAAGAAATGAAATGAAATTAAAATATATATGTATATCATGAAGTTGGAATCATTGGTGGGGGTGCAATAGATCTTCTTCGATGCATCATGCTTGGTGGTGGTGGAGGAATGTATTGCTCCTCTTCGATTTCGTAATCACTTTCCGTTTCGGAAAGGTCTTCTTCTGGTGGACAATGAGTATCGTACTCTTCGAATGTTATTTCTTCGCCTAGATCCACAGATTTATTTACTATCATTAAACAGAAAAATGGGAATTGTAAGTATAAAAAGTCTCATTTATGATAAATCACACAATTAATATTTTTTTTTGCAGTACTTACAATCGAAATATGATGTTTGCGAAGGTTCCGCTACATATGTACAATTTGTGGGTGTGGGTAAATTCGGGTATAATAAGAAACGACTAGTATAAAAAGCGAATGGATGAACATCTGGAGCAACTGGATATCGCGTATCTGAGATTCGTGATGAAAGTATTTGCTCAAATGCATCAAGATCATCAATTTCATCTGCTGTGTTAAATGAGTATTCGTCTAGACGGAGAAGTCGTCGTTGATATGCGTAAGGAGATAATAAAATATCTATTATTTCTTCTGCATCAGGTCTTTTTGAAGGATCTGCATCCCAGCATTTCTTCATTAATTCTTCATAAAATAGTGGAGTACCAGGTACAATTGATTCTCGAAAACCGTGACAAATTTCTAAAGCTAATGAATGATCATGAGGTCTATCAGAAAATGGAGGTTTCCCTGATGTAATTTCCCACATAATAAACGCAAAACTATATATGTCAGCTTTAGCAGTAAATGATCCACCGGCTAAAACTTCAGGTGCCACAAAGGGTAAAGATCCATAAACTCCTCGTGGTTCTGATGGATTTGAAGGTCCACATAAACCAAAATCAGCAATATTACAACTATAAAATTTTAATACATTTCCACTATGAAGATTTTTATGGTATGTGCCATTCTTGTGTATGTTTAGGAGCCCCATCGCTATGTTACATAACATTTCTACAGCATCTTTCCAACGTAATGTACCCATATTTCGTTGTACATAATGACGCAAATCCCCATCTTCCGCGTAATTCATAACCATCATAAATTCACCCGTTTCTGGATGTTTTGTAACACCATGACAATGTACAATATATCCACATCCATCCAATTTGAGACTACCGTGACGCTTAATCTATAAAAGAAAAAAAAAGGGTTTTTTTAAAAATAATTAAAAAAAAAATCTAAAAAGATCAGATAGTCATATGAGTAGATCAATTCTATAATCGGTTAAATTACTAACCTCGTCCAAGAATTCGTCACTAACGTTCTGCGAATTCTTAAGTGATTTTAGTGCAACCATAAGCGGTTTTTCTACAAAAGTTTGTTTTGCTCCATCCCATACTTTTTCCTTCTTATTTGCCCAGGTAGCAGAAAAAACTGAACTGTAGCCTCCTTTTAATACGAATTTAACGTCGCTGAAATTTTCAAAAGGTATCCATTGCATATGGTGGCGAGGATCTCTGTTTTTTTTTAAAAAAAAAAAATATTTTAAAATTAGCCATTAAAAACGATTAGTAGGCTGAAGAAAAAATTCCTCCGAGCAAATTACTCAGAAAAGCATTTCGTTTAGGAAAATTATGTAAAATTTTTAAAAGAATGGATATATTTGAACGTACGGTGTCTCCAACTGGGTTTGTTGTATAAATTTGTCTAAGACTTCATTTTCACTCGTCCAATTTTCAAATTCGTTGATAAGACGAAGTCTTTCTTCCCATTGCCAATCATCATCCGTCAAGTCAACATCAACACTTATATCTTCGTCTTCTTGGTCGTCAAAAGATTTGGGTTGACTTGAAACAAAAAAATCTTCAACTTTCGCCGTCATTTTTTTTTTTGAACACAGACGAATATCAAATTTACAAGCGAATTTATAGGTGGAAAAAAAAAAAAAATTATCTATTGTTAATGGTTATAATGCTATTAAAACAATTATTTTGGTTTCAAAAAAGTTTCAAAATAAGAAAGCTTTTTAGTTGGAAGGGGGAATAAATGAAAAAAATGATAAAAAAATTGTAAGGAATTGTTTTAGTAGGGAAGAATAATGAAAATTGAACAATTTAGCAAAAAGTTGGAGAAACAAGGGGGGTATATGAGATGATCGACCACCAATTGGTGTCATCGGTGAATTTTTATTAACCCTCAGCCCCAAATATCGGAATAGATTGATTGGTGAATGTATTGACATTTGGGTAGGACAATTAGTTTGGATACACAAACCAACAACAATCGAAAGCTGAACAAAGGTAAAGAATAAAATGCACGTGGCACAGTAAAATAATTTGACACCTTTGTTTTAATAATGAACTAAATATGAAAAAGAGTGAAACCTGCAACATGTATATGACACAATCATTTCTATTCTCACGCCCACATATTATCACAATAAGTGAAAACTTTAATTAGTTTCTTCATTTGACATATCTACTTTTCATCATAGTGGAGCCCATGTATTGATTTACCATCTACACTTTCTTAAAAATGCATTTAAGTTTGATAAATGGCTAAATTGGCTTAAATCGCTTCCAATTTTATTGTAAACCCGCCTCCAAAACTTCAACTTTTTACTCCCCCCGGAAATTTATGTACAACAACTGCATAATTTGATCCATTTTCAGATGTTTTTTCATTGCCTTTTGCATTCAATTAATTGACTTTTTAATGTAAATTGCTAACTTTATGTATAACTTCCACAAATGTTTTTATTCTGTGTTAAATATTACTTTCCTTAAAACTGTATAACGTAGATATTTTACTATAAAGTATTAATGATGTAAAACAAAGTTCAGACCGAATAACCTCTATAATTCAAAGAAACTGTCAGCTGTCAAAATGTCCCTCAAAATGTCAAAAATAGATATTTAGTATTAAATTTCGACTCGTTACCGTAGATAAAAAAAAATTATGGTATCACCACGGGTATCACACATAAAATAACAGATTTTTCCGAATTTTCTATGCGCAGATTTGTAACACAACGATCGAATTTCTATAAATTCAAGTGGAAGACTTTGTTTTATTGATTTTTGATATTCATTCTCGAAAAGGTTCAAAGAATACGCATAAAAAAGATCTCTGCATGCTGCACAGCCCGAGTTGTTGGGCGTTATCGCAGTTTACTTTTTTATTTACTAAAGTGAGTTAGATTTATTAAAAGTCTTTCTGTTAGATCTAGTATTGTTATTGCGTAGATTTGACATATTTTCTTTGTTTTTCAAAGATCTTTGGGTAAACTATTCGATTTTTGGAGGTTAACCAAGTCATTTTGATTTGTTTGACAGGTCTCAGAGTCTCTTTATGGTTAATATGTTTTCAGTGATTTAGTTTCTTTTTTATTAAATTCGTTCTATTATTTTATTTTTAAATTTTTTTTTTTTTTTTTTTTTTTTTTATTATTTTCATGCAGTAATAAAAAAATTGACACAATAATTTGTTCATTGTGTAAAAATAATATTATACGTTTAAATTATTATACATTGTTATTTTTTATTTATCTAGGATCTAAGTTATTTTTAAGTTCAGAGAGGATTTACATTAATTATAAATTTTTTGGTAAGACAAATATATTTGACTTTGCTCATCTTTCTAAATAAAGGTACATCACAACAGACTTTCACAATGATTTTATAATCCTTTATTATTCTTTCTTTATAGTAACGAAATTCTTTTTTTTAAAAATATGGATGAACAAGTCGGGGAACAACATGATCGAAAGTTTGCAAATATAGCGAGAAATATAAGGACTGGAGTATGTATGATTTCATGTGTTTATCTTTGATCTATTAAAAGTTCCGAATAATGGTAAATAATGTTAAATTATTTCCTTTTATTTCTAAATAGAGTCCAACACCAAACTCGCGTGGAAAGAATGATGATCTTGAAAGTAGAAATTTTACACTTCAAGAAGAGGTAATAAATAATAAATAATAAATAATTTATTATATTATTATTTGGATTTATTAAGGATATTATTTTAAATTTTTATTAGGTTTATTAGTTAAATGCATATAATATACATATATATTCTTTTTTATTAGGTTAAAGATTTAAGAATTCAATTAGGTGGAAAACAAAATGATATTAATAAAATTCAGGAATTGCTTAACAAGAGAACTGGTAAATTTTATATTATATATATTTATTTTTATAGCTTTTCTTTTTTATTTATTTATTTATTTGATTTTAACGAATATTTTTTTTTTTTTTCTTTAAAATTTTTTTAGCTGAGTTAGATAAGACAAAAAATGAATTTGATGAAAAAATGAAAAAAATGAGAGGCAAATAAGATTTAATTAAACTACTCTTTAGTTCGTTTAAAATTTAATTTAATTTAATTAATTAATTATTTTATTTTATTTTATTTATTTATTTTTTTTTTAAAAAAAAAAAATAAATCATTTATACATTTATAGGGATCTTTAATGGTGCTAATAAAACTTTGATGGAATTAAGACAAACTGTTGCGTCAAAAGATTCAGAGATTGAAGAGCTTAAAGCAACTATAGAAAGTATGAAAGAGAAATATGAGGAAGCAAAGAATATTGTAGACGAAAGCAAAAGTTTGTAAATTATTTTTTAGTGAATATTTGATCGTATAATTTTTTACCTAGAAATTTACATAATTTTTGTTTCTTCTAGAGTCAACAGAAAAATTGACAACGGAAATGCATAGTCAGTCAGCTACATATAATGCACAAATAGAACAGTTGGTAATTAGTTGAATTTCAAAATATGTTAAAATTTAATATTTAATATATTATTATACGTATACTAAAATTTTTTTTTGAATTTTTTTATTAGGAATCAAAACTTAGGCAGTCAAATCAACAAATTGTCCAAGTAAAAGAAGAGTTCCAACAATACAAGACAAGAGCTCACGCATTACTAGAACAAAAAAATTCAAGGGGAGAAAACGATACAGAAATTTTAGAATTAGTAGCTGCAAATAAAAAATTAGAATCTGAGCTAATGTTCGTTAGAATTAAATAACATATATACTTTACAACTATTATAAGAATCACTCACAATTTTTTTTCTTTAATTAGTTTCAAGTCTTCTGAATTAAAGTATGCTCAGGACAAACTTAAAGTTGCTGAAAGAGATCTTAAGCGTGCATATGAACTCAATACACAACTTGAAAATGATTTTGAAAAAGCACAAAGAGCAGCAAAGGAAAACTCCGATACCGTAAAATCAATTCAAAAACAATTAGATAATTTAACAGAAGATAATGAACATTTAAAAGCAGGTTATTATTCTTATCTTATTATTAATTTAGTAATGTGTTTTATTCTAATTTAATATGAAATTTTAGCACTCAAAGAAACTGAAGCTCGTTACTTAGCTAATGTTGAAGATTTTGAAGATAGACTTAAGAATGCAATAGAAGCAAAAGAGAAAAATCTTAAGCAAAAGCAAGAGGAGAATGAAGCTTTACAAAAAATTTCAGAGGTGATATATTAAAGAACGTTAAATAATTATTTGATTCAAGTAAATATTGATTTATTGAATAATTTATTATCTCTATAGCAACTTGGTGAGGAATTATCACAAGTAAGATTAGAATTATCACAACGTAATGAACAAATAGAGGAACTTAAAAAACAAATTTCTGGTAAAACGCAAGTAGCATCAATATCAGCTGTAAAGAACGTTATTAAAAATGATAGTAGTCGTTCTTCGTCCCCATTATCTTTTACAAGTCGTAATAGTAGTAAGTAATTTAAATCAATTTTTATTTTATTTTCTTCTATATTATTTTATTATTACAACTATTTGATATAAATTAAAAATATATTTTTTTTTTCAAGATACATTATCCGACCTTCTAGCAGATATGGAAGAACGTACATCTAATGTGTCTGATAAAGATAAGGATAATACATTTAAATTACAACATATGGCTGAAATGTTGAATGAAAGTGAGGCACAAGTTCAAAAGTTATTAGATCAAGAGAAGGTAATGATTATATAGTTATTTTTAACTAGATTATTATCTCTATTAACATATCTAAAACCTTATAATCTAGATATTGAAAGAAGAGATTCGTAAATTAGATAGATTAGAGAAACGGCAAAATTTGAGTGTAGAATATTTAAAAAATGTTGTTCTCAAGTTTTTTGAGACAGAACCATCCGGCCGTGAGCCTTTGGTTCCCGTAATATCAACAATATTACAATTAAGTCCAGAGGAAACAAAAAGTTTAAAAGAAAATGCTATTGATGCGACAAATTCCAATCAAGTTGTGATAGGGTTTGGAGTCTTATAGGTAAATATTTTTGTTTAATGATTTTTTTGCTTGTTTGTTTCAGATTAAATGTTACAGTGCAGTAGTTTGATGGAGTAATTTGGTGGGATAGTATTGTAATTTATTTTTTTTATTTTATTTTATTTATTTATTTAAATGAATAATTAATTTTGTTTTAATACAAGATAGATTAAATAATCATTCAGTAGTGATACAGTATAAAGTTTTTTTTAATAGAATATAGAATCATCTCATCATCTTTATTTTCGCATTTTTGTAATAAAGTTTATAATAAAGCCGTATATAATAAAGGTTTGATAATCTATCAAATTTTTTTTTTTTTTAATATGTATAAAAACGAGAAAATTCTTTGTTGATCTCATATTTAATTAATTAATTATCATCTATAATTTTAATATATGCATATGCGCAAAGTTTGTCGTTATACGACATGATTTATTTATTATATAAATGGCCGCACTTCAACGCCCTCAACCTTTTTATATTAACTTTAATTTGTTTACATCTAAATTTAAAGTTTTTACTTTGCCTTATCTACGCTTCTTGTAACCAACGAACAAAAGATTTCCATCCCGGCAAGCTATTAACAACCTCTGAAAAATCCAATCCACTCTCCGACTGCATATTTTCGCTATCATTGTTATTATTATCATCGCTATTTTCTATTGCATCATTATTGTCTTTAATATTGATATTAGTATTATGTTCTTGTTTTCCTTCAAAATTATATTTTGGAATTTCTTGAGATATCATAGAATTTGTTTGTTCACAAATGTCTTCCTTTTTTTCTTTTTCGAGAATTTTTTGTGAAGCTGGAAACGATCTACTAACATAATCTCCTAAATTAAGTGAAATAGATCTTTCTGATGTTAAAGTACCTTTTTGATTTGTTGTTAGAGGTCCAGCATTATTTTTGGCGTCGATCACACCCTTGTTGAAATTCTTTACGGTTCCCGTTGAACTAGTTTGAGATGCATTTGCAAAAATTCCTCCAAGTTTTCCTTCAGTATTAACGAAGAAATTGCTGTTAGATATATTGTTATTGTTATTATGATCATCTTAAATAAAAAAAAAAAAAAATATTAAATAAGTTTTAAACCATTAATTAATTAAATGAACGACGAATTAATTGAAAAATACCATACCTTTCTTACTACTGAGGAAGTTTGGAGTTTTTTGGAGGTGACTTTTATTTTGTATTTTCAACACTACATTTTCCCAATCACCATTACGAGCTAAGCTACCTGTGGTGAGAACTTTCTTCGAAAATTTATTCAGAGGAGTAGGCTTGCTAACACGTTTAGAGGATTTTTGCTTCGCTATTAATTAGTAGAATAATAAGATTATATAACATAGGTCGAAATTTTTCATATCGCAAATACAATATTTTAAGAATGTGAACCTATTTTATTCCTTGCAGAGCTGAGTCCATTAAATCTTGATGTTAATTCTTGCCAATCTGAATCTGAATCTTCAATATTTGGTTCGGTTTCTAATAAATTTTCATTTGTAAGTTGATCAAATGTCGGCAATGCTGGTAATGTTGGTGTAAAATTATTAATTTGTTTTCCATTTCCTTTATCAACCTTTTTTTCTATAGGGGTATCACCTATGACTTCTGTTATCGCTGTTTCTTCAAAAGTTACATTTGGTCTAAAGTATTCACTATTAATAGCAGAACAATTAACATCACGGTTATTATCAGCTTTTGATAAGTAGTCTTTAATACTTTGTTGATTATCACCAATCTTTCCTAAATATTCTTTCATTATTTTATGTTTTTCTAATAATAACAAATATTCATCCATTTGAGAAATGACCGTCATTTGATTTGTTTCAGATGATTTAATTGTCGAGTGACTCATATCTGGAATTGTATATTATTTTAATGTTAAATAAATATAAAAAAGCATATCATGAAAAAACACATACGTATAAATAATAAACCAACCATTCAAATTTTCATCATATTTTTGTTCATTTATTTCTGCAGATGGGGGTTTTCCATTATTTTTGTCGATTTGTCCACAAAATCTATCGTTATTCGTAGATAAAGAATTGTTACTGGCGAGATCATTTTCTGGTACTGAACGAAATACTATTTTCTCCCAACCATCTTCTGTACAAACTTCTTTTTGTGATCTAGAAGGACCCGAATTAGTACTAGGCCTAATCGCGTTATTTTCTTGATCCTGTTCCAAATTCTTATTGTTTTCGCTCTCCTTTTTTTCGATAAACGATCCTAGAACACTTCCAATATATCTTGATCCATCATTTCGTTGATTAATTATACTTGAATCCTTTGATTCACCAATATGACTTGAAATCTTATTAACACGTTGTTCATGCTTCTGTAATTTACGTTCCCAGTTAATTAAATTTAATCTCTTGTCAACTAAATCTTGAGCAATTTCTAGCGCAGTTTTTAATCTCTTTTCTTTCCTATTTAACTGCCCTTCAACATTTTTTAGTCCATCAGTAGCTTTTTGAAGTTGTTTCAGAAGAGCGTCTAGAGAATTACTTGTTGAACCAAAGTTTTCGGGCGGTTGATCGAGAGATATACTAATCAAGATAAGTTAAATTTTAGTAATGAATAAATCTAAGGAAAAAATATACATATATATATTATTAATTAATAAAAACCTTAAAGCATCAATAATATCTCTCGTATCTTTTCCTGTTATAGTATTTAAAAGTTCTCTAACATGTTTTTTACCATCCTTTATTTTCTGATCACGCTCTGCGATTTCATCGTGTTTTTCAATCAAATCTGTAACTATTTTTTGCATAGTTTCCAAAGTCTTTTGATGAAGTTCTAAAGCAGCCTTATCCCGAGCATTTAATTTCGTTTTTGTCGATCTAATTTTTGATAATAGATCTAGTAATGGCTTTGAATCTCCCATTGTTGACGTTTCATTATCAGTCGAGGAATCCGAGCTTAAACAATCCTCTACAATATTACTTGGTGATGGAACTTTTGAGTTATTTTCGATTTTTTCGGGTTCATCAAACTTTTCAAAATGATTCAGCCAGCCCTGAACTTTTGCAATCGTTCGAATATTTTCTTTTGGTCTCCCCTCTGAATGTGAACGCTGAATTGATTTTAGTGGAGGCTTTGAAATTGGGGTTTCTTTCTGTATTTTTTGCTTTGATTGGGGTTGATTAGATATTTGTGGTGCTAATTGGGAACCTTTCTTTAATTTTTTATTATCCAAAGATTTTTGGATCTGCACGCCAACAGGTTTAGTTGGCTCAAATTGATTCTCTCTAGGATGTGATAAGCTTGTCATTTCGTCTTTTTCCTCTATGATTTGTTGTTCACCTTTACCGATCACAGGTTGTAATACATATCTTTCTTTAAGGATCTGTTTAAACGATTGATCTGGTGCTAAAGCCTTTAAAATATTCTCTTCATATTTATCAGGTTGGTCGGTATTTAAAGTCCAGTTATAAAATTGTGAATTATCATTTTCTTTTTTTTGTGATACTGAAAGAAATTCTTTCCATCCAATATTACTAGGAGTTAAATTTTCCCAATATTCTATATTTTCATTATCCTCATCTAGAGAATAATTAATTGAAGAATCCCTTGATTCTCTTGCAATCTCTGCCATTCTTTCTCTTCTTTGTTGTTTCCTGATCTCTTGATATTCATCATCTATAATATTTTCATTAAGTTTTAATTCTCGATTCTTAGCTTCCTGTAGCTGAGCCAATTTTTCTTTCCTTTGTTTTCGTCTAAATTCCTCTAATTGTTTTAATCTTTTATTCGTCTCCTCTTTAATTACTTGTTTCCTCATTAGGTCATATTCTTTCTTACGCTTAGCTTTTTCTTGAAGTTTTGCTTTGTAATTCATATACGAATGAATATTTTCTGAATCGTATTTTTTTGATTTTGGTGCGAACCCTTTATTAGCTTGTGGGCGCACTAAATTACGAATACCAGTATTAACAGTATTAGGAGGAGGTGGTTCTGTTGGTAATAATGGTTGTGATAAAGATTTTGCTAAAGGTTGTTTATTGTTATTAATATCCTTTTGATTTACCGTAAAATCATTCATCTGAGTAAAATTCTCCTGAATTATATCATTTCTTTGATCATCATCACTTTCCTGATAACTTTGTATTCTAACATTCTTTGAACCATGATCATTATGTTTAACTCTTGATCTTTCTTGAGATTTAAACAATAAATCATCAATATTTCCTAAATGATGTGGATCGTGAGATGATTGTTGCTGTTGTTGCTGTTGTTGTTGTTTTTGTTTTACACGTCGTTCTCTTGTTAAATTATCAAGTTGATTTAATCTCTCTTTACGTCTACCTCTCTTTAACAACGTGACCATATTTAGTATTTCAGGATTATCATTATAATGTGTATTTAAAGTTTTAAATTTATTTAAAACATAATCTTCTAAACCTTCTTTTCCTGATGAATGTATTGATAATTTCTCGGTAGTATCTTGAAATTCATATTCGTTTGAACGTTGTGAAATATAACTATAATTAGAACTATTTGACGTGTTAAATGATGAATCTTCTACTTTTTTTTTAGAAGAATGACGTTTCTTGGTTGTTTGTGAATGTACAGACATGAAAAAAAACTTTCGAACCAAAAGTAAAAGTAGTTGAAGACAACGTAATTTTTTTTTTTTTTATAAAAAATTATGTAAACAAAAAAAAAATATGTATATATATATATAAATAAGTAAATAAATAAATATAGCTCGTGTTAGGGGGGAAATAGAAAGTATAAAAAAAAAAAAAATATACAAACAAAAAACAAGTAAATCTGTTATGATGATCACAATACTGTGAGAAATTACTGATAACGTGCAGTATTAATACATTATCAAGTTGATCACACATAACTTATGCAGAATTTGCAGATATCGAATATTTTAAATATCAGCCGGTTATATAATTTCTTTTTTATTTGTAAATATCGTTATACAAATAGAGCTATAAACTATTCATAAAGACCAATTTAATCCGTTGGTAAACAAGACTGTGATGAAAGTCCTATACCTAGTTTTTCACACTCTGTGTCGAGATTTTCAAGGCAGCGTGTAAAAAATTTCTAAGAAAATACCGGAAAAAATCCGAAATAAATTGAAAATTCCGGATTTGCTTAAAAAAGGATATTCACTGAATATACTCCGGTACTAATAAATTTCCCGGAAATCTAATATGCCATAATCCAAAAAAAAATTCTGGAATCTAAAAATCTTTCCGGTTTTACAAGGAATCTTTCGGAAAATCCGGCGAATTTAGAATAGATTTTATACGCTGAATTCAAGGTATTCGTGTAATAAGTTGGAGTGGATAAATCGTTATATTTTTTTCGTTACTAGATAGAATTTCCATTGTGAAAAGGGTAAGACATCTCTCTTACCTGTAATGTTTTCTTAGTTCCAAATTTTTCTAACGCATAATTAAAGGGCACCCAATATGTGAAACATAATACACACGTAATAAAGACGGATGTAAAAGATTACCATATAGTGTCTAGCCATGTAACAGCGCGATGGTCATTGTTCTATTAGGATATGTATCAGATATAGTTGCCGGATTATTCCATTTCAAGTGATTAGTAACGTGAAAGCGTCTACGCTAAGATACTGTAATCATTACAGTGGTACTCTACATGGTTTAACTTATTCCAATTGTCCGGTATAAACATCACTCCCTATTTCTTCTGTTAGTGTTATCCATAGTATACGAATAAACCCATACCCATAATCTTTGTAAAATCCACATCGAACCACTATTTCAAATGTATCGCAATTACATTATGTTGTCTCCCCTTTCCCGAACTGTACTAAGACTTCGTGTGAAAAAATTAAGGTGTAATGTTTCTTGCTTGGTACATGGTACAAAAATCCCCTAATACTTAAATGGCCGTATTCCTCTCAGTAAATAATTATCGATATATTCCCCCCATTTCATGTTGTATCAGTATCCATTAGCAATATGTCCATTTATAGCATATTAAAACGTTTGATCATAAGATAAACGAGAAATCTGATATATATAGTTTAGGAGTATTATTCTGGGAATTGACCAGTCGTTCATCTTCAATTATGAAAAAAAGGATCTTATTTCTCTTATGTTCGCCATTTTTGATGGGTTGAGAGAAAAACCTGTAATAAAGACAAATGTTAAATTTATCGAGCTGTACCGAAGTGAGTATGAAAATAATTGTGGGGAAATGATTTCCTTTGGTACTAGTTAATTCTTCTTGTCGTAAACTAATTGTGATTATAGAATGTTGGGAACATGAACCAGAAAAACGGCCAGATATTCACCAATTAAATTAAGAACTTAATAGCATTTAATCCGAAAACAATCATACATCTACTGTTTCTTATTCTAAAAAGGAGATAAGCGAAAAATTAGAATATGAAGATTCTGACTTGTCAAATTGTGAAAAAGATCGCGACTTAAATGCGATTATGACCGTTTAAAAGTTTTAGACTAATTAAATTTTATATTAAAATTTATCTTGTATAGAGTAAATTAAAATGTAGATTTTTTATTACGAAATACGCAAACCTAAATTTATTATATTGAGTGTTGATATTTGTTATTATAATCAATAAACAATTTTTTAAAGACGGTGCGATAATAATGCATAACTTAAATCGTAATTCATAAAAAAGTGCACAATGTTTTTTGCATTTTGTGGTAAAAGTTAAGTGGTATAGATAAACCATTGATACAATGATACATGTATAGGAATTTGTTATGTATAGCAATCTGTACGGTATATTAAAATTTTTTATATAGAGAAACTTAATTTTTCTAAAATTTAGACTATTAGTTTACCACTTGTATTATCTATAAAAAATGATTTGTAACTTAATCATCAATTTGGTCTTTTTAATTTCTCGCTAAAATAGGAAACAAATACCACTTAACAAAAGGAAAGACCACAATTAATCATCGCTAGTTTAGTCCTTTTAGATTCTCGCTAAAATAGGAAACAAATACCACTTAGCAAAAAGGAAAGACCACAATTAATCAATAAACTTTCATGATACCTTACTCCTCCAGCTCTAGTTCTTCATTATCTGCTATACGTTTTTAATTCCTTCAACATATTATGCCCGAAACTTGATTAGAAATATAGAAATGTTCGGCATTAGAAGGATTGATTACGATAAATAGTACATTGGCTAGAAAAATTAGTAAACCAAAGAATTGATTAAGATCGATAAATTATAGGAAATTTAAGCAATGGAGATTAAATACCTTCTATGTCGTTAAAATTAGCAGCTACCGTTCTTTTTGGTCGTGACTTATTATATATAGTATATTTGCTTTCCGCATTAGTTTCGGTAGGAAAAACTACAAGAAAATGGATCCACGAGAGCTCAGATGCCTTACAATACTTAGATTTTAAGCAATCAAGCACTTCGCCTCTTAACCTCTTTTTTCAAATTAGTTTGTTTATCTCCAAGAGAATAGAAATGATGCGGATCTGTTGTACGTTTAGCTGTGACACCAGATGAGTCTTTCACTAGTCTTGCCTGAAGAAAAAGGGGAACCTCGACAATGCCATTTGGAGTATGGGACTGAACAATGCACACCAAATCTGGACCAGCTTCTTTCCGGCATAAAGAAAGTAGTAGTAGAATTATTGAGAAAAGCAGGCAGGTTAAATCATAATATCATTTGAACTAAATATGGTCGAGTTGCAATCATCAAGGTTGCTTAACAAGAGAGTAAATCCAGATGATTAATATTCTCAGCGTTAGTGTTGATAAAAAGATAGTGTTCCTTACAACTTTTCGCATTAAATAATTCTACGAGTGGAATGGTCAAGCAAGGCTCGAAAAGAAAACCTGCGCATGATGCAATGAACTGAATTTAGATTTTGAAATAACTGGTCTCAAATTCATCAGGATACTTTTCAAATATTCCTTAAACGTCAAGATGGGAATAGGTTCTACTATTCGTACTGTGATGGCATCCATCTCAAATGTATTTAGATCCGCTAGACGTTTGAAAATACAAAGCTGGGCAAACCCGTACGGACACTGAAGATGAATCTAATAGAGCATATTCCAGAAACTGTACTACAGTACAAATCGTCGGCGCCCCGAAAAATATTGAATGTGGCTTCTATCAGCTTGTCATCTAGCGTCGAATAAACATACTCAACTCATTACATTCATAAAATCCACAAAATTCATATATGTGGCATCAGCATGAATCTTGATATCATCAAAACTCATTCCTGTTCCTTATAGTACAAGACATAGCTTATCCGTACTGCTGTCCGAAGTAAAATAGTAAAAAATGGTCGTAGTTGACCACAAGTTTGAGTTGTAGAAAAATGTTCCTTGTACAAATTGATGGCCACTTGTGATTCATCAATCATGATTGGTAACTTCTTTTGCTGAGGGATCAAGGTTTCGAATTTCTTGATAAATGTACTGACCAGTTTATCCTGAACTTCCTGATCTAATCCACGAAAAGCACGTGAGTGGGAACCAAAAGTCTTCTCCACTAATTTTTCTTGGCGAGAGTTGCATTAGAAGCCATTGCTTTGGTGTAAAATTGCGATAGTAATCTTGATTATGGAATCTAAAAGTTTGTTTAAAATGAATAATCGGCTAAGAATCATTGCACGAGTGAATTTAAGTGCATAGAGAGTGTTTTTTCAGGGTCATTTGCAATTAAGTGTTTGCCCAATTCATCGATAGAAACGTCCATGTCTTGAGATCCCAAGTTTATGAAACCATTTCCGGCACCCAATGAAAGGTAAATTCCAAATGTTTTGCAAAGTAGCTCATATAAAGAAAGATCTAGAACAAGAAAAAAAGAAAAAATCATTCATCTGCCTTTGTCCGTATTTTGTCTTGGCTTTCAATAATTCTTATTTTTGCAGAGCCAAGGATTTTCCATAACATTGTTAAATGGCGCAATGAACATTTTTTCATGGAGGTAGCCTTCACGGCCACTATTGTCTGAAATGTGCGGTATGAATGCAATACGAATAATGGCCTCTTATTAATTGCAGGAATTCCAGATGCAATTAATGTTCTCTTCATAAATATGTTTGATAACTCTGGATGTTCCAGTTCGAATTTTTTGACAAGCTTGTCTCTTAGCTCCGCCTAATAATACTCTGCATTTCTCAATGCTTCTTCTATGGTTTCTATGAAAATCTTTGTTAGAGATTTTTTTTCAACTAATAAATGCTCGAAGTTATTTAAGAGGCAATCCGCGAATAATGTTTAGCAAAATCAAAATATCTAGGAATTCGTTACACATGCACTTCTTATATATGTAGCTCGCGTTTTTTATTAATATTCTGCATTATAAGAAAATACAGACAGGAGATGCAATAGCTTGTTACATAACACACGCTTTCTTCAGATTCAGAATTTGCTACACATTTCAAAACGGATTGCCCTTGATAAATCATTGGGAGACACTTACCAGCAACGGGCACTTGTACGATGATGTGGATGTTTCTTTGGGCAAGTTCTTGAAAATAGTCATTAAACATCTCAACGGCTCGGCAACAATATTAACTTCTTAAATTCTTTAAGCGTGTCTTCTTCACTTTCAGCGATGTCAACTTTCCAAAACTTCATAATGTCAGGACTAATGTATCTTTTTTATTATTCCAAATAAGGAACTTGAGGTGTGAAATACTTAAATCTTTAATACCAAAGAATCATTATTTCAGCAACGATAACCGTAAAAGCATCATCAAAAGAAGTCTTTCCTAGGAGTAAACAATTTAGTGACATCACCATTTTGTAGATAATTCTGTTAAGCGATATATTTTTTAGAGAAAGAAGTTTTGAGAAAGTTTGAGGAATATATATACTTGTATGAATTAATAATTAAATAGACTCTTGATCAGTGGTTTATAATGACGATATAGGTACTTCGAAAAAAATAGTATAAAAAAAAAAAATTTAAGCGAAAGAAATGATGCGTGTTATCATTTATTAAAAAAAAGGAGTGATCAGAGGTGATTACTTCATAGAAGAATTAGCCGCAGTTATTGATCATGTGATATTCCACCTAACACGTTTGAAGGAATCTCGAACCAAAAGTCGTGTAATTCCTAAAGAGTAACTTTGTATCAGTTCTTCTTAGGATATACAGTAGCTTGTTTCATGATAATTACTATATTATAATAATGTTATTTTTTTTTCTTAATACTTAATAAACAATTATATATTGATGATTTCGCATTAACGGCCAACCAAATTTACAAATTATTATATAAGAAATGCACCAGGAATTTTTTTTAGGCGTAACCATGCGACGGGGTGTAAACTTACGTAAATTTGTGTAAATATACGTAAGCTAATGTAAGTTTTTGTAAATTTCTTATGAAAATTTACGCGAACTTTTGTAGGATTACACTCCCATCGCGGAACTAAGACATATAGTATTAATGAATTATTTCCTATTTCCCAACAGTCAAAGAGAACATTAAAAGCGACATTTAATTAATTTAATTTATATAAAGAACAAAAATACGAAGAGATTTTTTGCATGCTTTTAATATTGTAGGTATGCAGAAAGAATATTTTTTAATAAACTGACATATTTCAATATTTCATGGCGTAATAAATAAAAATTAAGCAGAGAAATATTATAATTTGTGGAAATATAAATTTTAATTTAATTTAAAATATTAAAATTTTAAATTTTAAAATTTTGAACGAGATTTGGTTTGTATGTAGGAATTTCATCATTTCATGCATAAATTTGAAGGTTCAATCTAAACAATGTTATAAAATAAAATAAAAATTTGGCTAAACAATTAGACTTTTTAAATTAAAACTAAAATTCCAATCGAAATTTATTATTCTTTTTTTCTCTTTAAAATAATGAGCTGTAATTTTGTATTTTCGGGCGTCGCTTAAATATAATACTACATTACCCATTATTTATCTTAATTAGGATATTTTTTAACGCCTTTGATGAAAGACTATTTCTGAATATTTCAAATTCTTTCTCTATACATAGTTAAATTATGGAATATTCATTCATTATTTATCTGCTTTAATTTAGCTAATACCTTAGTGTCACCGATTTTAAGCCACACCGCCCGCATGACCGCAGTAGATACTAAATTAACTGACGCTTCTAATATATATAAAGAATCAATTTTCACATTTTTAAAAAAAGATTCATTCCAATATTTTGTAACTCTTTAAATACCGTAAAAATGAGTGCCGAAATAGTGTTTTCTATAATAATATTAGCAATTATCAATATTATTTTTATATTGGATATAATTGGATGTATTTTTATTTTCTTTCGCGTTAGCAAAATTTATGCTCTCTTAAATGAAAAGCGAATGTCTCCAGGGATTAAATTCCCTTTTTATTTAGCTATCACTTGTAAGTTATTAAATAAGTTGATTTCATTTTTTCTTTTAAATTAGTTTTATTTATTTTCTTGTTTTATAATAATATGAAATTAGATTATTTGCTTGCAATTTTAAAAATTATAATGGTAATTATTTTTAATTATACGTTTAATAGTCATTTTTATTCTTACTCAAATATCAATAATTGATACATACAGTATTTATATTTTTTTAATTAGATAGATATTAGTATCTTTGGATATTACATACCTTACATATATAAGATTATTGAAAGTATTTTAATCGTGAATATGTTTATTTGTACAATATTTGCATTGCAAGCGTGGATAATACTAAAAAATAATCATGAAACCACTTATACTAATTGGGGGAAAAAAAATTATAAACTTTGGCTTATTATAATAATAATTATAATTATTATTATTGTAAATTTTTTTATTACCAATTATAATTCCATCCTTTATTTTATGTATCCAATTTTCCTTTTTGTTAGTATTTGTTTTTTGTTAATAGTTCATTTGGAATTGGATAAATTGGATCAATCGGGTAATTATAATTTTAGTATATATGAATTGAAGAAGCTTAAATCTTATATTTCTTTATTTATTATTTTATGGGTAAGGTTTTTTTTTTATTTAAATCAATGAAAATTTTATGATTCTGAGCGAGAAATAAAATTTTATTTAATAATTAATTAATTTTATAGGCGTTGATAATTACATTTCACTTGTTGGGATTTCACAAATATAAGGCTTTTGACATATGTAAGTTACATGTAAATGAATGATTTTATCAAATGAATTATAAATTTCATTATTAACCTTCTTATATTAGCATACGCAATTGCAGGAATTTGTCACGTCATTTTATTTATTGTAATAGAAGGATTTTTCTTTAAACCAGACTCAATCGTACAACAACAACAAGAATCGCAGCAAATAAATGATCCCGAGACCGGTATAATATCATCTGTTGAGAATAGACAAGAACGTCCTCCTTCTGAAACTGTTTCTAAATAATGAACGAGATATGGAGATATTTTATCAGTGATATACTGCATGTGTAAATACAGTTTCATATAAATGTAATCGTCCACGTTACTAAATATGGTCGCTTGAACTTCAAAATAAAATTCTCTTAATAAAAAATAAAAAAACTTGGTAATTTTTCAGATCCTTCAATTTTGGGCAGTTCTTCTACAGTACATTATAAAATGACATCAGACCAGATGAAGAATGTTCTAAAGATCTACAACACGTGCCGTCGTGCCGCTGACGATAATTGGGCGTCGCCTAAACTAATTTCGGTTTCGGCGAATTTCGCCCAGCAATTCCAACATAAAAGAATTTTTTTTTCATTTTTAGATTCATCCAAATTTTCTTTGAATACCGTAAAAATGCATAATGTGATTGCTATACTAATATTACTATCTTTAAATCTTTTATATTTATTGGATATAATTGGATGTATTTTTATTTTCCTTCGTGTTGGTAAAATTTATGGACATTCAAATGAAAAACGAATGTCTCTTAGAATCAAATTTCCTTTCTACTTAGCTGTCACTTGTAAGTTGTGAATAAGTTGATTTTGCTTTTAATATAAATTTGTTTTATTTATTTTTCTGTTTTTTTTTTAATAACGTGAAACTTAGATTATTTGCTTGCAATTTTGGGCACTTGTTCGGTAATCAATTTTAATTACTGCGGTACATTATCATTTTTTGTCCTTGCTAAAGAACATATTTTTTTAATTAGATCAATATCAGCGCCTTGTGTACGCATAATTCGTGTACTGTCGGATCAATTGTAATAGACAACATTGCTGAGATTATTTTGGCTATAAATTTATTTCTTGGTACAATACTTACATTACAAACGTGGATAATTTTAAAAAATAATTATAAATTAACATATAGTTGGGGAAAAAAAAATCATATATTTTGGCTCATTATAATTATCACTATAATCATTAGTATTACATTATCAATTATTGATTTTTTAATCAAACGTATCTTTTTCATCAGTTTATTCGCTTTTGTGATATATCCGATTTTCCTTATCATTAATATTTATTTTTTGTTAAAAATTCATTTGAAGTTGAATAATTTGGATCAATCGGTTAATTATAATTTCAGTATATCTGAATTAAAGAAGCTTAGATCTTATATTCTATTATTCATTTATCAATGGGTAAGCTTGAAAATTTTATTAGTTTTTTAAATGTGATAATAAATTTTTGTATTAATCTTTTATATATTTATAGATAATAATAGTTATAGTAATTGTATATAATTTATACTTAAAAGTGAGATTTTATATTTTTTTTTCTTTTTTTTTTAAAAAAAGATAACAAAAAAAAACCAATAACTAACTAATTGAATTAATAAATTTTAAAAAATAGCTTTTATTCTACAAATATTGGATTTTTGATTTAAGTAAGTTATACATTCATTAATTATATTGTTTTATCAAATGAATTTAGATTTAGATTTATTAATCAAATTATTTAAATTATTTTTACTTACTTTTAAGCATACGCAATGGGAGGTATTCTTCACTTCATTTTATTTATTAATAATGAAGGATTTTTCTTTAATCCGGATTCAGTCGTACAACAACAAGATATACACTTATCTGTTGAGAATAGATAAGAACATTCTCTTACTGTACAGTCAACCCTTTATATGTATAACGATATGTCGGGACATATATAAAATTTTTAGAAAATATCGTTATATCTAAGTTATACTGATATTTATATGTCCTCACATATAGTGGGAAAATAAAATTTTATCGGTATATCAAGTTTTTAATAGTATATCGGTATATCGAATATCGGTATATCGAGGATAGACTGTAAATGTTTTCTGAATAGTAAACGTTATACATATATATATATATATATATACGTTTGAACGATAGAAATATTTTATCGTGGTATATTATTGTATATAAATTTCTTTATTTTAAAACTTAAATTCTTTCGTACATACGTTGTTTGGTGTATATAATTAATTTTATAATTACAATAAAGAACTTTAATGTGCATGGTTATGACATACAATAAACATATTACATCAGATCAGTAAACAATAATGTTCTAATGAACTGAACTAATTAAGAATTATCTAGTGATCTACAACACGCGTCGCTGACGACAATTCGGCGTCACATAATTGACAGATTGACACTAAACTAATTTTGGTTTCTGCGTTTAAATTTTACTAGTTTCGCCTAGAACATCACATTTTTAAAAATTCTATTACCGTGAAAGTCATTACTATACTATTTATAAATATTATTTATTAGTTAAAATTGGACGTATTTTATTTTCATTCATGTTAGCAAAATTTATGCGCATTTAAATGAAAAGCGATTGTCTCTCGGAATCAAATTTCCTTTCTATTTGGCTATCACTTGTGAATAAGTTTATATCGATTTTCTTATAATTTTTATTTATTTTTCTGTTTTACGATTAGATTATTTACTTGCAATTTTGAAAATTATAATGGTAATTATTTTTAATTATATTTGTTCTTGCTTAATATCAATAATTGTTTATATTTTTTAATTAGACAAGTACCAAGATCTTTCATAACAATCCATTTATTATGAGAATGATTATTGAAACTTTTTTAATATTGAATTTATTTCTTGATACAATATTTTCAATACAAACGTTACTATTATTTTATCGTTCGTAGATTTTTTTATCAGTTATAAATATTCCATCAGCTTGTTCATACATCCATTTTTCGTTAAAAATTCAAATGAAGCTGAGAATAAATTGGATTAATCGAGTAACTATCTGAATTGAAGAAGCTCAGATCTTATGTGGGTAAGCTTTTTAAATTTTATGATTCCAAGTGTGATAATAGAATTTTGTAATTAGGACATCATTGTTATATAAAATTATATATGTAAGTTGGTTACATGTATATTAATTAATTTACTAAATTAATTACTATGTTACTTATTTTAAGGATATGCAAAGGAATTCTTCACTCCGTGTTGTTATTTATTAAATATGAAGGATTTTTCTTTGATCCGGATTCAATCGTACAGCAACAAGAAACACAGCAAATAAATGATCCCGAAACCAGTATAATCTCATCTGCTGAGAGTAGACAATACAGTATTATGGAATTACGATTATTATAAATTTTATTAATTGTTTAAAATAAAGTGTGTTACTAAAAGTAGTAGATTAACTTTTTTCGTATATATGAAATATATAAAGAAATGATCAGGATAAAGAAAATTCCAATGAATATTATCTATATGCGTCAAATCAAATTTTGATGGTAACTTTTATTAGAAATTTTCAATTCTGAGAATTATAATTCGCACTTAACTGAAATCTATACAGCATGTGTATGACCCGTATAACTTATAATGTTCTAATATTATGAACATGTGACACGTGAGTCACGTGCCGCTGACGAATGACGATATTGGGACGTCACAATCGTCACATAACGATAACACTGAATAATTCCGCCTAATTTCGGCTATTTCTAATATATAAATATATAAGTAATCTTTTTTTTTTTATTTCATTTTTTAATCAATATTTACTGTAAAATGATTTTAAATATAATTTTAAGTGTTATTTGCGGATTGATTATAATTGGATGTATTTTTATTTTCTTTCGCGTTAGCAAAATTCGTGCCCATTTAAACGAAAAGCGATTATCTCTTGGAATCAAATTTCCTTTCTATTTAGCTATCACTTGTGAGTTGTAAATAAGTCGATTTTGTATTTCTTATAATTTTGTTTTATTTATTTCCTTATTTTATAATAATGCGAAATTAGATTATTTTCTCGCGATTTTGAACGCTTGTTTGGTAATTAATTTTTTTAATTATTGTATAAATTATCACATTTTTTGTTCTTGCTCAAATATTTATAATTTATGCGCTATTTTTTTTAATTAGACAAATCTCGATACTTTATGTATTTTGTGTGGCATCGAATCATATTTCATAGGCAAAATTGTCGATATTTTTTTGACCATGAATTTATTTCTTGGTACAATACTTACATTACAAACGTGGATAATTTTAAAAAATAACTATGAAATAACTTATGGTTTGGGGAAAAAAGACTATATACTTTGGCTTATAATAATAATCATTAGCACTTTATTATTAATTACAGGTTTATTCATAGACATGATTATTTATTTTGCGATATATCTAGTTTTAATTCCTATTAGCTTCTATTGTTTGTTAATGATTCATATGAAGTTGAAGTTGAGTAGTTTGGACAAAACGACTAATTATAAATTTAACGTATACGATTTGAAGAAGCTTAGGTCTTATATTTTCTTATTTGTTTGTCAATGGGTAAGATTTCTTTTTTTTTTATGAAAATTTTATGATGATAAAATTTTATATTAATATTTTATTTTATTATAGGTATTAATAATCACGTTCCGCTTTTCATTATCTGTAAGATTTTACATTGTTTTTTTTTTGCTTAAAAAGAAATAACTAAATTACTAACCATTTAAATCATTTAAATAATAAATTTAAAACAGTATTCGTCCTATCGATCTTTGGTTTATACCTTATGTAAGTATACATTCATACGTATATTATTAATTTATTAATTATATTATATAAATTTATTAACTTAAAAATATTTTGCTTATTTTTAAGCATACTTAATTGGTGGAATTTTCCACGTCATTTTATTTATTAAAAATGAGGGATTTTTATTTAATCCGGACACAATTGTACGGCAAGAAAAAGCGCAGCAAATAAATGACCCCGAAACTGGTATAATCTCACCTGTTGAGAATGGACAAGAATATTCTCTTACTGAAACCGTTTCCGAATAATGAATGATATTTGAACGAGATTATTATAACTATGGAACTATTTAGGTTATTTTATATACACATTTTATAATATAATTTTATTTGATATGAAGTAAATCATCCTATTAATCTATATTTTCGAAAGTTAAATTCTTTCATGGGGATATCGATATATATAACAATTGTAATATTTCACAATACGATTTGGCTAAATTTCGGAGATACATAAGAAAATTTCCAGACCCCTTAATTTATATAATTAATTACGTCACCAATAACAATAATGCAACCTTATTGTCACTATTATGAAATTGGGCAAACTTTATGGGCGGCTACACTTGGGAGCTTAAAATGGTTAATCCGGTAATAAATTGATAATATTACGTCATAGTTAAAAATATGCAATGTATTACACGTTTAACTTTTACTAAAGATCTACAACACATGCCACTGGCGATTATTTGGCGTCATGGTTGGCTAAATTTAGAAATATAAAAGAATAATAATTTAGACTCCAAAAAATTTTTGACGCCTAAATTCTTTTAATTTCAATGGTCATTTCCTTAAATATATATAATTATATACATATGTTTTTATATTTATAATTTTATTATTCTTTGAATACTTGCAAAAATGAATGAAATTGAATTTTTAAGTTATAATCATATTATTGATGTTTTCTCAGTATTGATTATAATTGGATGTATTTTTATTTTCCATCGTGCTAGAAAAATTTATATGTCTAAGAAGCAAATGCCTCTTGAAATCAAATTTCCCTTATATATTGCTATCACTCGTAAGTTATTAAATTTTTGGGTTACAATGATCTTTTAAACTATATTTTAATTATTTTGATCATGTACTGTATAAATTTGAATTTTAGATTTTTTGTTCGCAATTTTGGAAATTGCTCAGGTAATTTTATATACCACCATTTTTTTTTGTTTTTTTGTCCTCCATTATAAACTCATTATAAATTAACTAAAATAATTAATTTTCTTTTTTTAATTAGACAATTATATACATCGTATGTATTGAATGTCGCAAGAACGCTTATAATATAATGTCTCACATAATTGGGGTTATTTTAATCGTGAATTTACTTCTTGGTGCAACAATTGCAATAGAAGTATGGAAAATTTTAAAAAATAATTTTGAAGTAAATTTTAGTTGGGGGAAAAAAGATTATAAACTTTGGCTTATGGCATTAACTGTTAGTGTTATATTCGAATTCGGAGATGAGTATAGTCAACTTTTTGGTAAAGAATTATTTTTTATAAGGTTCGATTTGGTAATAAGTTTTGTCTTCTTTCTTGTTACCATTTATTGTTTGATAAGAATTCATATAAGGTTAAATAAGTTGGATTCAAATATATATGAATCTGATATATATAATTCAAAGAAATTAAAATTTTATATTTTAGTATTTTGTTTTCAATGGGTAAGTTTTTTTTAATCAAAGAACAATTTTAAATGATCAAAAATATTTTATAACATAGTAAATTTAATAATTTAATAATTTAATAATTTTTTTTTTATTTATTTAGGCATTCATTATTTTATATTACATTTTACGAAGAATTACAACATCATTCTATATAGTATATGTTTATATCCTAGGTAAGTCATATATATAAACAAAAATTATTTATTGATAATAATTCTTTATTAAATATCTTTATTAATCAAATTTTTTTTCTTATTTTAAGCAATTGCAATTGGAGGACTTTGTAATGTTATTGTATTTATAAGAAATGAAGGAATTTTCTATAATTTAGGATCAATTACACAAGAAGAAACACCAGAAATAAATGATCCTGAAACTGGTACTAAAATCCCGTCTACTGAGATTAAACAAGAAAATTCTCTTACTGAAAGTGTTTCTGAATAAAAAATTGAACATTTTATCATGATATTATATAATATACTGATAAAATATTTTGTAAATATATTGTTATGGGTATTATTATAAATATAAATTTTATTTTTTTATTGCCCATGAAATAAAATAATTTGATGTCTTTACGAATTGTCATTCCTATTTATTACGGTATAATTATAATTTCGTGAATTCTTTCGTTTGTAAGTCATAAGGTGAATGGAAAATGAATGACCCGGTAGTTGTCCTAACTAATATCAGCATATTTTCTCTGTTTCGCGTGGTAAATTGCAAATTACGTCATAAATTGCTCCGCTGCTACAGTAGCATCGATGATGCTATTACAGCATTGATCTAGCGGTTTAATTTTAGATTTTTTTTTTTTTGTTATTTTTTTATTTTTTTTTATTAAAATTACGTATATTTTTATCTTTTATATAGTAAAATAAAATACTACAAATAATGTCTTATGTATGGTCTAGCTTATTTATTATAAAACTCGTACATCTGACCTTAGTAATACAACTCTAGTCGAGATTTCTTAATCGTATCCAACTTGATCCATCTTAATATTTTTAACAGTGGAGGTCGACCATTCTATCACTAAAATCGCAAAGAGAGATGTAATAAATGATATTGGTTATGGCGAAAATATTAACTGTAAATTATTCTGTGAAATTAAATGCTCGTCAGACTTAAACCTGTTTGGTGAAAATAATTATCTTTAGTAAAATAAGTCCGCAAATGATATGATAGCTTGTCGACAAGTGATCGCACGATACACACTCTTGGCAACCGATCATGAACCACAACTCTTGAAGAATCTTATGGGATAACAGTAGTTCTTCAGGATAATCGGTCAGCGCATCGTCTTCCATTACGCAAGTCACGGAGGTGCCCTATAGGAATAGGTTTTTGACTAACCCTGCCCGTGACCTAACATATGGGGTCAAGTAATCCTTTTGCTGGAATATTCAATAACAAAAGCAAGCATCAGCACAAGGTTAGGTAGTATAATTAGGACTTTATTTTAAAATACTTACAAGGCACCAAAAGGAAAACTTGCATTTCTGGGTTCGCGCTCACAGTATAACTCTTGACAATCAAGTGTGAGCCACAACTCGAGAGCTTATGGCAGTAGTTCCTCAGAACACTCAGTAGTTATACTGTCTTCTGTGAGAGGATCTGGTCACAAACGTACCTTCTGATGAAGAATAACCGTCCGTCTTATCTCAGAGTATACGTTCTATTTTACAAAAATAAAGGAAAAAAATTTAGTACAGTCAACGAAAGAAAAAAGTTATTATAAAGGAAAAAGTTACTCTCTTCGTAGTAACAGAGACGCTTAACCCAAACCACGTGCAGCCCACACGTGTTCGGTGTTCTTTAGTGTACATTCCACATTATCAACATCATATCAAATATGTAAAACTTACTATAAGATAAAAGTTATAATACACAGTAATTACAGGTTAGTCCAGTTTCATAAATTATAACCAACTACATCTTTTAATTAAGTGAGCCATCGTGGACGCTTACCCAGACTTCAATGGAAACCCACCACCCATGACCGCATCTAAGCAGGATCATATTACATTAATTGATAGATGAGACCTCACGTGATCTGGTCTTTTACGATTTTGCTTGGTACTGGAAGGGCGAAGAGATTTATGAAAGTCTGACACAAGTGGGATACGTGGAAAGGTTATCGGTCAAACGACTACAAATATAAAACCGTTCGAACCAAAATTCGCCTAACAAAAGATATGGAAGTAAATTTAATGAAGGGAGGATCGAATATAACGATAACGAAGAAAGAACAGATTTATTTTTTAGAATGTTTGACGCTAAGTTATTATCCCGTAATTAAAAAGAAGATATACCGGATTATAAAATTATCAAGGATAGTATAAGAGATTTTGGTGGACATTTCGCAAAAATCATTAAAGTAAACAAAATTAAATATATTTTGATGTATTTTAGCAATGAAAAGAGCATGATGAAGGCGGTATATGATTCTCGATGAAAGAGGAATTGGGCAATGGACTTCAAATTAAAGATCAAGATGAAATTATACCGACGGAGGCTTTAAAAGCTGGGAATTCAAAAGGCGTCTAACAATAACGTTGACTCTTCTTCGGAAGACGAGCAATTTTTCGAAGCAACAGACAACTTAACGGGTTTAACGGCTTCGAAGACAGAATTGGTGGAAACTTTTTTACATTGGATTCGGTATTTAGTAGCAGAATTAACGTTATTAGACGCATCAAAAGGTAAAGGTAAGGTTGTGGAATCAGAATTGAATGGAAACAAAAAACGCATAGTGACAGTTCAGGAAGTAGAGACGACTCTGATAGCGATTTACCATTCATTAGAGTAAGCAATTCTGAGTAGGGTTGTTTTTTTTTCGTTGGAAATGGTTGCAGATTAATTAGACAAGTGGAGAATTTTTGTTTAGTATTCGAATACGTTTCCGTTAAACGAGAATCAATTAGATCTTATTTTCCAATGTTTTACTTTTCTGATTTTACAATTTTTAAGAAATTTTGTATTTAGTTTATTTGTGTTCGCAATATTCAATAGATAGAAAATAGTATAACTCACAGGTGAAAATATTAGAAAAATCAAAAAAATTTAATAAAAATTGTTTAAACAAAGCATTACACAATTAGAATTTTATTTTATTAGTTTGTTGTAATCCTTTTAGTTTAGGTCAGTTAGTCATAGGGTTATTGATATTTTTTATCAATACCTCCAGGGTTTTTTACAATTATACAATTATGTAATCTTTTGGTTATAACATAATTAATAAAAAATGCGTTACTAATTAAAAAAAAATTTGATAGAATAAGTTTTTTATGTTTGTTATTGTAACATAATAAGTTAGCCAAATTGAGTATGGCAAGCTAAGCTAACGGTATTTAGAAATTTGACCGTACGCTCAGTAATTACGAATTATTCATGAACAACAATTGCAATTTACAAATATAATAATATACAAAAAAATTAAGCCATGTTTGGCAACTATTAATCAGAATTAATAATATTATGTCGATTTTGCATTGTTCATAGTAATTAGTAAGTCAGCATTAACGTAATATGTGTAATATGTGTCACTTATCTGAAAAAATAATGACTCTATTGATTTAAAACGATAATCATGCTGACTAATATATTATTTATTTATTAAATTACTTTTTGTTGCTTTTTTGCTATTTCTCTTTGCTTTTTTTTAGGTCTCCTCCAGGCGATTTCTTCTTTGGCAACAACTCTTCCTTTGGTAAATGAATAACAGCAAAGAGAATATCATTGTGGATTGTGCGCAACAACTTTTGATTTTGGAGCGGCCTTTGGGATATATTTAATTTGAATAATGTCACAAACTGCGAAAGAGCTGTTCTTGAATTTCTTTGTTACATTGTGGTAAGTTGTTCCTAACAACTTACAGATCTATGATAATTGTCTTTCCATAGTTCCATCATGCCGTACGTAGGAGGAAATAACGGATGGAGTTTCCTTTTCGTCCGGCTTGTCCATGTAAGCCCAGATACGTCGGTCCGCCTGCGTACTGTGGTTGCCCGGATAGGTAGTTGAACGACTTGAACGTGTATAGATTCGTACTACTGTTTTATTTTGTTAATTCATATTATTACTTTTTTTTGTTTTCTTATTTTTTTTTTGTTATATTTTTGTTAATTTCTCAATTTTGTTTATTTCATTTTTATTGTTTTTTTTATCTTGTTTGCACTATTTTTTCAATATATGTATATATGTATATGTTCTTCGATATATTTTTACTATTTTGTAGTAGAATAGAGTTAGCTTAGCAAGGAAAATGTACGGAGGAATTATGGAAGTCATTAAGGAGAAACTGGCTTTCCTGGAGGAGGGTTAGCCTATGTACCTGGCTCCTATCATAGAATAATTAGTATTTTTTTTTTATTAAATCAATACTAAGATCATCTTTATTTTATAGTTTCTCCCATGTTTCTTTAGAATTCAAAGAACTGGAAAAATCTTGACAATAATATGAATGCATGATTAATAATAGAATGGCATCCTGGTGAAATTTCGATTTGTTGAATAGGAGTGAAAATACAATAATTACGATCAAAGTATTATTTTATTTTTGTCATTGGATATCATTTTACGTTTGATTATTATTTTTTTTAAATGTGGTAACTAATTTGTTAAATTAAATAAATATTTCGCACTTTAATTTAAATTAATTAATAATTTAAATGCTTTTTGTCGGTTTCAGTAAACCAATTTTAATCGAGTTTAGTTGAAACCGGTTGTACGATCATGTGATTTCACTAATAATATTTAACTCTAAATCAGTTTTTCAGCATAATTTTATAATAAAATGTGAAGTTTTTTTCACAAAATATGTTACATTAACATAATCGGATTTAAATTAAATTGCTTGAGTAACCAAATTTGTTAATATACATATAAACATAGTTTTAAAGCATGTTTTTAAAAAAAAATTTGTTTGGAACCGAACCGACTGTTTGAGTAATCTAGCATCCCTAAATGTAACGGTTATCACCAGAAATTTCAACACCGTTGCGTTGTTTTACACAAAATAAAAGGAACGAATATTTTAATATTTAATATTTATATCATTAGTATGGGAAATCATTTTTGAGAATTTTCCAACTATAATTAATAATGATCAAGAAAAATGGTATAATTCTTTTTAATATATGTACACAGTGAATACACAGTGAATTATATAAATCCAAACGTTCAATGTAATTGTAAAAATTTTTAACTTCCTCGATTTCATTTTTTTAACAATTGATCTAAAAAAACAAAGAATGCAAGAAAAAGATAAATTGAGGCTAACGAATAAATATCAACTGAATATAAAAAGAAAGTATAATGGACTTGTTGAAAATCAGTAAAATTTTGTCATCAATATTACAATACACATTTGCAAGATTATTAATTTATGTCAATAATGATAAGAACTGTGCTTACCAAATTATCAATTAAATAAACCATTTTTTTTAAAAAACTTTTTGTTTTATTAATTTTAACATTTTGAATATTTTGAAAACAAAATCAAATTAATCAGTAAAGCATTTAAAACTGTCTTCTTCTTAAACACCTATTAGAATTTAGATAAAAAAACATTTTTTTTTTCTTTTTCCTTATTATCATTATTTTAATTTTTGGATATTTAGGCCCAATTATTAAAGATGTAAAGGAAATCTTCTTGAATATTACATTTCCTAATAAAAAATTTAAAATTCAATATATAGTATGGGCGTTAATTCGTCGTAATTTCTTAGATTAGATTTCCATACAATATGCATTTAACTTCTGTAGCAAATTCTCATAACATTAAAAATACAAAGTATAAAATGACGAATAAAAATAAATAAATAAAACAAATAACAACGAATATAGTATGTAACTATGTATAATTATAAATTGTCAAGGATATCTTTTAACTCAAAAAAATTTTCCGTTTCTTTTTTTGAAAAGTATTTGTCTTTGAAGGCTTCTGGTATGCTCGGGTAAAATTCATGATAATCTAGACTATCTGGTAACAAACAACTCATATTAGGAGTGCAAGTTATCTCTTCCTCATTATACCCAAATCGAATATAATCTATTTTCTATTTAAATCAAAAATAATGATAATGAGTTAAAGCTACTTCAATCTGGAACCTGAATAAATGAATAACAAAATATACCATATCAATAGCATTCATTTCAATTATAAGATGTGAATTCCGGAAATCAAGTTCAATTGGAATCTTACATTCAATCCAACCTAATCCCTTAAATTTTAACACATCTCTATATTTTAATATGTGCACATTCCATCCAATATAACTGGAGTTATGGGACTATAATTAAATATAAACATCAATTTAAAAAGATATTATTGCAAATAAAATAGATTTTAATAAAAACTTACATTTTTTTCTCCAAATTTTATAAAGCAAGATTCAGATATTATCTTTTTGACATTTATTTTCCAAATAATACACCCGTCATAAAAATCTAGTACAGGAAAAATTAAACGAATTCCTCCATTTTTGCAACAAAGTACTTGACCTGATAAACTTGAATTATAAAACACAATTATTAATGCTTAGAATTTTTTAAATTAAACAATTCTATAAATAGTTCTCACCTATTTGGATCACTTTCTTGAAATTGACAATATATCTTATTATAATTTATTAAGTTTGAAATTAAATAAATCTCTTTTTCTAAATAAATTTTAACCAAATATGTCAATAATAATTAATTTTAATAGCAAAAGTAGTATATTTAAGTGTTCACTCACCTATATACAAGTATGCACTATAATAATCAATAATTCCAATATTACTTAATAAAGCTCCATATTCATCAGCAAAATATGACCAAAAATTTAAATATTTTTGTAATAAGTGAATATATGAAATGCAACTATAAATAGATATTGATTCACATAACATATTAAAATCTGATTTTGCTGTATGGTACATTCTTAATTTAATATGTATACTACATCTTATAAAAAGCAGTGTCTCCCTACTTTTAGTATTTGAAATTTGATTTAATTTTATATACATCAATTCTGTGAATTCATGCTTTTCCAGTAAATATTTTAAATAAAAAAATTGTGTCTTCTCTAAAATATTATAATTGGAATTTAATATTAATTCTATACACTTTTTTATTTCTATTTTAGCATTATTAATATCTCCTTTTGTATAATATGCTAGAATTTTAAGATAATATGCCAAAATATTTAATGGATCAAATTGGATAACTTTATCAATATCTGATAAAACTTCATCATACTCTTGAAGATCATAATATGTAATGGCTCTCTTTTTCAAATTATGAATATTTTCTGGATCTATTATATTTGCTTTTGTAAAATATGATATGGCGTTATTATATTTTCCCATTTTAAATAAAATTTCTCCATAATAACATAAAATCAATGAATCATTCTCATTCATACTTAGTAATTTGTCTAAAAATATTAAAGCATTTTGATAATATTTTTTTCTCTCATATATATATGCACAATTCTTAAGACACAAATAATTATTTGGGTCATTTTTTAATGCAGTTTCATAATTTCTTAAAGCATCAAATAAATAATATTTATCAAAATTAAAAGATTCTGCCTCAAAAAGATTACTATTTCCAAGTATTATATATAAATTATTTATTTTTGTCTTATATTCTAATGATTTATTTAAATGATATATTGCTTCATCATAATTACTTTGACAATAAAATACTTCTCCACAAATAAAATAAGCAATTGGTTTTTTTGGCTTTAAATTAATAGCCTCTTCTAAATATAAATGTGCTTGTTCATAATTATTTAGACATCTATAAATATAACCCAAAATACATCTTGAAGAATAACTTTTAGGAAAAAAATTTAAAAATTCTTTACATAAAGTTTTAGCTTTTTCATAGTGTTTCTCATTTAATTCTTTTATAATATTTTGATATAATGGATGTTGTTTTTTTGTAAATCTTGGAACTATTGATGATAATGATTTGTTTGATGAATTTAATTTAATAAATGGATTCTTAAATTTCTTTTTAGTTAGTATAAGATCAATTTCTGAATTATCTGAATCATCACTATCACGTTGAACTTGATCTGAATTTTTCAATTCAATAGAAGGTGAAATATATCCAGATTTAGAAAATTTTGAATATAAATTATTATAAATAGAAGACTGTGGTAAATATCTGATATCATCATCAACAATTTTTTTTCGACATTGAGGGCATATTTTTTGTTTTAACTTTTTTAAATTATTTAATGATAATGCATGTTTACATTTTAAAATACATAATTGATCCGTAGGTTCACTACTAATTGGACAAGTCATTTCATTTGCTATAGCATCTAATATAATAGAATTTGGTGTTTGTTCTCTTATTATACATGAATTTTGATTGGTACTTAATTCTTTTCCTTTTCCTTTTTTTTCTTTTTCAGTATTATCATATATAATATTTAAATCTTCAAGATATTTGTTTTTAACAAATTCCAATAATTTTTGAAATTTTTCTGAATCTAAAGAATTATTTTTATTCAATATTTGTATATAGTGATCGAAATCATCATCTATCATTGAAAATACTTGATTATCAATTTTATGTAAATGTAATAATATTTCAATAGCCTTAAATTGAATGAAGCTACTTGGAGCTTTATTAAGTGATTCAATTGCCAAATAATAACAAAGACCATGTATGGATTTTCGAGTAGACTTTTGAATAAGGTTATGCGCAAGATCCAATATTCCAAACCATAAAGTATATGGTAATGCAAGAGGTTCATTTCCAGAAAGATCATTCAAAAAACTTCCAGTATTTTTCAAAGCCTTAATAACTTTGTTTGATACTTCATCAAATTTGGTTTGAGAGTCTAAAATAGATTTATTAGTAATGTTAATCCATTCTCTTTCCAAAAAGCTCCACAGATATTCCATCAATATTAATTCTCCGAATTTTTTACTAATAATCATTTCAGAACATTCAGACCAGATGACAAGATTGTGTTGTACAATCAACATAATTCGCCAATCTATATAATAAGAAGCTACTGGATATTTAAAACTTAAACTTTGACGAACCTGATTGAGCATTGATAAGATTGAACAATCATTTGGAAGATTAGCTCCTGTTATTGCTGATAAAATTCCTGGCGTAATATTCAATGCAGTTTTAAGCAAGTCTCTAATTCTTCGTATAATTTCTTGAAACCAAGTTTCATCATCACGAAGACTATGTAAAGTATCTCTCAAATGAATTAATAAAAAATCAATATTATAATTTCGTTTTTTAGCAATTTTTTCATCAGATTTATCATCCTTTTGCTGCTTAAATTGATCATAGTTAGATCTAAAGTTATTTTCAAGTCCTTCTTCAATCACTTGAGTAGTTTTACGATGAATTTCAGCAAATCTTGTTAAAGAATTATAAATTTTATCTCGAAGGTCTTTAGTGAGACGTATTGGAGAGAAACATATCCTCTCTAATACCGCTATCAATGTGCGTAAATGCAATTCTAATCTAGCCGCACTTTCTTTTGAATAAAATAAATTAAATGGAGCAGGATCCGCTAAAGCGACTAATGCATCTATTAATATTTGATTTGAAAATTCGTTCTGTAAATTTTCAAAAAGTAACTTCAAGTTAAATAAATATTTTATTCCAGTTAATTCCTTGATAAGTTCTTTTGCTTTTTCGTCAGGCGTGATAAATCCATTCTCTTCTAATTTGAGAAGGATACTATGTCTTGACGTTTTTACATGCAAAGCCTGTTTATACGAAACAGAATTGTCGATCTCTAAATTACCAAGTGCAAAAACGGTATTATAGGAAGAACTTCCACTCTATATATAATATAAATGAGTTAAACAATTTTTCTAACCTGATTAAAATAAATAAATTCTGCTTTAAATTTATAAATGAATTTACCTGACTTGAACTTCCATCCATTATTTATATATGACAATGTATATTTTTGGTAAATATTTGAGCTTTTTTTTTTTTTTTTTTTTTTGTCGCAAAATAAATATAATAATATCAAAATATAAAATAATTATTATCTCGTCAGGTATTAAAATATTAAGAAACCCAACCTTGAATAATATTTCTAATCTTGTAGGAGGTCTACAATTATTTAAATAAGTTTATTTTCTAACCGAATTAAGTAAAATTACAATCAAAAGGTATGTGGCGCAATAACGTACATGTCACATGTCATTCAAGCACATCATTAAATTTAATGTAACTATTGTAACGAATGTAACGTGTTACAGAAAATATTATTAATATGGCGTAGTACAAGAACTCCGAAAGTGATAAAATGTTACTTTCAGAAAGAGGAAATAAAATAAGATCCAGGACTTTTGTTTTTTATAAGAGAATTAAGAGAAATATTAAATTTCTATTAATTTCATGAATTAAATGATTGTTTTAACTATATTCGATTACAATGCATCAATTTAATGTAACGATTGCAACGTAACGCAAATGAAAATATAACTCTTTCTCTGTGTAACAGCAATTTGTATAGGTTATTAATCTTGGGCGCAGTATTATATTTAATTTTAATAAGTGGATAACCGAAATGACCCTAAACTATTGGGCAATTTACTTATGGTATTTGTGTCCGTAGATCACATGTGTACGAAAGGGCTAATTTTGAAAACTTTAATAATTTTGGGGAATTTTTATTTATTTGCTCATTTGATTTTTAATTAATCTTAGAAAAGGAAATTTATGATTTGATTGGTTCCATTAGAATTTGTTTTGGAAGTATTTACTTAAAAATGAAATTTGTGTTATCTTTTGAACTTGGGAAATATATTTTACTACTAATAACTTTTGTAATAAATAAGGTGCCTACATTGTACAAGTTAACAAACGGTATCATACGTTAGTGTGATAATGAAAATTTACAATAATACAGTCAATTTTTACGGCACGCAAGGACAGATTTCTTATAATCAATTTCAATATATCAAATAAATCAACTATAAAAAAAGAAAGAAAATGATAACGAGATCATATCGGCGGATTTGATTACCCTATAATCAACGTGTTAATTTTTTGATACTTTTGTTACACTTATACAATAATTTGATAAATACTTCTTTTAAGATTCTGATAATATTGATAATTTATGGGATCTCATTTTGCGCAATAATTTCTGGAATTTTTATTTTGTAAAATTAAAAGTATACAATCAGTTTGAGTGCCAATTTCCTATAATGTGTACAATAAAATAAATGTGAATTATTGAAAAATATAGAAAATAGACAATTTTATAAAAATTATTATTAAAAAAATTTTTCAAACAATATTCATTGAGTTTTAAAATACTTTTAAAATATTCATAGCTGTGACTGTATAAATTTCTACTTTACATATTGTTTTATTAAAGCATAATTACTTTCTAATAATACACACTAAAATTGAGAGGAGTTTTTACTCATAATTTAGTCAAAATGATATACACAATTTTGGGCAATGGAAATCATGAAAATCTTTCAGATTCAAATCCGCAGATGTGCTGAATTCATTTGATTCGAAAAACTTTAAGTCAATCAATTTTAACTTTAACGTTGAAACTTTTTTTATAAAAATTTTGAAAAGGTTTATTAAGTTTAAATACTTCAAATTTAATATACTTCAGACAATATCTGACATGCATTAGTCTTCCTTTGTATATTTATTTTCTATTTAATCCAAATATTACAGTCTTTTTATAAAATTTAAAAAAGAAAAAACAAATTCAACTTATAAAATAGTTACGTTAGATTCTAAATCTTATTCATAATTATATGAATTTGAAGTTTAAATTGTTCATCTCGAAAAATTAACTAAGATACCGGAAATTTATCTTCCGTTATTTAAAATTGTCCTACATATCCAATAAAGCTTCTTATTTTTAATTAATTAATTAGATTCTATCCATATTCATATGAACCTTTTTTTTCTTTTATAATTATTTAAACTGACTGGTATTCGTCATTAATTTCTAATCGGCTAACGTCTTAGCTATTAGTAATAAATTCTGAATGTTTATATAAAATTTTCTTACTCTGTAATTAAAGATTTAAAATTGTAGGGTGATTTAGATTAATTTTTCTTAATTTTGGACTAAGCTTCTTTACAATTTCATTATGTTCACGTTATATAAATATGAAAATAAAATCTTTATAAAAAATTATCTGTATTATCTCTAACTTTTATTTATACAATGTCATTCTCGCTCATAGCGAAAGTATAATGTCAATGTTATTGTTGGATTTCAAATATACGATACAACGCTATAAAAAATTTAAATTACGAGAAATGAAAGAATTATTTTTTGATTTTACTAAACATCGATTTAAACAATAAAAAAAGTACCAAATTCTCATAACATGAAAAACACAAAGTAAAAACTATAAAATGACAAATAAAACATAAATAAAATAACAACAAATGTACAATGTATAATTATAAGCTGTCAAGGATATCTTTTAATTCAAACAAGTTTTCCATCTTTTTTTTTGAAAAGTATTTATCTTTGAAGGCTTTTGGAATGCCCGGGTAAAGTTCATGATAATCTGGCAACAAATAATTCATATTAGAAATGTAAGTTATCTCTTCTTCATTATGTCCAAATCGAATATAATCTATTTTCTAAATAAATCAAAAAATAACAAATAATAAGCTAAAGTTATCAGAAAATGAATCTTGAATAAATAAAGAAGTAAATATACCATATTGATAGCATTTATTTCAATTGAAAGTTTTGGAATCGATGAACTATTTTTGATTGGAATGCTACATTCAATCCAACCTAATCCTTCAAATTTTAACACATCATTATATTTTAAAGTATGTTCATTCTTCCAAAATTATCAAGGAATTATAATTAAATTTAGACATTAATTTGAAAATATAATTTCGTAAAAACAAGACAGTAGATTTCAATAAAAAAACTTACATTCCCTTCTGTAAATTTTATAAAGCAATCTTCGGATATTATCTTTTTAACATCTATTTTCCAAATACATCTGCCACTATTTCTTAGTATAGGAAAATTTAAATGAAGTTCTTTATTTTTGGAATAAAATACTTGACCTGATAAACTTAGATTTTTAAAAACATAATTAATAATGAATAGAATTTTAAATTAACAATACTATAAATAGGACTTACCTATTTTGATCACTTTCCTGAAATTGACTATAATATATCTTATTATAATTTATTAAGTTTGAAATTAAATAAACCCTTTTTTCTAAAATAAATTTATAATCAAATATGTCAATTTTAATTAATTTTAATGGCAAAAACAGTATATTAAGTGTCCACTTACCATTATACAAGTATGCACCATAAAAATCAATAATTCCAATATAAGTTATATTATAACCATTAACTAAATATGACCAAAAATTTAAATATTTTTGTAAAAAATAAATATATGAAATACAATTATTAATAGATATTGATTCACATAACATATTAAAATCTGATTTTGCTTTATGGTATATTTCTGATTCAATATATATAATACATCTTATAAAAAGCAGTGTCTTGCTAATTTTAATATTTGAAATTTGATTAAGTTTTGTCAATATGTTATCTAATTCTGTAAATTTATTTTTATTCAACAAATATTCTAAATAAAATAATTGTTCCTTTTCTATAATTGTATCATTAGAATTTAATAATTCTGTAAGCTTATTGAAAGCTATTTTGGCATTACTAATATCATTTTTTGTAAAATATGTTATACTTTTGAGATAATATGCTGTATTATTTAATGGATCCAATTGAATAATTTTATCAAGATCTGATAAAACTTTATCATATTCTTGAAGATAATAATATGCAATAGCTCTCTTTTTCAAATTATAAACATTTTCTGGATCTATAATATTTGCTTTTGTAAAATATGAAATGGCGTTATTATATTGTTTAATATTACACAAAATTTCTCCATAATAACATAAAATCAATGAATCCTTCTCATTAACACTTATTAATTTATCTAAAAATATTAAAGCATTTTTATAATCTTTTTTTCTTTCATAAATATATGCACAATTCTTAAGACATAAATAATTATTTGGGTCATTTTTTAATGCAGTCTCATAATTTTTTAAAGCATCTAATAAATAATATTCATCATAATTATAGGATACCGCCTCAAAAAGATTACTATTTCCAAGTATTATATGTAAATTATTTATTTTTGTCTTATATTCTAATGATTTGTTTAAATAATATATAGCTTCATCATAATTATTTTGCCAAAAAAATACTTCTCCACAAATAAAATAAGCGATTGGCTCTTTTAGTTTTAATTTAATAGCCTCTTTTAAATATAAATGCGCTTGTTCATAATTATTTAGACATTTGTAAATATAACCCAAGATACATCTTAAAGAATAACTTTTAGGAAAAAAATTTAAAAATTCCTTGCATAAAGTTTCGGCTTTTTCATAGTGTTTCTCATTTAATTCTTTTATAATATTTTGATATGTTGGATGTTGTTTTTTTGTAAATCTCGGAACTATTGATGATAATGACATGTTTGAATTTAATTTAATAAATGGATTCTTAAATCTCTTTTCTTTAGTTAATATATGATTAATTTCTGAATTATCTGAATCATCACTATCATATTGCATTTGACCTGAATTTTCTATTTCAATAGTAGGTGAAATATATCCAAAATTGGAAAATTTTGAATATAAATTGTTATAAATAGAAGTCTGTGGTAAATATCTGATATCATTATCATCAATTTTTTTTCGACATTGAGGGCATATTTTTTGTTTTAACATTTTTAAATTACTTAATGATAATAAGTGTTGACATTTTAAAATACATAATTGATCAATTGGTTCCTTACTAATTGGACAAGTCATTTCATTTGCTATAGCATCTAATATAATATAATTTGCTTTTTGTTCTTTCATTATACATGAATTTTGATTTGAATTTTTTTCTTTTCCTTTTCCTTTTTTTTCTTTTCCAATATTATCATTTAAAATTTTTAAATCCTCAAGATATTTGTCTTTAACAAATTTTAATAATATTTGAAATTTTTGTGAAGAACCTACTAAATTATTTTTATTTAACATTTTTATGTAGTGATCAAAATCATCATCAATCATTAAAAACATTTGACTATTAATATTATGTAAATGTAATAATATTTCAATAGCTTTAAATTGAATGAAACTACTCGGTGCTTTATTTAGTGATTCAATTGCCAAATAATAACAAAGACCATGTGTTGCTTTTCGAGTGGATTTTTGGATAAGGTTATATGCAAGATCCAATAATCCAAACCATAAAGTATATGGTAATGCAATAGGCTCATTTCCAGAAAGATCGTTTAAATAATTTCCAGTATTTTTCAAAGCCTTAATAACTTTGTTTGATACTTCATCAAATTTGGGTTGAGATTCCGAAATAGATTTATTGGTAATGTTAATCCATTCTATTTCTAAAAAGCTCCATATAAATTCCATTAATACCATTTCACCAAGCTTTTTATTAATTATCTTTTCAGAACATTCAGTCCAAATGAAAAGATTGTGTTGGATTATTAACATGATTCTCCAATCTATATAATAAGAAGCTACTGGATACTTAAAACTTAAACTTTGACGTACTTGATTAAGCATTGATAAGATTGAACAATTATCATTTGGAAGATTAACTCCTGTTATTGTTAAAATTCCTGGTGTAATATTCAATGCAGTCTTAAGCAAATCTTTAATTCTTCGTCTAAATTCTTGAAATCTGGTTTCATCATCACGAAGGCTGTGTAAAGTATCCCTCAGATGAATTAATAAAAAATCAATATTATAATTTCGTTTTTTAGCAATTTTTTCATCAGATTTATCATCTTTTTGTTGATTGAATTGATCAAAGTTAAATCTAAAGTTATTCTCAAGTCCTTCTTCAATTACTTGAGTAGTTTTACGATGGATTTCAGCAAATTTTGCCAAAGAATTATAAATTTTATCTCGAAGGTACTTAGTAAGACGTATTGGGGAGAAACAAACCCTCTCTAATATCGCTATCAATGTACGTAAATGCAATTCTAACCTAGCCACGCTTTCTTCTGAATAAAATAAATTAAAAGGAGCAGGATCCGCTAAAACGATTAATGAATCTATTAATACTTGATTTGAAAATTCGTTTTGTAAATCTTCAAAAAGTAATTTTAAAATAAATAAATATTTTATTCCAGTTAATTTTTTGATAAGTTCTTTTGCTTTTTCGTCAGGCGTAATAAATCCATCCTCCTCCAATTTGAGAAGGATACTATTTCTTGCCGGTTTATATGAAACAGAATTATTAATTTCTATAGGAGAGGAGAAAGCATTGCTAAAAGTACTTCCACTCTATAATAAATAATGTTATAAACTAGGTTTATTGATTAACATGCCTAAATTTCTACTTAAAGTATAATTTACCTGGCTTGAGCTTCCATCCATTATTTTTTTCTTATTATGAAAAAATATCTAGTTTCTACTGGCGTAGATATATATATATATATATATTTTAAATCTATTATTAATTGTTAATATTTTAAAAACAAAAAATATTTTTCTTTGCCTACTGAGGGTATTAAGATTTGATACTTATTCGAAGTTAATTTTTTTATTTTTATAAAGTTTTTTTTTAGCCGTCTTTGGAAATTGATAAGAAAACCGAATTTGGTAAATTTACAATAGAAATGCATAGTGACGCAATGATGTGCAATGTTTCGGATACGATGCAACGATCGTAGAGACGTAACGTGTCACAAAAAAAATCTTTTGGCGCAGTAATTAATAAAATAAATCCGAGTTTTATTCCATTTGAATAGAAGAAATATATTTATAATTACCCTAAAATTATTGTGTATTTTATCTATATAGACGGTAATAAGGATGGTCATCGGTCCTACTCAATCCTAGACCGGTCGGTCCCCGAGCTATACATAGAAAGGTCAGGTCCTGGTTATTTGCTTAGAATGAGTAGATCGCTTCCACAAAGTAAATCGACGACTGACCGGTCTTCATATAATAAATGATTCTTATATTAAATTTAAATTATTCAAATTTAAAGCTAGAAAAGTTTTTTCATTTGCAGAAAAAAAAGAAAAAAGACCGATCGGTCTTAAAAAGACTGCGGTCCCTAAAAAGACCGACGGTCTTATTGTACAGTATGTAATACAGGAACGAAAGACCACAGTCCTAGTACACAAGACGGTCTTTTTAAGGTGTAAGACGGTAGTATCACGGTCTTTAGGACCGAGCACCATCTTTAGCCATAACTTAGTTTCAAAAGTTCAAAATGTATTTAAGGATAAATTTTTATCAGGAAAAAATAGAACTTTACTCTGGGATACTATAAAAGTTATATTCTACTTAGATATTCCAAAAATGAGAAAGTATAAAATTAGGTGTTTTCAAGTTATGCAAAAAAACATTTGTTTCATCTCAAAAATGAACTTATAAGTAGATTTTTCGTCATTAAAAATTTTAACATTTCATTTCGTTACAAGCGACTTACAATTTAATTTTTTTTTAAACATAATATTTAAAAAATTTTTAAATTTAGTATAAATCGTTGCAACACGTTACATTTAATTATAAATTTTACAATTTGATTTGAGTATTTAGTTAGAATTAAAATTTTTAATTTATTAAAAAAAAATTTATAAATCAGATAATATATAAAGAAAGAATAATCAACAATATAATTTAATTTATTTATTTATTTTTTTTAAATTGCACTGCATTTCTTTATTAAATTCTGTACTTGTACATATTAATTTCGAAATACCTAGAACCGCAGACCTCAAGGATCATACGACTCTATAGCAAAGTTTAATCTAGTCTAAATACAGAGTGCTAATTAATCTAATATGTACTATCGTGCAATGATTTGATCTCAGGTCCCAACAAATAAATCTCCAAAATCCTCTCATCCGTTGCAAAAATAAGAAAAAATAAAAAATAAACAAACCCTAACTAAAGAAGACTAAACCTAAAAAAAGAAAAATATAGTTATTATAAAGAAAATTTATCCGTCTCCGGAGAGAATTCGATGATAAACTGAAATTAAACTTCAAAGGAGATAGTGCCCAACGGCTCTACTTCTAGTTGATATCCCAAGCTTTCCCTCCACGGTGTCTCCCCTACAAAATTAAAAGTTAGTAAACATAAAACCTATTCTATACATTAACTAATCTTAATCGCATCTAAGTAAATTTTTTTTCGGTAAATTTTTTACGCGAAATCACGTGACTTCGATTTTAAGATGCGAATTCTCAGTACTTTAACTCGCCTTCATCTATCATTGCTTTTTCTATTTATGTGGAATATTGGAATTTGGGATATTGGGATTCGGGAAATTATATGTTTCAGGAAAGAATCCAGTTCAGGAAATTATTATTCGGATAATTGACTTCAGTAAAAGATATATTCGGAAAATGGCATTCAAGAAATAGTCTGAAAATGAAATTTTCTTTATCTTTCATTTTTTATTCTTATTAATTCTTGTGTGTTCATTATCATAATGAACATTGATCTTGTTTTTATTATTATTACTTAATCTTTTGATTCCTTTGTCTTCAAAACTTATTAATTTTTCAAATGCAGGCTTTTTGATTTTCTTTTATTCGAATTTTTAATTAAAAAATACTTTTTTTATTTTAAATCGTAATTCAGAGTAAAGGTCTGAATTTACCCCTATTTTACAACCCGGCCCGGACCCGGACTATTACTATATTATTATATCATTTTGTTGTAAAAACAAAAAAAATCGGTCAACTTAATTTTGCCAGTTTAAACTTCGGCCGGAATCAAGACGATTTTGGCCAGAATTACGAAAATCCGGGTTTAACGAAAAATCATGTACCGGCCCGGACCGGCCCGAGTGAATTTTAAAGAAAGTTTGCCGGCCCAAACCCGGATCCGGTCCGGGCCGGGTTAGGGTTTTCTGGTTCCGGGTCCCGTTTGCAGGCCTCTAATTCAGAGTATTAGTGAGTATTGTATTATTTGTTTAATTTCTTTCTTATAAAGATCGGCAATAGTTTATGTTTTCTACTTCTAAATATAAAATTTCTAATAACGCAAAACTGTGTGTATTACATATATTTATTTTGTAAAATTTTTTGTTTAATAAAGGATACCAAAAATTCTAAGTTTCTGTAGGTGATGATTTGAAACATTTGTATATTTCCCTTGCAATGTTTCTAAAAAAAAATCCGAATGAATATAAAAATATAGGTATAATAATCTCCTTTTAAACTAAAAATAATCGTAAAAGAAAAAAAAATTTTTTTTAAACATCATTTTGTAAACGTGGTATAATAAACAATTTTTTTTCATGAATATAATTTTTGTACGGGTTAACTTTTAACTTTTTAATCGCCAAAAAAAAAAATTTTTTATTAACTTGTGTTTTTAGACTATTTTAAGTAAATTTTTTCTATTAAACTTTGTTTTCATAACGAGAAATTTTTTTACTAAAAAAAAAATTCAAATTACGTATCAATACTTTTCAAAATGTTATATCATATAAAAAAATTATAAAAATTATGAAACTTTTTAACATTTCCCTAATATTTTTTTTCTATCGGAGAGAATTGAATGTTTTTCCCATTTGAAGTTTAACTTTTTGAAATGTTTTTCTTATTTGAAGTTTTTTAAGGTTAATATTGTCACTTGGCAATAATTGTTCAAAATTATTATTACGCGTGTATTTACTTACTCATAGTTACACCAATATTTTATATGATAATTTTTTTTATCATATTATAACGGTAATAATCTTTCTATGTATTTTCATTATTGTTCATAGTTACACCAATAACTTCCTTATTTAGGTACATGCCAGATTTATTCTTGAGAATCCGATATTATAATTCCATATGATTCATTCATTTAATAACAAAAATTTAAGTGTTTCAAAAATCTCTCATTTAATCTCATTCAGAAAATTTTTTCATATCAAATGTGGTAAAGTTTTCAATAAAGTTTATTAATAAATGAGCGAATTTTAAATTATGGGAGAAAGTTCAATACAGTAGGTCAAAAAAAAAAAATATTTAGTTAAATCAGGTTTATATAATGAAATTTTATTAAACGGCATGGTATTATTTGAACGTAATAGTTTTGTACTAGTTTAACTTTAGTTTGATGCTGGAAATTTTTTTAGATTAAAAATTTAATTTTTTTAAAAAAAGTAATACTTCGGAAAAATATGAAGTATCGTATTTAATTTATCTGCTTATGCGTAAATTGCTGCGTTAAGTCATATAAGATTCACATGATTCTTAAGTCCAGTGATCCCATGTTGGTAATGGGACTTCGGACTTACAATGGTTGACCTAAAATCTCGTGGGATAAGATTTTTTTTTTTATAGCAAATTATTTATAGAATTATAGTTAATCTTATTTGATTTTAAAAATACATTCGCCAACTGTCAAGTTTGCAAAACCTCTTTGGGGATAGATTATATCGATCTTTATTATCAATATCAAGTGTAAATAAAATATTTTTTTTTTTTTTGTTTTTTGAATTGTGATAATGTATTATTATCTTGATTAGCTTACTGAAGATACCGTTGCTTTAGCAGAACTTGTTCAAAAGGAAATGTCAAATAATATTGGTCTCTCTGAATGTTCTGCAGAAACTCTTCGATGTGCCTATAAGGTTCATCCTATTGCCGCAGTTCAAAAGTTCTAACAATAATTTTCAAGGTTATATTTTTAAGGTGGAGCATAATCCTTGAACTCTCAGTAATGTAACAAATGGAATAATGGAAGCTTTCCGTGAATTAGAGACAGCCCCTAAGCGAAAATATTTTGACAAATTTTGGTACAGTCAGAACTCCGTCGATATAACGAACCCTCCGTTCAAGCTATTTTGGATCGTTGTATCGAATATTCGATAAATCAAATATTTCTATTATACTGATTTATATATTAAAAAGCATAAAAATTAGCATATTTAAAAAATATATCGATATAAAATCATATTTTATCACGTTTATAATATCAATCAACAGAAGTTTGCACCGAAATTGACTCGGAGATATCCGCAGTACCGGCTGAGAATAAGTTAATTCTTGCTGAATTCGGTTCATCGCTAGTAAATAAGTATGACTGGTCTATGATTAACTTCATTATGTAATATAGTTGGTTTTTGTTTAAGAAAAAAGTTCGTTATGAGCCGAAATCGGTTTATCCCGAATCATTATATGTATTACGTAGTACAACAAGAACCTAACCTGTTCTAAAAAATATTCTAGTTATTTTCAACCAAATAAAAAATAAAATGACACCGTACATGTCTTTTTATCTTTTCTATATTTTATAAATTTAACCATAACACGGCTTTTTTTTTTGTTTTTTAGGGATGATGTAAATCTTAAATGATTTTTGACCAACCGATTTATTTTAGAAACTTAGATGTACATTTCCAATGTGAAATTTCGTTAAAAATTTGGAACTTACATAAATTTGGTGATTTTGCGCATAAGAAAGACGGGTCTTCAGGTCAACTGTTGTCTAGCATTACAGCTCAAGTGAATTTTGATATAATTCTTAAGAATTTTGTGTAAATATTCTAATAAACCTCTATAATTTTATAGGGGTGATAACATTGTTACAATTCCTGGTATAAAGAAAATTAAATATTTAAAAAAAAATTATGAAGCAACAAGAAATCCGAGATTAGACATTCTATTGAATTAGATATAATAAAAACGTATACAGGTAGTAATTTATTTGTGTAAATTATAAATTGATATTTTTATGAAAATAATCAACGTTAACAACTTTTTTTGCAGATAAGAGGATATTCAGTACGGTACTGTACTAAATATCATACACATAATCTTTTTATTCATATGTCAGTGTTATTTTTGTTTAAATTTCTCTTAGATCACTTATAAAACTGTATATATGCTGAATAATCAGCTTGATGATATCACTGTGAAGTACGTAAAAGAAAGCTATAAATGTGAAAAAAATGAATTAGTCGTTATAAGTGGTTTATTATATCTTTCAATTCAAGCAAGTTTTCCATTTCTTTTCTTGAAAAGTATTTATCTTTGAAAATTTCTGGAACATTTGGACAAACTTTATGATAGTTTGGTAACAAATCGCCCATATTAGGAATGTAAGTTATTATTTCATTGTTATATCCAAACCGAACATAATCTATTTGCTATATAAATCAATGAATAATGATGAGTTATTTAGATTAATTCCTTTTTAAAGAATAGAAGTCCTAAGTAAAGTAGAAATATACCACATTAATAGGACCATTTACTTCAATTGAAATATGAAGATTCGTTTCACATTTTGGAAGCTGATATTCAATCCAACCTAATCCTTCAAGTTTCAATATATCTTCATGTTTTAAAATATGTTCGTAATGAGTATTATCCTATAATTAAATTTATTCATTAATTAAAAGTAACATTTTTTGATAGTAATAAAAGGGATTTTAAAATTAATTAACTTACAATTTTTTCGACATTAAATTTTATAAAGCAATTTCCAGGTAATATTTTCTTAATATTTATTTTCCAAATAACATATGCAAACTTATTATTATTTAGTGTAGGTAAATCCAAATAAAGTTTTTCATTTTTAGAGTCAATTACTTTCTCAGATAAACTTGGATTTTAAAATAACAAATTAGATTAGCTTTATATTAAAACTTATAAATAATATACAAATAGATGGAACTTACCTATTTGTATCACTTTCTTGAAATTGACCAAGCTTATTATCCAAATTTACTAAGTTTGTCATTAAAAAACTTGCGTTTCTAAAATAATTCATTATTGATTAGTACATTAATCATTATTTAATATAAGAAATTAATAAATTAAATTTCTTCTTACTTTTATACATGTATTTGCTAAAATCATTAACAATTCCAAATTTGGAAAGATCAATGTTATTATAATTATTTAGATGTGACCAAAACTTCTCATGTTCTTGTAATAAATATATATATGGGATGTATTCAGAAAAATAACCTCTATTAGTATGATATAACATATCTAAATCTGATTTTGCTTCATGGTACATTTTTAAATCTATATATATTTTGCATCTAATAAAAAGTAGTGATCGACTATTTTCAATATTATCAATATTAGAAATTTGATTAGTAATTCTTGTTAATATATTATTTAATTCTGTAGAATTATTTCTATTCAGTAAATATTCCAGATGAAATAGTAGAGTTTTTGCTAATATATCATTAAGATCTAATGATTTTTTACACTTTTCAAATACCATTATAGCATTATCAATATCTTTTTTCGTATAATAAATTAGACACTTGAGATAATATACTAAACTATTTAATGGATCTAATTGTATAACTTTATCAAGTTCAAATAAAGCTTTACCATAATCTTGAAGAGTATAATATGCAATAGCTTTCTTATTTAAATTATGGATATTTTCTGGATCTATATCATTTGCTTTTGTAAAATATGATATTGTATCACTAAATAGACCTATCTTACACAATACTTCTCCATAATAACATAAAATCAGGGAGTCCTCATTATTAATATTTAGTAACCTATCTAATATTATTAGTACTTTAAAATAATCTTTATTTTTGTCATAAATATATGCACAACTCTTAAGACATAAATAATTATTTGGATCATTTTTTAATGCAATCTCATAATTTTTTAAAGCATCTAATAAATAATGTTCATCATAATTATAGGATTCCGCCTCAAAAAAATTACTATTTCCAAGTACTATATACGAATTATTTATTTTAACATTATAGAATAATGACCTTTCTAAATTATTTATTGCTTTACTATATTCATTTTGTTGAAAAAATATTTCTCCACAAATAAAATAAGCAATTGGTTCTTTTTGTTTTAAATCAATAGCCTCTTTCAAATATAAATGCGCTTGATCATAATTATTTAGACATCTATAAATATAACCCAATATACACCTTAAAGAATAACTTTTAGGATAAAAATTCAACAACTCTTTACATAAAGTTTCAGCCTTTTTATAGTGTTTCTCATTTAATTCTTTAATAATACTTTGATATTTTGGATGTTGTTTTTTTGAAAATCTTGAAAGTATTGATGATAGTGATATATTTGAATTTAGTTTAATATTTAAAATTTTCTCCTTTTTATTTAGTATAAGTTCAGCTTCTGAATTACCTGAATCATCACTATTATATATTTGATTGGAATTTTCTAATTCAATTGGAGGTGAAATATATCCAGATTCAGAAAATTTGGTGTATAAATTTTTATAAATTGAATGTTGTGGTAAATATCTGATGTCATTTTCTTCAATCTTTTCTCGACATTTAGGACATATTTTTTGTTTTAATAATTTTAAATTATTTAATGATAATGTATGTTGACATATTAAAATACATATTTGATCAATTGGTTCCATACTAATTAGACAAGTCATTTCATCTGCTATAGCATCTAATATATTAGAATTTGATGTTTGTTCATTTACTATATATGTATTTTGATTTGAACCTTTTTCTTTTCCTTTTCCTTTTTTTTCTTTTCCAATATCATCATTTAGAATTTTTAGATCTTCGAGATATTTGTCTTTAACAAATTTTAATAATTTTTGAAATTTCTCTGAAGAATCTACAGAATTATTTTTACTTAACATTTGTATGTAGTGATCAAAATCGTCATTAATCATTGAAAACATTTGACTATCATTATTATGTAAATATAATAATATTTCAATAGCTTTAAATTGAATGAAGCTACTTGGAGCTTTATTAAGTGATTCAATTGCCAAATAGTAACAAAGGCCATGTATCGCTCTTATGGTAGATTTTTGGATAAGACTATGTGCAAGATCCAATAATCCAAACCATAAAGCATATGGTAATGCAAGTGGTTCATTTCCAGAAAGATCGCTCAAAAAACTTCCAGCACTTTTCAATGCCTTAATAACTTTGTTTGATACTTCATCAAATTTGGGTTGAGAATCCAAAATGGATTTATTAGTAATATTAATCCATTCTCTTTCCAAAAAGCTCCATATAAATTCCATCAATAATATTTCTCCAAATTTTTTACTAATTATCTTTTCAGAACATTCAGACCAAATGAAAAGATTGTGTTGAATTATCAATAAAATTCTCCAGTCTACATAATAAGAAGCTACTGGATACTTAAAACTTAAACTTTGACGTAGTTGATTAAGCATTGATAAGATTGAACAATTATCATTTGGAAGATTAACTCCTGTTATTGTTAAAATTCCTGGTGTAATATTCAATGCAGTTTTAAGTAAATCTCTACTTCTTCGTATGAATTCTTGAAACGAGGTTTCATCGTCACGAAGACTATGTAAGGTATCCCTCAGATGAATTAATAAAAAATCAATATTATAATTTCGTTTTTTAGCAATTTTTTCATCAGATTTATCATCTTTTTGTTGATTAAATTGGTTAAAGTTAGATCTAAAGTTATTTTCAAGTCCTTCTTCAATTACTTGAGTAGTTTTACGATGTATTTCAGCAAATTTTGTCAAAGAATCATAAATTTTATCTCGAAAGTTCTTAGTAAGACGTATTGGGGAGAAACATATCCTTTCTAATACCGCTATCAATGTACGTAAATGCACTTCTAATCTAGTCGCACCTTCTTTCGAATAATATAAATTAAATGGAGCAGGATCTGCTAAAGCGACCAATGAATCTATTAATACTTGATTTGAAAATTCATTTTGCAAATCTTCAAAAAGTAATTTTAAGTTAAATAAATATTTTATTCCTGTTAATTCCTTGATAAGTTCTTTCACTTTTTTGTCAGGCGTAATAAATCCATCCACTTCTAATTTGAGAAGGATACTATGTCTTGACGTTTTTACATGCAAAGCCTGTTTACACGAAATCGAATTGTCAATTTCTAAATTTTCAAGAGCAGATACAGTATTTTGGGAATGACTTTCGCTCTATATATAATATAAGTGAGTTAATCAATTTTTAAGCTAACTAAAATAATTATCTTTTGTAACTGAATTTACCTGATTTGAATTTTCATTCATTATTTATCTCTGTCAATTTAGATTCTTAAAGTATTTGAGTTTTTTTTTGTTAATTTCAACTTATTTGTTGTAAAATAAATATTATGATATTAAATTTAAAAAATAATTATTATATCACGTATTAAAATAACCTTATATAATATTTCTAATTTTGTAGGCTACAATTTTATTTGAATTTTATTTACTGACCAAATTAAGTAAAATACAATGGTAAGGTATGTGACGCAATAACGTATATGGCTTTCAAACATTCAAGCACATAATTAACATCATTTAACCCAATAATATACCTCATAAAAGTATATAGTAAACATGTAGTGTATGGTTAAACATCACATATAAACAAGTCACGTGACCATACGTGTACACAATAGATCTGTCCGGGACTTTCCTTATTTGGTAATAAACAATGTAGATCTGTATGGTATACGCGTGATATTTAACGTTATCGTAACATTCATAATATTTTATATAACGTATTACAGAAAATGTTTTTATTATGGCATAGTACAAGAACGCCGACTTTCAGAAAAAGGGAATAAAATGGGATCCAGAACTTTATTTCGTTCGTTATTTATAGGAGAAGTAAGAATCTCCGCCAGTTAATAATTAATTTCATGAATTAATAATTGCTCTAACTATATTAGATTACAAAAATTATATGTAATTTAATGTAACGATGCAATTGAAAATATTGCTTCTTCATACAGTAAGTTGATTATGACATCACAAGTCAATAATAATTATAAAAACCTACAAAAAAAGCGTGATACGTCAGCTCTTACAACACGCCTAGGCAGCGATTATTTTCATTCATTACATATTTAAAACTTTAAACGTTTATAAATAAATTTTGGATTTCTAAAAATAGATTTCTGTATAAAATTGTTTATTTGTTTGTAGTACAAAATTTGAAAATGCATATCCGTCGATTTGCGGAATTAACAAATTCGGAATTTGACAACAATTTAATAAAATCAGGTTAATTAAGTTTCGCAAAATGATCACACTTGTGCTACATGATCATATGACAGATATCAAGAAATTACTTCAACGACAAAGTAGCGTTAAAAAATTTTTTTCTTTCGTAAACTCCCTATTAAATTCCCATCAACTCCCCCATCAACTTTTCAACTAGTTTTTACATCAAGTAAGTTGAGAATTTTTGCAAGTATATTAGTAATTATTTTTATTTTACATTATATACAACTCGGAGCTGTTTTTTTATTTTTATTTTTATAATTTATAAAAAAAATTTATTTAGAAAGCAAAATTATTCAAAAAAAATCTAAATAACTCTAAATGTTGATAACGATGTTTTAGTGAATTTAAATTATGTATTGATTAGTTGTTTAATTAAAATCTATTTGATATTTACTATTTTTCAGTTGATTTTTTTTTTGTTAGATCATTAAATATTCTGGATTTTTTGTAAAGTTTTTTTATTTTTTTTTAATAAACTAACTTTATAATATTTTTTTTCTTTTTTTTCTAGAAACTCCTTCTACTGGTTTCGGGTTAAAGTGGTAAATTTTTTGGAAGAGGCCTTAAAAGTTTTTTTTATATATTTTTAACTTATTTTTTCTTACGTGGGAACGGTTTTGATCGATTTTTAATCAGTACTGCGCCACATAACTGATGATCGACAAATTCAAATTGGTAATAAATATGTTCAATTTTTTTTTTTATATACGTTAAATAAAAGTTATTAAAATATATATGGAAATTTAAAACAGACAAGAATAAACGTTAAAAATTACAATTAAACGTTCAAATAATCTTTTAAAGCTGTGACTTAAACGCTAGACAGGCGTTTAAATAAATGCAACTTTGCCCAGATAATGAACGTCAGCAGAAGATCTTAATTTATAATACTATATTAACAATGCTCATAATTAGCCGCACGTGATAAGCAACAACAGTCAAATCTCTTAGGCAAGGGTTATTGCTTACAGTAATAATAATTTATATCATATAAATTTCTTTGGTTTCAGATCTTTCCCTCGCATCTTCTTTTATATAATCTTTGATCACTTCTACTACCTTCTTTGGTGACACAATTCTTCAGATTTTTCGTTACCATCAAGTTAGATGTCAAAGAATCTTCCAGAATCCATAGATAAAATTTGTTGACTATGTTTACTACCACATCGGATGATGATTACACATCATCTTCAACTTGTTCCTACATGTAAAACGTTAGATCCTCGACTGGAAGCTCCTTTGGCCTTTCCTTCTTCTCCTATATTCATCTTATCATTTAAAACCTCACTAGATGAAATATTTTTATTATTGTCCACACTGGCCAGTTGTGAAACTTTAATCAGCTTGGTTATATTGCCCATTCACCTTACGGAGATTTATTTCTTTTCCTTTCTCTATCGCCTTGTCCATATGATCCTTGCCAACAAAGTTAGCGATAAGAACATTTTTTTCTGCTCATTTTTTAATTTTTTTCAAGGAATATACCATATTCTTTGTTGAATATTTTATAAAAATATATTTATTCAAACTAAAAAAAATTATAATATATTTACTCATCGCAGCACTGGCCCCAAATGGCATAAGAACAAAAAATGTCCTCTTGATTATCATTTCTGTGCAAAGAAATTAGGAAAGAAGAAAATATTAGTAAAAAAATAACCAAAAAAAAAAAAAAATTAAAAAAGGTGTATGAAAACTCATTTATTTTTATTTATTAAACGTCAATAAATTAAATAATCACCTTTTTGCACTTAACGTCAACCAAGGTCCTAATGATTTTTAATTTTGGGTATGCGATATGGAATTTGAAAGCGATTACAAATCAAAGCTACGTGCATGAATTTTTTGTTTGTGTTATGATGCGATAATATAATACTTGTAATCATTAATCAGAATTAGCAGAAAACTTTATAAATTGTTTGAAATGTTACACTGGATATTCCTCTTTCCCCTTTTCTCTTTTTGGTATGCTCAAAAATATTTTTAGGAGATTTCCCTGCTGAATTAATAAGTAAAATAATACAATATTTCAGAATAATTTTTCAACGTTATATTCATATATTCTGGTTAATAGATTATGGTGTTGTTTATCAATTCCATTATTGTGGGAGGACCCATTTTCGAAGTATTTTCCTAAAAACTATCACTTTATTGACATTAACTTAGATAAGTTAAATGAAAATGACTAAATAAAATTAAAAGAATATGGAATAATATTTCCTTCGAGTAAACGTTTAATACTTCTATTCTTAACTACATGGGAGTTTTAAATCTTTACGGAAATACAAAATTGGTGAATTTTATTTTCCTGTCATTTAATCAAAATATTTATCGAAAATGAAGCTAATTTACATACCTTTGACGTTATATTTACTTTAGAGTTTATTAATGAATCTGTTTTACAATTAATCCTAAAAAATCCAAAATTTATTTGTGATGTTAAAAATTGATTATAACGGATTAACTAGTTATTTTTTAATATTTTCAAAATGTTTTTATTTGAATTGTAATTCAATTTTATCACTTTATGTTCATTAATATACAGAAAAAGAAGATTTATACGAAATAATTAATTCACAAAAAAATTCTTCAAAAAATATATTTTAGTTATAATAGTTATATTAATGATCCTTTAAAAATGTTTAAAAAATTCTAATTGTTTAAATACCTTAAAAATAATTATATTTCAAAACATCCATAAATTAAATGTTTTATATTCTTTATTGTTGTCCTTTATTTTTACCATTATTCAACAAATTATTAATTTAACTAAACCATGATCTTTATTTATAATTAAAGGTTTTATATTACAAATTGATTCGTTTTAAATTATTATTGCGAAAGTATGAAATATGAAAAATATTGACATCATTAATTGATCATAAATTAAAACTACAATTATTTAAATTTATTGTGTTAATATCAAATTTCTAGAATTATTTGGATTTGATGACCATAATATTTTTTTCAGCATTTGATTTAATTAAAAATGTTCAACAAAATCTTAATTACCTTTCTATCAATTTCTCACAATTTAGTTATATACAACCAAGTTATGATGATAAACTTTGTTCAATTATTTTACAAAATTTAGGACAAATTTTTCCTTATAGATTAGAATATTTGAATTTATCTCTTAAATTCAATATAAATGATTTAGAAATATTTTTTTAATCATTCTCAAAATATTTTCATTAAGAAATTATTAATCAAAAATATGTTGTATTCAGATAGTAAAGATATTTTGCCTTATATTAAGAAATATATTATGAAAGAAAAAATAGTCTCATATTTAGCTATGGAAAATGTTTCTGTTGCTAATAAAGAAAGAAAGAGTCTGTCTAAATTAAAAATGAAGTAGAAGTGTTTAAATTTTATGGTTGGTATTCAAGTTATGTTTAATAATAGTTAAATATTAAATTTCATGATTTTATAAATGAATCATATTAGTTATTTAATTCTTACATAAATTTATTAAACAAAATTTTAATGATTTTAATATTATTGTATGGGATTATTGAAAGTAAAATGAGTAAATAAGGACGTTTTAACATGATTGATGTAAAGTATATTTTTTTGTGGGTTTCTATTGGCGAATTTTTGTGTATAATCGAATTTTTTTAAAAAAAATTACAATTTGGTCGACGTAGGTTCCCTTGGTCCTTAGACCTACTGTATGAACACCTCCTGTCTGAGAACGATGGCTCTTAAGACATTTTTTACTCTCACCATCTTTTTAATCTTTATAAAATAAAAAATTCTTTACTCTTTTTGCTTGCATGTGTAAATGTTGTACATTTTTTGATTTAGTTCTAATCCAACTAAAAAGGCCTTGTACCTGTATTGTTTATACCCTTTAAAAAGATGTTATTTCCTTATGTTAAGGATATAGCAGATAATAATACATATATATAAGTACAAATAATATTCAATTTTTTGAACATGAAACAAATAAGAATAATTTTAATAAAATGATATCCAAGAATAGTGAAAACATCGTTTTTAAGTTTTATATTTTAATCGAATAATTCCGAAATTGTTCATACATATCATATTTTTTGAACTTGGCCAAAGATTATTATCAAATTTCTTCCGTATGAGTAGAATCAACTCTGTCTAACAATTCTATCAATAATGTTCTAAATTTCTAATTATAAAGTTTCTTATATTATAAATTAAAAAGCGAAAATATTAAATATTTCCAACCTTTATCTTGAGAGTTATTAATATACCGATTTATTATCCTTTTTGTATTAATTATTACGTAACTCGACAGTCTAAAATTAGGAATTGTTTCATTTTATGATTACTCCGCACATTTAATCGTATTAATAATCACAAACATAACATATGATCAAATAATTGATCATGTATAAATTTTTATACTCTTACTGGTAAGTTGACTGTTTGTTAGTGAAATAAACTGAACCCGTTGTGAGATATAAAACTTTTAAAGAGTTTTAATATTCGCTTCACGAAGTTTGTCACGTCAATTTTTTTTATTTCAAATAAATAAAATTGGTTCTTTTGTTTTTTTACATTTTCAAAATTAAAATTGATATTTTTTTTCAAAAAAAGAAATGATAATAATTAGTAAATAAAAAAAGTTTTTTTTTTATATTACATATTTTTCTTCTTTATTAATTTTAATTTTAATATAATGTTAAATATAATAATTAACAGAAATCTTAATTATTATGTAATTTTTTTGATAATGAATAAATTTATTAATAATAATATTAAAATAATGAATTAAATTAATTTAATTAGAATATTAAATATAAAAGCCTTTATATAATTCCCAAATACCAAAGATTATTTCACAATATAGTAATTCTAGCATTTCCTAATAATAAAATTTTCATACTTTTTAATTAAATATACTATTATTTTGATAATTTGATTATTTTAATTAAGATAAAAATAATTAAATTAATAATAAAAAAATTAATTAGTATATCCAAAAATAAAAATATGATAATTCACAGTCAAGTCCTTTTTTGTTTTAGATCACTATGTGGTACGATCATTTTGACGTCTCAATCGTCTCACGTTACGTCATATTTAAAAAATGTATCCAAAAAGATTAAACAAATTAATTACAATCAAGTTTATTTTCTAATTATTTATAATAAATTTAGTAATACAAAATTTTGTATTGAAGTAAATAATTAATAAATAATCCAAGCAATTTATTTACAAACGTTGTCTCACACTACTATCTCATTAGATACTTCTGGCTATACTAATTTTTGCCCCCAGTTCCATGCTGGTAAACCAGATCCGATTGATCAACATCTGGAATTTTTTGATTTGTAATCATTAGTAATCATCCGGACCCATGTCTTCTATCTGCCATGGAATACGAACTAATTTCACAACGGATCCAATGGGAACCTGGGACGAAAATTAGTATAGCCTACATGCATGATCCAAAAAAGAAATGATTTACAAATTTTCAACGCAACCGTAAAGTCTCGAAAATAAGCACCCCTTTGTATATAACGCCATTACGCCATCCAGGATCATCATAATTTAAGCTATAATTTTGTAAAGGGTGCTTATTTTCGGATTAATACGCTACTATTCAGACATTTTCCTAATGTAGTTAACAATAAGTTTTAAAAAAATTGTACACCCGCTAAAAATTTAATATTTTTCTTTTCTTTGAAAAAAAAAAAGAAATAATAAAATATGGATGGAAGCTCAATTCAGGTAGGTTATAATTTTAGGAAACATTTTGCATTTTAAATAATTAAAAATTTAAATTGTTTTTGCAATTTATTTATTTATTTTAGAGCGGAAGTTCTATAAACACTAATAAAACGGATTTACATGAAAACATGTTCAATAATCGTATCCTTCTCAAGTTAGAACAGTATACTCTAGATGAGAAGGTAGAAGAATTATTGAAAAATCTGACAAAACCAAATTATTTATACGCTCTTAAATTACTTTTTGAAAACTCTCAAAATGAATTTTCACCTCAAGTTCTTCGAGATACTTTGGTCGCTTTAGCTGATCCAACACCATTTGACTATTATGCAAAACAAAGTATAGCTAGATTAGAGCTACATTTACGTGCATGGGTAGCGGTTTTAGAAAAAGTTTGTTTTACACAAATACGTTTAAGTAAAGAACTTCGAGATAAAATTTATAATTCTTTGCCAAAATTTGCTGAAATTCATAGAAAAACAACTCAGGTCATGCAAGAAGGTATTGATAACAAATATGCATCTAATTTTAATCAATTTAATCAACTCCAAGTTAGAAAAGATGATACTATAATTAAGAAGCGAAATTATAACATTGATTTCTTACTAATTCACTTGCGGGACACATTACATTGTTTACGTGATGACGAGACTTGGTTCCAAGAAATTCTACGAAGGACTAAAGATTTGCTTAAGGTTTTATTGAATATTGCACCAGGGATTTTATCAACAACAGGGATTGCCCTTCCAAATGATAATTGTTCAATCCTGTCAATGCTTGCTCAAGTACATCAATCCTTAAGCTTTAAGTATCCCGTAGCATCCTATTATGTAGATTGGAGAATTATGTTGATAGTTCAACACAATATTTTCTCCTGGTCTGAAAGTTCTGAAATGATTATTAGTAAGAAATTTGGAGAATTGGTATTGATGGAATATATATGGAGCTTTTTGGAAAGAGAATGGATTAATGTTGATAATAAATCAATTTTAGATTCTCAAACCAAATTTGATGAAGTATCAAATAAAGTCATTAAAGCTTTGAAAAATACCGGAAGTGTTATAAATGATCTCGCTGGAAATGAACCTCTTGTCCTACCACATACCTTATGGTTTGGAATACTGGATCTTGCACAAAAACTTATCCAGAAATCTACTAGAATAGCTACATATGGTCTTTGTTATTATTTAGCGATTGAATCACTTAATAGAGCTCCAAGCAGTTTCATTCAATTTAAGGCAATTGAGATATTATTACATTTACAAAATATTGAAAGTCAAGAGTTTTCAATGGTTGAAATTGATTTTGATCATTATGCTCAAAAATTAAATGAAAATAAACTAGCAGATTTTTCAGAAAAATTTCAAAATATGTTAATATTTGTTAAAGAAAAATATTTTGAAGATTTAAAAATTATAGATGATGATGATATTGGAAAGGAGATAAAGGGAAAAGGAAAAATTACAAATTCAAATTCTAATTTTATGAAGGAACAAAAATCAACTTCTAATATTTTAGATGTTATAGCAGGTGAAATGACTTGCCCAATTAGTAGTGAACCAACAGATCAACTATGTATTTTAAAGTGCCAACATGCATTATCATTAAGTAATTTAAAAAAATTAAAACAAAAAAAATGTCCTGAATGTAGAAAAAGAATTGAAAATAATGATATTAGATATTTGCCACAAAATTCTATTTATAAAAATTTATATTCAAAATTTTTTGAATCTGGGTACATTTTCCCTTCTATTAAATTGGAAGATTCGAGTCAAATAATTGATAATCAGTATGAGAGTGATAATTCGGATAACTCAGAATTCGATCTTATATTATCTAAAAAAAAGAAATTTATGAATTCAATCAAGCTGAATTCGAATTTATCATTACAATCAATCTTTCCAAGAATTTCAAAAAAGCAACATCCAGTGTATCAAAATGCCATAAAAGAATTAAGTGAAAAAAATTATGGAAAAGCTGAGTACTTTTGTAAGGGATTTCTGAAAATTTTTCCTAAAAGTTATACTATAAGATGTATTTTAGCTTATACATATAGATGTCTATATAATTATGAGCAAGCACATCTATATTTAAAGGAAGCTATTAATTTAAATGAAAAAAAGCCAATTGCTTATTTTATTTGTGGAGAAATATTGTTCAAGCAAAGTAATTATGATGAGGCTATATATTATTTAAATAAGTCGTTAGAATGTAAGGCAAAAATAAATAATCTATACATAATACTTGGAAATAGTAATCTTTTTGAGGCAGAATTTTATAATTATGATGAATATTATCTATCAGATGCTTTAAAAAATTATTATATTGCTTTACAAAATAACCCAAATAACTATTTATGTTTAAAGAATAGCGCATATATTTACGAAAAGCGGGAAACTTATTCAAATACTTTAGATATGTTAGATAAATTGCTTGGTATTAATGATGATGATTCATTAATGTTATGTTATTATGGAGAAATCTTATATAATATGACACGATATCATAATGCTATACATTTTTTTACAAAAGCAAACACTATTGATCCAGAAAATATTCATAATTTGAGTAAGAGAGCTATTGCATATTTCAAACTTCAAGAATATGATAGGTCTTTATTTGATTTTAATAAGATTATACAATTGAATCCATTAAATAGTATAGCATATTGTTATAAAGCATTAATATATATTATGGAATTAAATAATGTTTATGAAAATATGACATATTATAAGATAAAAACAAAAAATGATATAATGATAGATTTTATGGGTTTAGATTTAGATTTTTGGTCACACTTATATATAAATGATATAATGAAAGATTTTATGGGTTTAGATCTAGATTTTTGGTCACACTTATATGAAAACAGTTTTAATGATCTTGGAATTATTAATAAATTTAATAAATACATGTATACAGGTAAAGAAAATATTAATTCTTTATTATTCACCAGTAATTAACTTGATTATTAATAATGTTACAGTACATAGGATTTATTTTCTTTCAAACCTTATAAATTTGGATAGTGTATATTTAAAATTTAAAGAAAGTGATCCAAATAGGTAAGTTAATTATTTATGCATATTTAACATTAAGTACTAATTTCAAATTAATTATATTAATTAACAATTTAAAAATTAAAGCTTAACAGGATATATATTAAACTTTAAAAATCAAACATTTAATTTGAGTTTGCCCAAAATTTCAGGAGTTTTTAAAAACGATGCATACTATTACTTTTATTTAAAAATAAATATTAAAAACTTATCATCCAATAAATGTTTCATAAAATTTGTAATAATTGATGATGTAAGTTTAATATTCTCTTATTTTATAATACTGTATATCATATATTAAACTGAAAGCCAATTATTGTAATTAATAGGAGGATTGCAATAAAAATTTGGAACATATCCTTATATATGAAGATCTGTTAAAATTTAATTCATTAGGTTGGATTGAATATAGATTTCCATATATAAAGTGGAAATACAATTATTCGGTACAACTTTCTGTTGAATTGGATAATCTTACTGAGATGGTATACTTTATATTATAATTACTTGTTTAGTTTATTGTTTCTATATATAATAAGTATTATTATTTATATCATTACTCTCTTTGTTTAGCAAATAGATTATGTTCGATTTCATCAATTCAAATATAAAGAACAATATAATGAAGAAAAAACTAAAATAGATAATATGCTATCGTCAAATTATAAAAATGTCCCAGAAGTTTTCAGGGATAAGTTTTTTTCAAGAAAAGAAATGGAAAATTTGCTTGAATTAAAAGATATTACAGGATGACTTATAATTACTAGGTAAGACGGAGAAAAATCAATCAGTAAGAATTTATTATTTATTTTGTATTTTATCTCTTGATCTAATAAAGGAATTGTTCAGTTTACAATATGTTGCATGATTATAAAAAATTATTGAGTATTGCTAAATATTACCGCTGGTGAACCAAAATTAGGTTGAATGTTGGGCAGAATTAAAAATATCATAAAACGCTGCCCGTTAATATTTGCTAATGCTGATGCGGTAGGAATCACCTGCGGTGAGATTTAGCAATGCTCAAAATTACTAGTACTCAACTTTTAAGAGTTCTAATATTCACTTCATGAAATTTTTTTGAAATTTTGCATAAAAAATTTTATTCCTACAGAATTTTACTATTTACTTATTTGATAATAAAATAGCAAAATTAATATTTGATTCTAATAACCATAATATCATACTAATTAATTTTACTATCAATTAGTAAAAATTTTGTCAATTATAAAAATTCAAGATTGGCTATTTTACACTGATACTTCTAGAGTTATAAATCTTATAAGTTTTCCATTGAAAAAATCATACAGAAATCAATAAATTAGAGGTTAGGATAACTGCTGTATTTATATTTATAGTATAGTAATTCTGCACATCAAAATAAATATGACGTCGGTGATTGTAAATTGTAATATTATCAAAATGAAAATATATTAAAATTGTGTTCCTATAACTTGGTATTGCATTTATATTATTTAAAATGATTTTGAATTATTATTAAGTTTGATTATATGTCATCACAAAATTTTCGGGGTATTCAATATTGCACAAATAGTTAAATTTCTCGAAATTTATGCAATATAACTAACAATATTATATGTATAATTCTTTGTATAAATTTATATAAAAATTAACCCATTTTTTTACAATATATTGTATGGAAAATACATTATATATATTAAATATGCAATTAATGTGCATTTTCAGGGTGTGCAAATCAGTTTTTTCATGCACAAAATATTGCATATTTTTTACAGTATAAAAAAATTTCCTGATGATCAACAAAGAATACTGTATAGCACATTATTTAGAATTTTATTATAAATATTTCATATACATATTAATTCTTACTAAATGTAAATTGCATTGCTGTACGAAAGTAATACGATCAATCAATTTTCTTACATTTTGTTTTTGGTTTTGTGTTTATTTTACAATTTTTTTTTTCTTTTTTTTTTGATATTTAGTTTTTTTTCTTTATTTTTTGTACGATAATATAATGTTATCAAAAAGTAAATATGTGATGTGGCTTAGTAAAGTCTTTTTGTATTTATTCAAATCCGATTTCAGCATGGAACAATTTATTTAATTTATAAAATACAAATACTGTAAAGTATGACAGATAAAATGTAATAAATAATATATTAACAAAAATTAATCAAATTTCTAATATTATTAAATATAGTGAATTACTACTCTTAGTTAGATGCAAAGTATATAAAAATGTATCATGAAGCAATGTTAGACTTGAACTTGTTATATGTTAAAAGGGCTAATCATTCTAGTTATATTTTATTTATTTATTACGAGAATACACAGATTTTTGGTTATATTTAAATGTTAATAACAATAATGATAATGATCTTTCCGAACTTGGAATTGTTAATGAATTTAATAAACACATGTATGAAAGTAAGAGAATGTTTAATTTATTAATTTCTTATAATGTTTAATAATTAATATATTGATTAATAAATTATTTAGAATCACAAGTTTATTTTATATCAAATCTGGTAAATTTAAATAGCGAACTTCATCAACTTCAAGAAAATGACATAAATAGGTAAATGGATGTATTTATTATGTATTTTAAAATTTCAATAAATTTGGGTAAATTTTTTAACTTCAGTTTGAATTTCTTAGTTTATCAGAAAAGATAATAAGTTCAAAAAATGAAGAGCTTTATTTGAATTTGCCCATGCTAAATTTTCCGTGGTATATTAAAATTATTTGGAAAATAAATGTTAAAGAAATACATAATAAAGATTGCTTTATAAAATTTATAATTAAAAGCACTGTAAGTTTTATTAATTGCTTAAATCTCTTTTTCACTATTAAAATGTTATTTTTAATTAATATATAGATTTATTATAGAATTCTGAACAGTATAAGGATTCTGAACTAAAACATTATGAACATGTGTTAAAATATGAAGATGTGTTAAAACTTGAGGGATTAGGTTGGATTGAATATCAACTTCCAAAAGATGTAGGTGAACTTTATGTACAACCTTCAATTGAAATAAATGGTTCTATCAATATGGTATATTTCAATTTTACTTGGAACTTTTTATTTTAAAAGAAAATTGATTTAAGTAACTCATTATTATTCACATAGCAAATAGATTATGTTCGACGTAGGAGTAATGAAGGAGAGATAACTTGTATTCCTAACATAGGTGATTTATTACCAAATTTTCATAAAATTTGTCCAAATGTTCCAGAAATATTTAAATATAAATATTTTTCAAGAAAAGAAATGGAAAACTTGCTTGAGCTGAAAGATATAATTAATCACCCATGACTGTTTTTTTTTAAATTAATACTGTTTCATTTTTTTCATTTGCTTTTATTTGTAATATTTTAAAATTAATAAATTCATTTTATTTATTATAAAAAAACTTTAATTTAAAAATAATTAAACTAATATTTTAAAACTTTAGACAGCACTGACCTTGATTCAAGCCAAAAACGAAAGAAATAGGAAGAAAAAAATTTAGTAAAAAAATAATTGGGAAAAAAAAAAATATTATTAAGATAAATCAGCAAAAAAAGGTACTTGCCATAGAATCCGGATCCAAATCAAGAATGAAAAAAAAAATTAGCAAAAAAATAGATAAGAAAAAAAATTATTATTGACAATGAGGATTGAAAAAAAAGTGCTTACTATAACACCGCAACAACTAGTCTAAAAAAAAAGAATAATTTTAATAATGTACTTATATAACAATAATAAAAAAATATATATAATTAAATGAAAAAACTATATAAAAAAAATAATATAGGTTATAAAGTAAAAAAATCAAAAAAAAATTGGTTTAAAAAAACAAAATCGAAAGGAAAAATTAAAACTGAAAAAGGAAGTTAAAAAAAATCAGCTAGAAAAAAACCAAAATAGAAATTGAAAAAAAAATTTCGGTTTTAAAAATAAACCGAAAAAATGAAAAAAAAAAGGAGAAAAGAATGGTTAAAAAAACTCGAAAAAATAAATTCGAAAAAAATTTCAGAGACCAAACTGAAAAAAGAAAGAAAATTCATTATTTAAACAAAGAGCTATTGCGTATTATATTTTTCAAGAATATGATAATGTTTTGTTTGATCTTAATAAAGTTATACAATTGGAACCATTGATTATCTGATGATATATTAGTAAAAAATCAACTATTTAATTTAGAATATTTACCGAATAAAAATAATTCTACCGAATTAAACATATTTCAAATATTAAAATTAGCAAATTACTACTTTTAATTAGATTTAAAATATATATAGAATTAAAAATGTACAATGATTGTTATACACATATATACCATATAGGATTTATATTACTTCATATATCTCATATATTTATCTATTAAAGGAATATGTGGATTTTGAATGTTAATGATAGTAATGATTTTTCTAAACTTATAAATTTAGTAAACACATGTATGAAAGTAGAAGAAAACTATTTAATTTATTTAATTCATTAATTTCTTAAAGTGAATAATAATTAATATACATTAATTAATAATGAATTATTTTAGAACCACAAGTTTACTTTATACAAATTTAGTAAATTTAAATAATAAGCTTTATCAATTTCAAGAAAATGATACAAATAGGTAAGTTTATATTTTGAATTTAATACGTAATAAAATAATTAAATTAATAAATCCAATCTTATCAGGAAAGATGATATATTCTAAAAATGAAGAACTTTATTTAGACTTTCCCATACTAAATGGTAATAAGTATGATTATGTTATGAATTGGAAAATAAATATTAAAAAAAATATTACACTAAAATTTATAGTTAAAAATAATGTAAGTTTTATTAATTGCTAAAATCTCTTTTTACTATTAAAAATGTTACTTTTAAATTAGTAATATATGATTTTAATTATAGGATTCTGATATAAATATATGGTAAAACTTGAAGAATTAGGTTGGATTGAGTATCAGCTTTCAATAATTGCATGTCAACTTTCAACCGAATTAAATGGTCCTATTAGCATGGTATATTTTTATTTTACTAAGAAGATTTTGCTTTGAATAACTCATCAATTATTCATTTATTATTTATACTATATAGAAAATATCGGCAGGTAAAACTCAAACTCCAGTAAGTCTATAAACATATATTCGTACTGTCATTGAAATTTAAGCGAATACAATTTTACATAGTAATACACCAGATAATAGAAAATAACTGCGAAAGTAGTATTCGGAATACAAAATTTCCAGTGGTTGGACAAGAGAAAAGATTTTCATCGTACGTTGTACTTCAAGATATCCAACAGCACGATTAATTTGAACTCTCCATTAGTAAGAATGTTTACTTGGTAACTTTTTTCCACGTTAAAGCAAAGAATTAATAAAAAGGTATATTTATGGAAAATGGAAAATTCCGTCAAAGTTTATTGCCGTTTTCAGAAATGTTGACAATCTGAAATTTTGACCATTTTATACCGAACACACCGAACACACCGTGAACACATACAAAAAATTATGCAAACTTGAAGTATTCATGCATAACTTTATATAAAAACTATAGATGTGTATAAGAGACAGCCGAACACACCGTGAACACATACAAAAAATTATGCAAACTTGAAGTATTCATGCATAACTTTATATAAAAACTATTTTTGTCACTTTTTAGATATGAATAAAATTGAAAATATGAAAATTTGTACCGAACACACATCGAACACAAATACAAGCAAATACAAGTGAATACATATATGCAAATAATATAATTTTTATACATTTTTTTTTGCACACTACCTAAAAATATATTACTAAAGTTTTAATTTTGCTTTTTTTAAAGGAAAATTTGTTTTTTTTTAATTTTAATTGCTGTGTTCGGTGTGTGTTCGGTGTGTTCGATTTATAGAAATGATCGACATTCTAATGTCAACATTTCTGAAAACGGCAATAAATTTTATTTAATAAATAAATTTAGTACTTTTCATAAAAGTTCATAACAAGTATAACAAGTATTAAATTAAAAAAACCGATTTGAATCATTATTTAAATTAAGCTATTTAATCAACAAATTAGCTGTTGCATTTTTTTTAAAAAAAATAGTTCAATGTAAAATTATCTAACAAAAAAATAAAATAACATTTTACTTAAATTATGGTTAAATCGAAGATAAACTTTTTACAGATTCCTTTTCCTTAATTTTTTCATTTCTACCCACCCAAGTGATCCAACAAATCGAAAATTTCACCAGGAGATCATTTTGTTATTATTATTCATACCATTAAATATTTTTATTAAAATTTATTCCAACACTTCAATTCGGCATACGTCAGATGTGATCCGTTTCTATAATAAAGAAAATCTTAGTATTATTTTTTTTAAAAAAAAAAAAATACTAATTATTCTATGATAGGAGCCAGGTGCATAGGCTAACCCTCCTCCAGGAAAGCCAGTTTCTCCTTAATGACTTCTATAATTCCTCCGTACGTTACCCTTGCTAAACTAATTCTATTCTATTACAAAATAGTATAAATACATCAAAAAATATATACATATATCGAAAAAAATAATGAAAACAAGAAGACAAAAAATAAAAATGAAAATAAGATAAAAAGAAAAGCAACAAAAAGAAATAAAGAAAATTACAGTAAATATTTTTCTAATCTATATATGCTCAACTACCTATCCGGGCAACCACAGTACGCAGGCGGACCGACGTATCTGGGCTTACATGGACAAGCCGGACGAAAAAGAAACTCCATCCGTTATTTCCTTCTACGTACGGCATGATGGAACTATGGAATGACAATTATCAAAGATCTGTAAGTTGTTAGAAACAACTTACCGCAATGTAGCAAAAGAAATTTTTCGCAGTTTGTAATGTTGGGGCGTCTCCAAAATCAAAAGTTGTTGCGCATAATCCACAGTTAACTTGATATTCTCTTTGCTGCTACTCGTTTGCCAAAGGAGGAGTTGTTGTCAAAGGAGAAATCGCTTAGGGAGACCTAAAGAAAAAGCAATTTAAATAAATAAACAATACATCATTTCATTTAGTCAGCGTGATTATCGTTTTTAAATCAATAGTCATTATTAATAAAGTGATACATATTACATCATGATTGACTTAATATGAGCAATAATACTATTAAATCCGATTAATAATATTAAAAATATTAATATTTGTAAAGTTGTAATTTGTTGTCCATGAGTAATTAATTATATTTGATAAACGATATGACTCATCGTACGTTATTTAATCATTACTGCGCACACTGCGCAAACTGCGCATGTTAATTGCTGCGTATGGAAATTATTTTCCAATACGTAAATAATTTCATTTTATGTCAACAAATCAAGCGTACGATCAATTTCTAAATACTGTTAGCTCAATTATTATGTTACAATAACGAATCAGAAAAACATAAAAATGCTTATTCTATCAATAATGTATACAAGAATACAACTCATTTCTTATAATAACTTATAATAAAGTAACTAGCAATAAAATTATTACACCGTTGCAAATATTGTATGTATCGCTTATTCAAATAATGAGGGTAAAATTTTCACATTAATAACATCAATAATTTTAAAAATTTCGTTGATGCGTCTTAGTAAAATATGAACATCACGTCGTCACATGATATTTACTTGTAATTCTGGTCAAAACTATCGACAATCATTTTAATTTCATATCCCTAATTCTGGGCAACTTTCGAAATTTTGCTGATATTGTAAATTTACATGACGTCATTCGAAAGTCATTAAGAAGCTCATTTGTCACTTTCCATTATTGTATTCTAAGCTACACGTGTATTACTGTATTTAAAGAAATCGTTCACTAATAGTAATTGGTTTAGGTAACTTTGATAAAAAAGTACATATATACAGTATATTTTATTGCTCTAAATTGCAAATTGTAGGTAGCGTTAAAAAACATTTTAGCGTAAATTTAATCGAAATTTATTTATCATATAGGCTTAAAAAGAGATTAATTCGCTTATTTAAAGTAAGTTTAACATATTTATAAATTATATTCCACGTTTATATATATTTTTAGGATCAGTCGAATTCTTATGTATTCCTCGTTTCTTGATTTAAAATATTAAATACATTTTTTTTTTAAAAAAAAATACTACATAATTAGTTTTGTATTGTGTAATAATATAATCTTTTTTTAAAAAAACTTATTCCAATGCTTTGTTGAAATTGCGGTAAAGGTTAGTAGTATACTTAGGCTTTTGTACTTTAAAAAAAGACATGATGAACAGTCACATGGTTTTTATAATGAATTTAATGGTCAAGGAGATCGACACAAATCCCGTCTACTAGTCTATATATGTGGGTAGTGCCTGGGAAAGTGTTTTTTTCTGTCGGACCATAGTCTAATTTGTAATGTTATTTTAGACTAGTTTTCTCTGCAATTTATGACCTGATATCAATACACACTACACTATATATATACTGTATATATAAAAAAGAGATCGGCACAAATTTACTATGCTGTTATTTCTGTCTCTTTCAACTTTCAAGTAATAATTTTTACGGATATATTTCATGTTCAAGTTTATTCTACATACTTTTTATGGATTATTCAGGAGCCGGACGGGGTATGTTGAACAAGGATGATGATATCATATCCATCATATACATCATATACAGGATGATTTTCCCCATAATTTCGTGAACACATTTCGGTTCATATGATTTTATGCTAAAAATATAATATCGTATTAGACTACACAACCTCTATGGAAAAAAGGCTCAGTCTAGTATTTACTCGATTAAAGATTGATTGGAATATCTACTATTTATCTTTTTCTTCGGAAACCTTTCCAGGATTGGATTAGACCGAAAATTTTATTTGTAAGAGATTTTCTGTATATCAAGTAAATTAGTATTTTTTTTTTTTTTTCACACTATTTTATTTGATAATTTCCGTAACATTCATTTAATTTTCATTTAATTCATTTAATTAATTAATTTATTATTTTATTTTTTATTTATTATGGTACAATTATTTATTATTGATTTCTATTTGTTTATTAGTTCGTATTTATATTATTTTTCGTTTTTACGCATTTTTATCTCTTAACAAATACTTCTCAACAATTATTTATTAATTATGTATTCGTTTTTATTTATCAATTATGTATTTGTTGATATTATAACATTTATTTATCAACTTTATTACGGTTTGTTGGCTATTACAATAGATACAATATATACAGTATAGGTGGGGTAATCCCGATGAAAATGTTAATTAACCTTGTTAAAGAGTTACTTGGATGGTTTTGGAATAAATTTCAACAGATGGTAAGGTACAATTCCTTAAAAGAGATAAAGAGACAAAGCTTCGGCAGATAATTTTACCCATTTATTAATTAAAAGCTTTTTTTTTTTGTTATGGAGAAAAGCTTTATACATTTATGGATTGATCTATTCATAACAGTCTTTGAATCAGTCGATCAATCCGATCAAAAAAACCGGACTTTTGTGGACCAGGATCGGACAGAATTGCCTTTCTAAAAGATCCAACCGATTTATTTGTACCCACGATGAAGTCATTTCACGTATTGGTGATATATTCGAGAGAAGGCTAGCTATATCCGGAAAAAATCCTTTGACGATTATTTATACATTTTTACTTGTTCGTGATTTCTACATTTTTATTTCACACCAACTTTTTTCATAAATTTATAAATTTTTTTTCTAAATATTATTAAGACGGAGTGAAGGAGGTCGTAAAATAATCAAGTAAAAAGATTTTTAAAAAAAAACTAACCGAATATTAAAAAATGTTACGTCAATTGTATCATGTGATAATTGAATTTTTTACTGAATAATCAAAAATACATTACATTTAACAATCAAGTCGGAAAAATTTTTAAGTTTATTGCGCATCAAAAAGTGCCAAGTGCCGATCATCCAACAGAATGATGGCTGGTTCAAAATTAACAGTAATGCCTGACCAACATTAACTAAACGATCAATTTCTTATTGAGTAATTGTCATAATACATTTATTTGCATAACAATACTATATCATGTGATCCATTGTATTTTAAGTGGGAATTATTATTATTTATATTACAGTTGCATCAGGTTAACTGTAATTGGCATAGTAATAAATTCGATCAACAAACCAAAAATAAAAATTTGACGCCCTGTTAGTTCATAATTTAATTAAGTATTTATTATCCGCCGCAGTGCAATATATACGGACTTATCAGGTTAATTGATTTAAAATATCATACACTTGACCACTTGACGCCACAAAAAATTATAATTAAAAAAAATTTTGGTTTTTTTCTTTTTTTTTTTTATTAAAATTAAAAAGAACGTAAGAAATTTCTATCAATAAAATATTTTATTTTAATTCACATTCTCTTAATTTTGGATGTGATAATAATCTTTTTAAATGACTATCCGATAAAGATTGATTTGATTTTAATTTAACCGATAATTCCTNAAAAAAAAAAAAAATCTAACGAAAAATTTTAAAATTTAAAAATTTTTACTAAAAATACAACTTAAAAATAAAAATAAATTAATTAATAAAAATAAGGACCACCTCGAGAATTATTATTATAATTTTTAATAAATAATTTAGCATCTTTAGTAAGAGAATCACCTAATTCACATTCTCTTAATTTTGGATGTGATAATAATCTTTTTAAATGACTATCCGATAAAGATTGATTTGATTTTAATTTAACCGATAATTCCTCAAGATTTTTAAATTTAAGTATACTCTTAATAAAGGACTGTTTTTTTTTTGAAAGAAAGAAAGAAAGAAAAAAAAAGTTAATATCATTTTCTTAAAAAAAAATAAATAAATAAATAAAAACAAAAAATAAATTTTTTTTATACTTACATTCCTATTTAATTTTGAAAAATTACATTTTAATACCAAAATCCTTAAATTTTTACAATTTTCCGCTAAATTTCCTAATAATTCAGATTCAGAATTTTGTTCCGGTTTTAATTCTAATTGAGTTTTAAATAAACAAGCACGTCCATTTGGAAGAATTTTTAAAATTTCAAGATTCTTATAATAAGAACCTCTACCGTAAAGTCTTTTTTTAGATAATTCAAATAAAATTTTTGAAGCGGTATTATCGGAGAAATGACCAGAAAATTCCATTAATTTTTTACAATTTTGTAATAGATGAATGAAAGCCATAGAAGTTATTTGATTTTGAATAAAACTTCGTCGACGATTAGCAACATCACCAACATCACCACCATTACCACCTCCGCCTCCGCCTCCAATCATTCCTCCATTATTATCGCTTTCATAATAAATATTAAATATGAATGATATTAAATTAGGACAATTATTTACTAAAGATAAAATACCTTTGTTCGTTAATTTTGGTATATTTGTAAGATGAATTTTTTTAAGTTGACGATTTTTTTGAGTTAGGGAAGATATCGAAACATCAGATAAATTATTACAAAAACTTAAATTAATAGATTCTAATTGATTACAAAATTCGGATAATAAATTTAAATCCGAATCGAATAAATTTGAACATTTAAATAATTCTAATTTTTTAAGTTTCGATTGAGTAGTAACAAAGGTACTAATAAAAGTTGAAGTTGTATCTAAATCTAAAGAAGTAGAAAAATTTTCTAAAGGAGGGAATTCTTTTGCTATTTCTATTGTCATTTCTTTTGAAATTGATTTAGGAAAAGAAAATGAGAAAGATTCTAAATTTGGAAACCCTTGTAAAAGAGTTTTAAGAGCCTCGGGTTCTATTGTTTTTACACTTAACGAGGTTAAATTAGGAAAAAATTTTATTATCATTAAAGCGTTTGTATTTGATATTTTTGGTCTAATTTCTAAAGAATTTATTGATTTACATTTTCTTCCAATAGAATAAAGGAAATTAAAACTTAAATCTTTTGATGTTGTTGGTTGTTGTTGTTGTTGTTGAACATCTTTTTGTTGAGGATCGTAAAATATAAGTTCTTCTAATTTTAAACAATGTCCATTAATTATTGGTATTAATGCTTTATTCAACCATTTTTCATCAAAATGTAATGTTAAAAATTTTATTGAATGTATATTATGATTTTTTTTTAATAATAATAAAATTCCTTCTGGTGGAATTATATCACCTTCCCTATGTCCAAATGTGAGATTTGTTATATTGAAACATTTTTGTGAGAGTAAATGTATATCAGGAAGTGAAAATGAAGGTTGAGGTCGGTTTCTATATGGTGCGAATGTAAGATGTCTTATCATCTGACTGTAATTATATAATGTATTTTCCTCTCTTAATGTATTCAAGAATTTTTTGTATGACCGTGGGGACTTCCATATTGGAGAACTCCATAAGATTTTTGTAAATATCTAAAAAAAAAAATTTAATTTTTCGTTAATTTTGTGAAATCCTAAATTTTAACGCAAAAAAAAACTTAAAAAGGTTGCCGTTGTATTTATATCATTCTGGTCAGATGATCTTTTTCGGACGATTTCTTCCGAACCAAAAAGTATTCTAAAATGAATTCTTTACAATGAAAGGATTTACAAATGCACAACATATTTTAACAAAAATATATAACATATTATTTAAATGTGTGAAACATTTTAACTGTCACAATTTTATGCAGTCACGTGTCACAAATTTGTCCCGCATTTGCAAGAATGTGCGCGAATTTTATTATTGCTTTATTACCGCAGCAACTGATTTGTTATAATATATTCCTCATTTTTTTTAGGATTTTTAAAATATGAAGTGAATTAAGTTGTATAAGTTGTGTAAAAAAAGTATAAGATCTCTAGAGGTAATGTCGTATTAAAGATGTCGTACCCTTAATTATTCCTCATTTTTTAGGATTTTAAATAATGAACCTTTTAATATGTTTATTTACGTACGAACTTACGTTAACGCTATCCCTATGAATTTCATACCCCTATAGAAAATTTTATCCAAATATTTCCGCTATTTCTATAATTTTTTGTAGGAATTCCAACGATATTAACGATATTTATATTAAAATAATAATACCCCTATAAAAAATCCTATAAAAAATTTATTAGAGTATTTCCGCTATATTCTATAATTTTTTGTAAGAATTCCAAACTTCGGAATATGCAATGTTTATAAACAAAGATCAATTTGTAAACGAGCCTGATCCTTTATTAACAGGATCATTTGGATCATTTGTAAGTGCAATCGAGATCATACGAGCGGTACAATTTAATTGCGGCGCCGCTACATCGAAAATCCCCATGTAATTTATTTTTAATTATAGATTAAAATCAAATAAATATATGAATGGTTGATAATATTAAATAGTCAACTAATGATTTTGTTTATTAGTATTGAAGGTACTGTATGTATAGAAAGTATAGTATTACAAAAGATGAGAGATAATTTGTTGAATATATACCATTTCTTACAGTTTCAATTGATACTCAACTTGTTCTTGTTCGATGGACGAACTTTTGGATTGTATTTTAATTTTAAATTTATTTTATAATTCTCTAGTAATTCTTTATCATCATCATTTCTTACGATACTTGAAGAAGTTTCGGTTAATTTTTTTTACTAAAGTATGAAAATTATGCACCGTCTTCCATTTTTATAATCTCCATTCCTTTGATATATTTGTTACAATCCTATATATTTTATTCGTAAATACTTTCAGTAATTATTCAGTAATTATCAGTAATAAGACGTAAAAAACCAATTATATTTGTCGAAAGATTTAGCGTTAAAAAGTGCGATTGTCGATACCATGATACTGATGATCCACGGATTATACTTTACCTTTAATTAAAAATTTGATTTAAACGAGGCTGATAATAATTTACTAAACATATTTAAAAATTTCTGTAATAGTTAATCCGCATTTTTAACATTTTTCTATATAAATTTCGATGATCGGTAATAATGATATTAATATATCATGTACATACATATATAATAATCATATAATCAGATCAAAGTTATTTAGATGCTAAATATAAAGTTGGGTATATTTATAATTATAAATAACTCAAATAACTCAAATTGATAGTGATAATGAAAAAGCATTTAAAAATATTTATTTACTTTAAAAAATTGCTGCAGAAATTGCAGAAGGGAGAAAAAATCATGCATAAAATAGTCTTGCATCATTATATGACCAAATCCGATGATATATGTTACAAACGCCTTTTTTTTTTATTTTTTTTTTTATTTGTTTTTTTTTGGAAATTTATCCCTTTTTTCTTTTTTATCGGAAAATTATAATATTAATAATAAGAAAAAATGGGCTTGGATATCAAATGTTATTTATTTATATCAACATTTCATAATTTTTTATATCCCTTTTATTAAAATACATTTTGGTCATAAAATAGAACTTTAAAAAGACATTAAAAAAAATTATAATAACATTATATCAGGAAATTTTTTAAAATGAATATCCCAATTAAAGCAATTGAAGTCATGATGTACAATAACACCAAAAAAAGTTTTTTCCGACCCCGATCCGAAAAAGATACATGAAAGCATAATTTAGGCCAAAATTAGAAAATCTTACGGCCCTTGTGATAATTAAAATTTCATTTTTGGTTTATTTATTGTGGTTACAAAAAAAACAAAAAAAGGAGTTACACATATTTTTAATGGTTAACTGAAATTTCGCCCAATCCCAAAAAAAAAAAGAAAATTTTTTATATATTGTTCACTGATTATGTATACTGTATAATAATATATATATATATAATTTGAATGATGATAACTTTAAAAAAATAAAAATAATCTTTTATGTTGTTATTTGTTTTGTTTTTTTTAGGAATCATTTTAGGAAAGTTAACTTTTTAAACAAAAAAATTAAAAATAGAATAATGTAAATAACAAATTTTTTACTATTATGTAATTATTTGAATAAGGGCGTTTCAATAACCAACATAAAAATGGTTTAGGTTCATAAATTGATAATATTTAGTCTTAATAGCCTGACTAATAAAAGAAATGATTTTCAAAATAATTATGGTATGATACCTTGTTCACCCGATAAAGATAAGCTCATCCCTTCCCTTTTTTGGGTTTCGTAAGTTATTTCTTTAATTTTGGCCAAAAATTTCAATGATAATTAACTCCAGCCGAAAATCTTTTAGCTGCGCTTCCCGCGTTCGGGAATATTTAAAATTTTTGTACGCGCAAATGTCATATGCGCAATATAGGCACTATACGTTGCGGTCACGATAATAAATTCAAAAAATGTTTGTACGCGCAAAATGTAAAAACTATGGGCACTATATGTAAGAGTAAAATAATTATAGGAAGTGCTGTACGCTGCGCCTATTGCGCTACCTCGATTTATATCACTGAGCGTATAATATTATTTTGTTGGCTGCATCAACATTATCATCTTTATTAAAAATTTTGATTTTATTTAATCACTTTAACACGCTCATTACGCTCGCTTAAAATTATGTGCCTTTAATTACTCTTTAATTATATTACCAGCTAAGCGCATAAGTATGGCTGCCGATGGCTCGAATTCTCACGTAAGAATAATAAAAGTATAATTAGCATATTATAAAATCAATGCCCAAATTGGCTTAGTTAACAATTTTGTACTATTAACGTTAACTTCGAAATCAGTTTGCAAGCTCCCTTGTCAGAACAATCACCGACAGTATAAGCTATATTAGAATTTTATTTAGTTGAACGGGCAAGGGTTAGGTAGACTGTCTCCCTACCGGCTACCGGTGTACAATGAAAATTATCATACTCTAAAAAACCAAGAACTAATTCACCATCCGCGGACTTATTCATGCACTGTTAGTAAAAAGTTACTTCCTTCTAACAACATTCCCCCTAACTGGGAGAAACCATATGTACTCTAGAGCTTGTCGTATTATAAACATACCGTTTCAGCACCTCCATCAGCTCCATCGCAAGAGTCTGTTAAAATAATAATAATGATGGCACGAGTTATTTACAAATATTCTGAGAATTATATCATGTGACCTTACGATCCTGGTCAATACTACTACATTGCTTCCGACATACTTCAACTTTGGTACCCAGTACATTGAAAATTCAAGGACGAAAGGAACATACGCGTTATCAAGCAAGATTTGAATTTCCGGAGGGCAAGTCTGAGTCGGACTTATTGGCACCCTATTCAGGCAAATATCATTCATTAATTACAACCAGACTAAGGTATACGAATGGGAATACTCTATTTTGATTCACATGAACCTCTTAAATAAGTCCTCGAACGTGAACAACCAATCAAGATATGGGCCCCTAACGCATCCAAACCTTCGAAAAAGAAGGATAATTCAAAGAAATCAGATTCGTCATTCGTCTGATCCCAAATCTTCGTTCTTAAGACCAAAAGAGATAAGAAGATGAAATCCTCGAAATCTAAAAAGGACCGCAATAACGCAACAACTCCGAAAAGCCGTCAGGCTCTAAAGATACGCGAGCTGTGGTCAAATCGTTAATAAAGTTACTTAAACGATTAGAGACGCAGGAGGATAAAATCTGTAATATACATATTAATCTCCATATTAATGGTTTTTTTTTTTTGATTTTCTATTTATAGGTTATGTACTGAGAGGATAATACACAACTTCTTTTTTCCTTCACATTTCCCCCTTTTGTAGGATAGTGTTTAGTCTTAGGTTTTTTTTAGTCGTCTCGATCGGTTGCCCCTCCCCATTTATTTTTTGGACAGTCGTGTATCCAAAGGTTGTTACACGTGCTCTTTTATGACAATGTGCTAGCATTACGTGTTGGAAGATTTTTTATATTGTAACTCATTTTCTTGTTTTTCATGCTCTTTATAATGTTACTTCCCGAACTCAATAACATACTTTAACTTTGCTGTCTGCTTAAATAAGGATTATATCATAAATCACTTAAATGACAAATGACCTTATGTTCGGTGGAAGGACCTAAAGGGTTCAAATGAGAGACTTTATTATTGCGCTTTTCAAAACTGTCCTACCCGCCTATAGATCATCTGATAAAAAAAATATTATTAGATTACGGGACGATTACCGAACAAAAATCGAACAATGTTCGTCCTGTAATCGTCCTGTAATTATAATCATTCAGTAATCACAACGTACACAGAATTCTAATTTGCAACCGCTATGACACTAACTGAAACCCTCAGCCATAAATATGATTTTTATTTTCGGTCATAAATAATTTATTTTTATTTTCGGTCTTAAATATAACTTAATTATATTTCAGTTCTTAAATATAATTTATTTTTATTTTTATTTTCTTTTATTTTCGGTCATAAATATAATTTATTTTTATTTTTATTTTCTTTTATTTTCAGTCTTAAATATAAATTATTTTTATTTTTATTTTATTTTCGGTCTTAAATATAATTTATTTTTATTTTATTTTCAGTCTTAAATGATTTTATTTTAGTCTTAAATATAATTTATTTTTATTTTCGGTCTTAAATATAACTTATTTATATCCTTAAATATAATTTTTAGAGTTCTCAGGAGTTATCATGTGATCATTAATAATTCTTTTATATAGTCGATCAAAATCTTTATATTGTTTGATATTGTTTGTTATGTTTAATGTAAAGAAGAAAGCTACAACATCAAGAATTATTTATTAGAAATTCTAAAAGAATAATGATAGTGATAACGGTCAAACTTAAACCTGTCAACTACTGTAAACCTAAGAATAGTGCTGAAATGAAAAATATTTTGATAGTAAATGGAGTATTCTCAGTTTTATAGAGGAATAAAATTAAGAACCATTCCTAAAAAAAGATAAATAAGTATATTAAAGATCTTAAAACAATTGTTGAGCACGAAAAATAGAAAGTGACGAGAAAGTAGATATGATGGACATGTGATCTTTAATATATTTATGATCCAAAATTTTTTTCTTTTTCATATTATCATTATATAACAAATCTTATCTTTTTTGTTTACTGAATTTATTTATAACAAAATTTAGCTAGTTTATACTCTGAAAATATTGTAATTCAATGTTTACTGAGAAATTAAGAAAAATTAAGTTTATTATAATTTACTATAATAATTATGGAAAATTTTTACCATATTTCATATTTAAAAAAATAGACATATTAACCATCCATGGTTGAAATTTACTTCAAATTTATTGATGGTGGAAAATGAGGACTCTTAAAATCCCTCATTTTATTTGTATACTGCTACTCTTCTACTTTCATAAAAGCTCTCTCTATAACAGCCTAAGTGATGTGACAGAGACCTTCTTAGTTTCTTGTCATTCAAGCTTGCCAAGCCACAAAACCAGTGTTGGGACACAGATGATGATGTTTTGATGGGATGGGTATTAGGGGTATATTATTTGAAAATATTGCTAATTTTCTAAATCTTATTAGGATAGTAAAATTGGTAAAAAAGTGAATACTTGTACAAGCAGGTTCAATCATGAATACAGGATTAATCACTACAGAATAAGATATCAAATGGTCAAGAACTTTTTTCTAAGAAAGAAAAGGTAACTCTTCATAATTATTTTAGTAGTATGTTTATGCTAATTTATATGCTTACATATTTCATATTTCAAAATAATGCAAAACAGATGAAGGTTGTGATAAATCTGAAATGATCATGTATACCAGAGGATAAGAAGTTAGTATGTCTATATACAACATTTTTAATTTCATTGTTAGTTCCTTACTTTTTTGGCTAGCTTGTTCACAATCTGTTTTTTTTTTTCATAAATTTAAGAAAATGAAGAACAATGATGGGTTCAACAAAAAGAAATGTGAAAAGGAAACTTTAAAACACAGTATGTTTAAAATTAGTGATTTTTTAGAACACATGAATGAATGGTTCTTTATGGAAGATCATCAATATATGTGAGAGAAGACAAAAACCACAAAAAAATTCTTAAGATTCCTGAAATGGACCAAAAAGTAAATAAATTTATTATAAAAATATAGAAGGTAAGCAAAATATGTGTGTGCATATATGTATAATCTTTGTTTTTCAGACTGTATTACAAGAAAATAATACTATAAATTTTGTATTGTCAGCTAATACCATGATTTTACAAAATTAGTAAAATTTATAGTGACTTGTATGTATTAAAATTGGTTGTATTATTGTTTATTATGTTCTATTCTGAATACTTTTATTTATTAATATAGTCTTTTTGAAGTTAACAATAGTGTGAAAATTTACTAGTTGATGAAAATTACACTGAAATGGACTTTATTCTTAAAGTATAATTTTACATTGTAAAAGGATTAAAAAGGGATCTCTGAATGTGTTACAAATGGTAAATTTAATATATTAATTCTAATTAAATATATATATCAACCAACATACTTAATATGTATTATAAAAGGGAAGAATCATTTTGCCAACCAAGTCAGTCTGCAGAATATAAAAGGGGTGGAGATGTGATGTCCAGTTCTTAAGTTCCTCAAAAAAAATATTCGGGATAATGGATTTTCAGCACATTTTACCCTGGCTAAGACAACTAGAGACTGTTATTATTCTTATATAATTAATCAATCAATCCTGAATGGCTTGCTGAGATTGACAATAACAGATGGATAAGTTAAAACAGGTTGAATATAAAATGTATTTATGTATTTATATAGTATTTATATATTATTTTTTGGCATCCTGTAAAAAAAAAGATTTTTGATGCTCTTAATCTGAATCAAGACATATGGGCTGATTTGTTTACTCTGCATTAAAAAGAGTTATTGAATTGATTTCACAATTTTCGTTACTCAAAATTGTTTTGTAATACCAAAAAATCATCTGATTGATGATCACTTGACTAAATAATAAGTTGAACAAAAATTTACATTTGCAAAACTTAAATTATTAAATGTAAAAGAGATGTAAGAGATGTATAAAAAACCTATTTCACTAATAAAAAACCCATTTCTCATATATATAGAATTTTTAACATATATTGTTAAAAAGTAAGTATGTTTTAATAAAATATAAAGTAAAATAAAAATTTATATAGTCTTAGTAGCTTTAAGAGTTTGTATTACCATCTTTAGACGCAAATATATCAAGATTCACTGATCCATTTTCTATAACTTTAGGCTCGTTCCAGACTTTATAGGTGAAAAAAGAGCTCTCTGATTGAATCATTAGATCCGGAGATATTTACGTTTAAAGTTAAGTACGAACTTTTTAACATGCTTAAATGCAAATATCTTGGGATCCACTGATCCATTTTTTATAAATTTAGGCTCTTTGGAAAGCCTTTGATCAGGTCTATATGAGCGAAAAAAGAGCTTGCCGATTGGATCATTGGATCTGCGTTTAAAGTTGAGATACAAATTTTTAACATATATAGTAAGTGCTAAGAATTATATCAATTTAAAAGAAATATTTACCAAATTATAGTATAATAACATTAAATAAAAATTTTTTAATATTCACTCCAATTTACTGTATATTATATAGTATTTTGTATAATAAAAATGTAATAAAATCAATATTTTAATTAAAGGTAGACAAATCAGCCCATATGAAAAGTCTCAATATATTCTTTATCAAAAGTATTAAGAAGCTATTCTTCATTGAGTAATTTGTAATATTTAGTAGATATTTATTTTCAAATTAATAAAGCTTATTTTCTATTCAATAACAACTGAAATTTTCAATTTTAACAAGTCACGCTTTTTAGATTGTATTTAGATTATTTATTCTTCTAAGAATATAGTAACTTTATAATGTTAGAATATTTCATTAGAAATTTTTTTAAAAAATACATATAAATTTTTAAAAACATATAAGGTAATGATCATATTTTTGCAAGTTAGTGTTTCAATCCATGTATCCATACATATTGATCGGATTAAACCAAAATCTAGATGAAAATTCACAGTTTTGAATTGATTCATCAAAATATCAAGTTTCAAATAACTTTAAATATTTCTGGAACTAGTAATCAGATTTTGCCTGTTTAATCATATTTAATGTTGTAAATATAATGATAGAGCTAAATTTTTAAAATATTTTTTTTATCAAGATTTTCATCCAAATTAAATTCGGATGACGAATTTCACCTGAATTGAAATACTACAGTAAGTAAATCAAATTTACAATGTACTTCTGGCTTACTATACTTTTAATGTTGGATTTTTATATTACAAAAATGAAGTCAGTCTTATTCATAATGTATAAATAGTATATTTAATGAAAATTTTTATTAAATTCTATGGATTATTCATAAAAGTGAAAATTATTATTATATAAATTTTATCTCATAAATTCTTCCTGATAAACTTTTGTATGCTTATTATAAAGCTTTATGCTAAAAAGGTCTAAATGTTTGTAACATATTGCAAAGTAATAAAATACAACTCTATAAACATATAAGGTATATTATAAGAAAAATAAATTTATAATTCTAGGCAATTAAAAAGAAAAAAGCAAAAAAGAAAAAATATTATAATAAATATGTTGTTTCTTATAAGTTACCCGATAATGTCTTTCAATTCAAGCAAATTCTCCATTTCCTTTCTTGAAAAATACTTATCCTTGAAAATTTCAGGAACATTTAAATAAACTTTATGACCTGATAGTATATTACTTGTTTTAGTCTGTTTATATGGGATGAATCTAATATAATCTATTTGCTGTATTCAATGAATAATAATAATGCAAGTTTTAATTATATATGACACATATATAACAATAATTGAACAGGTAATTAAAGTATAATATATACCATGTCAACAAGACCCTCTATTTCAATCGAAACTTGTATACCATTAATCCATATGTTATCTAATTCATATGGAAGCTTAAATTCAACCCAACCTAACTTCTCATATTTTGACAAATCATTATAAGTAAGAACCAATTTTTGCTTGTGCATCTATTGAGTGTAGAAATTGATTTTTTAAACATTATCATATAATTAAATAAGAACTAAAAAAAGAATTTAATAGTTAGCAAAACTTACCATATCTAAATAATCAAATTTTTTAATTACAAAATTTATAAAACAATTGGCTGATAATTTGTTAATATTTATTTTCCAAATGATCCAATAACATTTAAAACTTTCAAAAATCGTTGAAAATTTTGGCAAACCCAAACTCAAACTCTCCTCATTTTTAAAAGATAATACATATCCTGTTAGACTTATTAAATTAAATAATACAAGTAATCAATTAATGTTAATGTATTTAAAGATTATTTAATAAATAAAAATAAATAACTTACCTATTTGAATTACTTTCTTCAAATTGATGATATGTATCATCCAAATTTACAAGGTTTGATATAAAATAAACCCTATGTACTGTAAATTTATTAAATTAGAAAGTTAATTATTATTAAAAAAAATATAAATCTCTTTTACCTTTATACATGTATTCATTAATTTTATTAATGATTCCAAGATAATTAAAATTGTATTCTTCCATCTCATAAATTTTACATAATTTCAACCAAAAATCATGATCTAATTCTATGCATTTTTCAAATTTTACAATAGTTTCAGTAATATTTTCCTTTTTTTCTATACTATAGTTTGTTAAAAATGATTGTCCGTCATAATATATATTATTCAATCTTATCATATATATTAATATCTTATAATAGTATGCAATACTATTTAATGGATCTAATTGTATGGTCTTTTTAAAGTCCAATAAATATTTATCGTCATCTTGAAAAGCAAAATATGCCATACTTCTCTTATTTAGATAGTGAACGTTATTTGGATCAATAATATTTGCTTTTGTAAAGTATGATATAGCCTTACCATAACTTATTCATACAACTTAAAATTTCTCCATAATAACATAACATTAATGAATTATTTTTGTTAATACTTAGTAATTTATCTAACATTTTTAAAGCATTAGAATAATATTCTTGCTTTTCATAAATGAATGCACTAGTTTTAAGACATAAATAATTATATGGATTGTTTTGTAAAGCGGTATTATAATTTTTTAAAGCTTCTGATAAATAATAATAATAATTATTATAATTATTATAATTGCAAGATTCTGCTTTATAAATATAACTATTCCCAAGTATTATATATAAATTACTTATTTTTGTCTTATATTCCAGTGATTTGTTCAAATTATATATTGCTTTATCATAATTACTTTGTCTAAAGAATAATTCTCCGCAAATAAAATAAGCAATTGGTTTCTTTTTTTTTAGACGAATAGCTTCTTTTAAATATAAATGTGCTAGTTCATAGTTATTAAGACACCTATAAGTATAAGCTAAAATACATCTTATAATATAATTTGTAGGAAAGATTTTCAAAAATTCTTTACAATAATATTCAGTTTTTTCATAATTATTTTCATTTAATTCTTTTATAGCATTCTGATACATTGGATGTTGCTTTTTTGAAATTTTTGGAAAGAATGATTGCAACGATATACTTGAATTTAATCTAAATCTTTTCTTTTTGATCAACATAGTATCAAACTCTGAATTATCTGAATCACTATTGCATTGATTATGTGTATCTTCTGATTCAATTAAAGGTAAAATATATCCAGCTTCAAAAAGATAAGAATATAAGTTTTTATAAATAGTGCTTTGTGGAATATATCTGATATCAATATCATCAATTTTTTCTCGACATTTAGGACAATTTTTTTGTTTTAATTTTTTGAAATTATCCAGAGATAATATATGTTGACATTTTAAAATACAGAGTTGATCTGTTGGTTCACTACTAACTGGACAAGTCATTTCATCTGCTATAGTTTCTAAAATGGTATAATTTGACAATTGATCTTTTTTTAAATATAAATTTTGATCCAAGATTTTTTCTTTCTCTTTTCCTTTTTCTTCTTTTTCTTTATTGATTTTAGCACTTTTATTTAATATATCAAAATCTTCAAGGCATATTTCTTTCATAAATAATAACAAATTTTGAAAATGATCTGTTTCTAAATTATTTTTTTTTAATTTTTGAACATATTGATCAAAATCAATTTCTATTATTGAAAATAATTCATTGTTAATATTATATAGATGTAATAATATTTCTACTGCTTTAAATTGAATGAAACTACTTGGAGCTTTATTAAGTGATTCAATTGCTAAGTAATAACCAAGTCCATGTATTGCTGTATGAGTGGATCTTAAGATAAGATTTTGTGCAATATCCAATATTCCAAACCATAAAGTATGTGGCAGTGAAAATGGTTTATTTGAGAAACTACCAGTATTTTTAAAAGATTTAACAAGTTTATTTGATAATTCATCAAATTTCATCTGAGAACTTAAAATAGATTTTTCGGCAGTATTAATCCATTCTTTTTCTAAAAAGCCCCAGATATATTCCATTAATAACATTTCTCCAAATTTTTTATTAAATATTTTTTCAGAACTATCAGTCCAATTAAGAAGATTATACTGTATGATTAACATGATTCTCCAATCTATATAATATGTTGCTACTGGATATTTAAAACTTAAACCTTGGCGTAATTGAGTAAGCATAGATAATATCGAGCAACTATTATTTAGAGTAGTATTCTCAGAAGTTGCTGTTAGAATTCCGGGTACAATATTCACGACAACCTTAAGTAATTCTCTAGTTTTTCGTATAATTTCTTGAAACCAAGTTTCATCATCACGCAGGCTATTTAATGTATCCCTTAGGTGAATTAATAAAAATTCAATATTATAATTTCGATTTTTGGTGATTGTTTCACAGTCATCATCATTTTGTTGGTCAAAATTAAGATTAAAATTATTATTCTCAAATCCTTCTTCCATTATTTGTGTTGTTTTGTGATATATTTCTGCAAATTTTGTCAAAGAATTATGAATTTTATCTTGAAGTTCTTTACTAAGACACATTGGTGAAAAACATACCCTCTCTAGGACTTCCGCCCATGTACGTAAATGTAGCTCTAATCTAGCTACGCTTTGTTTTGCGTAATAATCAAATGACGTTGGATCTGCTAAAGCAACTAAAGTATCTCGAAGAATTTGAGGTGTAAATTCATTTTGCAAGTTTTCAATAAGTAATTTTAAAGCTTGCAAATATTTAGTTTCAGTCAATTTTTTAATAAGTTCTTTTGCTTTTTCGTCGAGTGTGGTGAATCCATCTTCTTCTAATGCTAACTCAATCGCATTTCTACATGAGGGGTTTATCCGTTTATTTAGTGCATTTGATGAACTACTTTCAGATTTTTTAGAATCGACTATATTTATTAATTGAGCGGAATTTCTTTGTGTGCTTATATCTGGTTTATCATTTGAGAAATCATTTGAGGAATTAACGCCAATATTTGAGTCAATTGATAAATCTTCATTAATATCTGGAATTATATCGCTTATAGTTTGATATTTTTCTGATGAATCGATTACACTCTCTTCTGAAAAATTTTCATTAATTGTATTGTCTTGTTTAGGAGAAATTATTGCTTTAAGAGTTAAAACAACTTTCTGTATATTTGGACGATTATTTGGTTCGTTTTTCCAACATTCTATTTATTGAATAATTTTTTTTAATTCGTTCTTTTGAAAAATACAAATCAATTAAATATCAACAAAAGATTATTAATTACCTTTATATAAATTACTATATTCGACGGGAGTTTTATCAATAATTTCTTCTCTTAATCCATTAATTATAGCAATAGATAATTGCACATCATAATCAAAACCCTTATCTTTAAATGGTTGGCGACCACTTGAGATTTGCCACATTAGAACACCAATACCATATATATCAGATTTTTCATTTAATTTATATTTTTGGTCATCGAGACTTTTTGGATCTATATAAGGTACTACCCCGAATACTTTTTTCGCGTTACTTGATTCTTCAGAAATTTTTTTTGATAAACCAAAATCTGCCAATTTAATACTTTTCTGATGTATAAGTATATTTTTGGCATGCTATATATTATATTAAAAAAAAATTTTTGTTAAAATTGAGCAAATAAAATAAATAATTTCAAATTCATTAAAAAAATGTTATTACTAGGTCACGGTGAATAATACCACAACAATGAATACATTCCACGGCACTTGTCAATTGAAATGCCAAACGCAGTTTATCATTCCAATTAAGTTCATCAAAATGATTATTTAAATACGTGTTTAATGTGTCGCTATCTGCATATTCTAAAACTAAATAGTATTTTTTCATCTGATTCATTTCGTCTGAAAAAAATAAAATAAAATAAAATGTTGGATTAAAAAAAAGGAACGGTAATTAAATTATTTGTCAAAATGTTATACTATATTTTAAATACTTACCGGGTTCAACGCTTGAGATTCCGTAGAATCGTAAAATATTTTCATGAATATCAACTTTCCGATGAAGTGTTAACTTTACACAGTCAAGATTATTGTATAAAAATTATTTTAATTTCACATATACTTTAAAAATAATTCAAATATTGAATATTACTATACCTCTTTAACAATTTCTTTATGAGTTTGTTTATCATTATTAAAAGATTTCAAGGCGAAAAAACGAGTAGTAGTATCTTTCCAAGTAGCACGAGTCACGCTTCCAGACGCACCTTTTCCTATCAGTTGTATATTTTTAAAATCAGAATATTCATAATATTCGATACATCCTTCAGAAATTAATGTTTCTAAATTGTTGCTGATTTTTGACATTTTTGACGAAAAAAACTTGGAAAACTAGACGGTTATATATAGCGTATATTTGCGACAGTGTAACATTTATTATAAATTCTGGTGGCGTTAATGACTTCTAATTTTAGACATGTTTTCTTTGACGCTCGGGTGTCACCTAATACAAATATGTGTGTGTTACAAATCTTAGAGAAATGATTCGCTGGTTTTCACTTTTATTTTTAATTTATATAAAGCGATACAACGTTAAATAATTGGTTCTCATAATCACCGACCTAGTTTTATGAAAATTTGCAGATTAAAAAAAAAAAAAATCTTAAAAATTTGGGACTATCATTTTACCTTACAAAAAATATATAAAACCGACCGCCGACCTCAGAATTTTGAATCTATAAAACGAAAACCAATTTTTTAACATTATGTCGCCTAAAAAAAAGTGCTGTTTAATTTTTTTAATACGAAAATCAAACTTCCTATCATTCAAATCATAAATATGATACGGAAACTCACAGGAATAATCTATTATAGGAAGAACACCAATGCACTGCTTTAAAACTTTATAAATTATACAATGTAGTTAAATTTTTTAATTTTTAAATATGGAAACGGGAATATTCCCAGTTTCCCACAAAACAAATAAATAAGAATATAACTTATGAATTGATATTGTGGCGTAGCAACTTACTGTATGTTCCAAAAAAAAATCTTTTTGACGTTTTTCGTATTATGAGACTTACAGTACATAATTTAGATTAGACTTAAGATAGTTAATAATTCAATTTATTTCTTATATATCAGTCAATATACATTTATTATTTAGAGATGAATTTTTATCCCTTAAACTGTTTTGCAGCCAAATTTGCCTGCAATTTTGTTTTTTAATTAAAGACACTTTTAAATACCTTAAAATATTTTATTACATAAACCAATATTTGACACTATATACAGATCACACTATATAGTTAACGATATCAGGTGATCTTCATTTTAATAGTGATAGTCCTTGTAATTGGTTGTTATGCTAATCGTGCTATCCTGGAAAGGAAGGAAAATTTTACTAATTTGGTTAGCTCTTATGCGCTAAGTATAGGGTACGTTTTTATATTATTGATATTATTGATATTGATATTGATATTGATATTGTATTGAATTGATATTGAATTGATATTGATATTGATATTGATATTGAGTTGATATTGAGTTCAATATTACGAACAATGGTCGTTTATATAAAAAAAAAAAATTAATCATGATCTGCAGCATGATCCGAATTGGTTGATCAAAAATCAAGAGCTAACCATATATTGACATCAAGGAATTATGAATTGTCAATTTGGCTGGCCAAAAATCTGGGAGCTAACTACATATTAACATCAAGGAAATATTTATTATTCGTACAGTATACATGGTTCAGGAGGCTAATTTTTGGGATTAATTATAATAGGAATTGAAGGAAATTAAATATATAAAGCGAATAACATTCTTAAATGAACCTGATCAAATATAAAAAAAAAAATATGTCTGAATTTTTTTAAATTTTACATATATCCAAATTATATAAAAAATATATATATCCAAAAATATATATATATCTGAATTTTAATATATATACCCGAATTTATTAAATTTATTCATTAAAAAACATTATACGAGTTTATTTATTAAAAAAAGCATTATACAAATTTAGTAATTATTAAAAAACATTATACAAATTTAATTATTAAAATATATATTACATGAATTGATTTATTAAGAAAAATTATATATCCGAATTTATTAAATTTATTTATTAAAAAAATATTTATTAGTAAAAAATTATAATTAAAAATATAATACAAACTTAATTATTAAAAACATTATATGAATTTAATTATTAAAGAAAATTATATGAATTTTCTTATTAAAATATATATTACATGAATTAATTTATTAAAAACATAATATGTGGACATAGAATCGTCCAAATTTGATTTGAAATATCCTACAATATTAAGTTTTAATCATGTGAAATAAATTTTATTGAATTATTTTATTTTGGTTAGAAAGTAGAAACGAAAAAATTTTTTTAAAAAAAATTGTTTTTTATAAATTCTTCTTTTAAGGCCAATTACAATTAAATCAAAACGTAAAAAACAAATTAAAATATTTTAGATGAAAAAAAAAATAAAATAAATTATTTATTTATTTCAAATTATATCTTATCAATACTTTTGTTTCTGCAAATAAGTGTTAAAATTTATGGTATATATCATACTCTTAGAAAGGGCCGGTCACCGGCCCTAGGGTATGACTCTAGTTTTGTAAGTAAAAATCGAATGATTTTTTAAAAGTAAATGATCGACAAATTATAACAAATAGTAGCTAAATTTTTTAAATTGAAATATCTTTTTATCCATTAACCCTAGAAATATAAAATTACCACCATTTGATGCATTTTAATGAGAAGAATCTGATAGAAACAAAATTGTCCTTCTATAAATATTATGTGACAGGATAACTTACAAAATCTAAAAATATATAAATTAATATAACTTTTTATTTATCAATTTTAGAGTTATGATTTTGTTACCATTAAATGCGCCTTAATAAGAGGAATCTAACAAATATAATTTCATCTTTTTATAATCACTAGATCTTAAGATATTTTAAAAATTCAAAATTTTTTAAAATTCATTTTAGCCCCTACAGTTTAAGGGATAATAAAATTGATTTAAGAACGTTATTGGAACGGTTTTACATTCTTTTTACTACGTATATGGTGAATCCGTTAACGATACTGTTTTTAGAATATATTTTAATTCATCGCTTATCATCATACTCATACTAAATGCTTCGACCACAATTTTTGCATACCCGATAACATGTGAATATAAATTATCTCAAGCAAATCTTACAGAATAAAGTTTGAACCTTTATCTATAAGAGACAAGGTAAAAAAACTTTGATGACGTACGACAGGATAATAATTTTTTAATACTCCAACCTTTTATGTATAGAATTGGTAGTTTAAATATAAATCTTATAAACTATTTATTTAATTGCGTTAATATAATGTTGAATTTTATTACAATATATTGTAATTAATTATTAAACTAGGAAACGGGAACCGTCGTAAATCTGGAGCGAAAAACTAAAATTTGTGATTTTATTGGGTGACAATCACGTGGCGGGCAGAGAAATTCACGGGATCGATTTTTTTTTCATAGTGCGTAGACATATCGCTTTGCTCCGGACAATGATATCCAATAATCTTAAGCGAAAATGAATTCAACATTGAATTGAAACGTTAAAGAAAATTTTTATATCATATACGTTAGTGGTCCGAACCAGTAATCCATTGATCGGAACGTTGACAAATTTTTTAACTGGCTAAAAATCCGTAGATAACCATATATGAATAATTATAATTTTTTTGATGTCATTTCATTTATATTTTACTGCGACAATTATGTACGCAAATTTTTATGTATAAATATATTCCAAATATATTTATGGTCTGTTATAATTTGGCAATTGAATCAATTAATAAAGCTTCAGGTAGTTTCTTTCAGAAAATAGGCTAAGTACTTCAAAAATTTTGAAATTACTGTAAAATATATATATATAAATTTGCCCTATAAAAAAAGTAGATACGTTTTTATACTGAAAGATACGTTTTGTATACTGAGAGATACGTCTAGATACGTCTGGATACGTTTTGAGACACGGAAAAATGCACAATTCTGCATCTCACATGATACGTTTTTTCAGTGTCTCCGTATACAAAACGTGTCTTGCAAGATACGGAATTGTGCATTTTTCGGTATCTCAAAACGTATTTAGACGTATCTAGACGTATCTCTCAGTATACAAAACGTATCTTTCATTATAAAAAACGTATTTACTTTTTTTATAGGGTTGTTAGCTTTGTAGTTTCAAAACTCCAAAAGATAGATTTTATCAGAAATTGGCTTAGATTTTAGAATTTTGATTCCAAAATTCTAAAAGAGTCTTGGCAAGCACCTCTAATGTTCCTATAAGAAATATGTATACGGAAAGGATACGTTTTGTATAAATTTTATGTACGTTTCTATAGATTCCGTATACAAATTCCATATATTTAATAAGCAATTCATTTTTAAAAAAACTAATGTATACGAAATATATACGGAAAAAATTAATCATGTGGATGTATACGGAATTTTTAAACTTAACTGTTAATATTTTAGAAGATAATTTTACAAAAATCTTGTATCATAATACGAGATCACGTGATTGTTTATTGTTTTCTTATGATACGTTTTTTGTTTTTTATATGAACCTTTACTTTGATGAGTTTGATCTCTTTCCTTTCCTTTCTAAATTTCAGTTTTCTTCTTTCTTTGTCACCCCCTTTTAAAAAAATTTTTTTTTTCGTATCTCACTTTAAAAAAATTTTTTTTTCGTCACTCTCCTTTAAAAAAAAATTTTTTTTGATTTTATTCTTTTATTCCTACTCTTCTTTTTTTTAAAAAAAATTTTCTTCTATTTCCTCTTTATAAAAAATTTTTTATTTTTCTAACTTTGACGTCCTCCCTTCAAAAAAAAATTTTTTTTAACTTTCTTAACTTCGTTACCCCTCTTTTTAAAAAAATATTTTTTCGATTTATTCTTTATTCCCCTATCTTTTTTATTTATATTTATCATTTATCCCTTTTTTATTTCATAGGCCGACAGATTTTTTTTTGTGAGAAGATTCAGTTTCTTGTTTCTTTTTTGTAGATCAGTTTGGGAGTCCTTTCCTTTTTGTAGGATGGTTCAGGATTTTTTTCTTTTTTTAGGCCAGTTCAAATTTTCTTTTTTTTTTTGTAAGTTGGGTTCAGATTCTTTTCTTTTTGTAGGTTGTTTCAGTTTTGTTGCTTCAGAGTCTTCTTTTTTTGTAGGTCAGTTTTGGATTTATTTGTTGTTTTGGTTTCTTTTTCATCAGATGCTTCATAATTTTTTTCTTTTATGTAGGTCAGACATTCTGGAGTGCTCTTTCTTTTTTTGTAGGAATGCTGACCTTTGGTGACTTGGATGATTGCAGATACTATATGAGGGAGGGTTTTGTTTCCAATTAAGTTAGACGTTCTTATGTTTCTTTTTTTTTTTGTTTTTTTTTAGATTGTTTGACTCCAAATGAACCTGAACTTATAGATAATTTTGGTTGCAATAGGTGGTTTTAATAAGGAGGGAATTTTCATATTAAATGTATTTGTATTTTATTTTTTATTTTTATATAATTTAATAAAGTAAAATTAGATTTATGTAAATACAATTATAGTAATATAAATAGTAAATTCAGTGACCAAATCGTATAAATTTCCTAATAAAATCAGTGATCAAATCATGTAAATTCCATATGAATCCTGTGCAAATTCCATATCCAAACCATATTTTTAGTGGTACGGAATTGTGCATTTTCCGTATCCTATTATGATGCGCTATTTCTAAGGAAAAAAATCGTATAAAAACTTTATAAAAAACGTATCCAATTTTTTTATAGGGTGGTCTCTAATCAGGATATAAAAATTTGCATTAAATTTTATAGTTTATTAAAAATTTATGGCTTACTATATGTGTATTTTTTGCCTATTCTAATTGTTGTAATAATTAAGCTTTTAATATGTTAAATAATTAATAAAAATAAAGAAACTTAGAAGTCATGATAAAGCAAGTTCAAATAAATATTAAGTTCCTTAATAAAAAGTTTTATAAAACATATTTCAGATAATAATTATCATTTTAGAAATTTTTAAAATTTGAAAAGATAATACATTTCCTGTTAAATATTTAAATATAACAGATGACTATTTAATAAGTATATTTGAAAAACTAAGATACGCACTCAAAATTATTTTGTATCTCGTCACCATAGTAATTTTTGTCGTGTATAAGGAAGTGAATGTCTTAATAAATAAAAATTAACAGTTAAAATCAAAATATTTTTTTATATACAGTATATTTTTTTTAAAATAAATATTTAATCGCACAATGTAGGAAACTTTTTATGCTTTGAATGATTATTAACGTAATAAGTATTCCAATTTCTGCAAAACAATTTTAAAGCTATTGCGGGAGAAGAAATTTTATTAAAAATATTAAATTAATATTAACAAAAAATCATGCACCTCTTTAGTAATAATGATTAACAAACTCTTAAATAAATTATTAAATATTTCAGAGCAAAGAAACGATAATTTTTTTCTAAATGGCACAAGTTATTTTACGTTTGTATGACAGCGCAACTATGAAAAGTAACCAATAATTCTTTTGCGAGTATGTTTAAATTCTCCTGGAGAAGCTAGATTGGACTATATTTTATACATTTAGCTTAAGTACGTTTGGGTTTGCCATCTAATAAATTTTTTATAAACCCTAAATTATTTTGTAAGCATGTAAATTAATTTACTTTTTTGATCCGCGATATTGTAAAATTTGCGGCTCTACGTAAAAAAGATAATGTCAATCATAGAATTTCCTAATATAATAATTATATCCAAAATCTCATAGAATCAACTAAATTAACGCTTGAATTACAAAAAGTTCGCCTTATTTTATATGTTTTTTTTTTCTGTATCGTATGTGAAGAAACATACTATGCTATAAATTGTATATTTAGCTATAGGATGATCCTATTTCATTAATTTCGTTAATCAAAAATGAATTTTTATTCTTGAGAACATATGACCGCATTATATGACATTATATAGCTCTGAATAGTGTTTCGATCCGTATTCGGGTCCAACCGGTTGAACCCGGATAATTTTATTTTTCGGATATCCGGATAATCGCGGTTTTTACCCGGATAAATATCCGGTTAAAAAATATCCGGTTTTGACCCGGAATCCGGATAATGAAAATAAAAAAAAGTTTTTCTTAAATGTTTAAATTAGTTTTCTTTCTAAATTTTTATTCAGTGAAGGATTGAAATCAATTCCCAAAATAAGAATTGATTTTTAGAGTCAATCAATCGTGATTATTATTCATTTCTTAAGTTTCAATTCTAAAATTCGGTTTATTATTTTGACTTATTGATATTAAGCCATTTTGTGCACTAAAAGCATGCAACAATCTTGATGATCACGGACAAAAAAAAAAGTTCACATTTTCTAAAAAATTTCGGAAAATCAAACCTACAGCATAATTTGGGCAAAATTCATAGTGCCGGCCGAAATTAGAGTTTCTAACCTTAATTTAAGATCTACGATTTAATTAAATAAACGCCACCAATTTAATCAAATTTGTTACTATGGAACTTAATTAAACTTATACCATGAATTTTATTTAATATATGCCATGAATTTCCCAATCTATAAAAAAAATTAATATTAATTCTATCCGGATTTCGGTTTCTATCCGGATATATCCGGATTTTTATCCGAGGCGGATAATCCGGATAAAAACCGGATAATTTTTTTAATTTATCCGGGTAACGGTTTCTACCCGGATCGAAACACTAGCTCTGAAAAGAATTATGATCCAAATAATTTTAGTTGGTTAACCAATTTTTTGAGATGCCTTACCTTAACGGCTTAACCGGTCAATTAACTGTAACTGAACATCAACCCCTTGTGTTTAAGCAAATTTTATTCCATCATTACTTTGGACTACCCCTGCGTACCCTTCAAAAATGTCACGAAACGGCCGGCATTACGGCGTTATGCACTAACACGTGAAAATAAACAGTGACGAATAAGGGTGTGACGAATAGGTTTTTACTTACTCGAAAAAAACTAAGTCCCTCAGATACTTATAGAAAATGGAAACGCAGTGGGTGTGACGGTTGTGACAAAAAAAAGTCACGTGAATTTTCGTGACATTTTTTGAAGGGTACGCAGGGGAAATCATTAGACTTTGATACTACGCCACAAAATTGTGATGCGCATGTGTGCAACTGTTTGGAGACACAAATCATACTAAATAAGTTCATTTTGAATGGATCGTTACAATATAAATTTACGCCAACTTGCAGTTGTACAAGCTTACGTTTAAACGCAAATATTATTCCTAAAAAGCTTACGCCGGTAGAGGTTTAATTCTTTTGCAACAAAAAAAAATATGGAAGGAAGTTCAAGTCAGGTAAATTATAATTTTAAGTAATATTAAATATTTAATCAATTAAAAAATTGGGTTTATGATGATTTTATAAATATGTAGAGTAAAACGGTTTTGCATGAATACTTCTTCAATAAGGATGGATTTACAACTCCCGATAAAAAGGCAGAAGAACTTATTAAAAAATTGACTGACATAAAATATTTATATGCATTAAAATTACTTCTTGAAAATTTACAAAATGAATTTTCACCTTATATTCTCCGAGATACTTTCGAGGCCTTGGCGGATCCGACTCCATTCGATTTTTATGCAAATCTAAGTGTGGCTAGATTGGAGTTACATTTAAGAACTTGGGTAACAGTCTTAGAACGGATATGCTTTTCACTAATAATACTTAGTAAAGAACTTCGAGATAAAGTTTATAATTCTTTATCAAAATTTGCAGAAATTCATCGTAAAACGACTCAAGTTATTGAAATAGGACTTGATAATAATTTTAGATCAAATTCTAACCAATTTAGTCAACAAAACAACAATCAGGATGACCAAATCATCACCAATATGCGTAATTATAATGTTGACTTCTTACTAATTCACTTACGAGACACATTACAATGTTTACGCGATGATGAAACCTGGTTTCAAGAAATTGGACGAAGAAGTAAAGAAGTGCTTAAAGTTGCATTGAATATCGCACCAATAGCAGGAGTCGCTCTTCCAAATGATAATTATTCAATCTTATCAATTCTTGCTCAAATACGTCAAAGCTTGAGTTTTAAATATCCTGTGGCATCTTATTATGTAGATTGGAGAATTATGTTGATAATTCAACATAATCTTTTTATTTGGTCTGTAGGTACTGAAATGATAATTAATAAAAAATTCTGTGAATTGGCATTAATGGAACACCTTTGGAGCTTTTTGGAAAGAGAATGGATTGACGTAACTAATAAACCTATTTTAAATTCTCAAGCAAAATTTGATGAAGTATCAAACAAAGTTACTAAAGCTTTAAAAAACACTGGAAGTTTCCTAAATGATCTCACTGGAAATGAACCTATTGCATTACCGCATACCTTATGGTTTGGAATATTGGATCTTGCACAACAACTTATTCAAAAGTCTACTCGAACTGCTACATATGGTCTTTGTTATTATTTAGCAATTGAATCACTTAATAAAGCTCCAAGTAGTTTCATTCAATTTAAAGCAGTTGAAATATTATTACATTTACATAATATTGATAGTAAAATGTTTTCAATGATTGATGATGATTTTGATCAATATATAAAAGTATTAAATGAAAATAAATCATCGGATTTTTCAGAAAAATTTCAAAATTTATTATTATTTATTAAAGAAAAATATCTTGAAGACCTAAACATTTTAAATGAAAATATTGGAAAAGAAAAGAAAGGAAAACGAAGAGAAAAAAGTTTAAATCAAAATTCATATTTAAAAAGAGAACAAGCATCAAATTCTAATATTATAGATATTATAGCAGATGAAATGACTTGTCCGGTTAGTAGTGAACCAGAGGATCAGTTATGTATTTTAAAATGTCAACATACATTATCATTAAATAATTTAAAATTATTGAAACAAAAAATATGTCCTAAATGTCGAGAAAAAATTGAAGAAAATGACATCAGATATTTACCACAAAATTCTATTTATAAAAATTTATATACTAAATTCTCTGAATCCGGACATATTATACCTCCAATTAAATTAGAAAATTCTGATCAAATATATGATAGTGATGATTCAAATAATTCAGAAGCTGATCTCATATTAGCTAAGAAGGAAAAAGGTATGTCAAATATGTTGTCAAATTTATCATTACAGTCAATTATTCTAAGAATTTCTAAGGAGCAACAACCAATGTATCAAAATATTATAAAAGAATTATATAAAAAGAATTATGAAAAGGCTGAATATTATTGCAGAGAATTTTTAATATCTTTTCCGGTAGATTATACTATGAGATGTATTTTAGCTTATACTTACAAGTGTCTTAATAATTATGAACAAGCACATTTATATTTAAAAGAAGCTATTGATTTAAAACAAAAAAGACCTATTGCTTATTTAATTCAAGGAGAAGTCTATTTTAGACAATATGAGTACAAATATGCAATAAATAGTTTAAATATTTCAATAAATTATAAGACAAAAACAAATAAAGTATTTATATTGCTTGGAGATATTTATCTTCTTGAAACCAAGTTATGTAATAACAGTAATGTTAAAAATAATTACTATTTAGCTGCTTTGGATAATTATCTTATTGCATTAAAAGGCAATCCAAATAGTTATTTATGCTTAAAAAAATGTGCATATGTTTATAATAAGCAGAAAAAATATTTGAATTCTTTAGAAATGTTAGATAGATTACTAAATATGAATAAGAAAGATTCATTAATTTTATGTTATTATGGAGAAATTCTTAAAAAATTAGGGAGATATAGTGAAGCTGTATTATATTTTACAGATGCAAATTTGGTAGATCCAGAAAATACCCATAATTTAAACAGAAGAGCTATTTCTTACTATGCCCTTCAAGAGTATAACAAAGCTTTATTAGATCTTGATAAAGCTACTAAATTGAATTCATCAAATAGTTTAACACATTACTATAAAGGATTAACATATTATGCAATGGAAAATTTTTATGATGCTATAGTTGCTTTTGAAAAATGCATGGAAATAGATCCTAATGATAATTTAGCCAAAATTTTATTTTGTTTTATGAAATATTTATTAAGTAAGAAATGCTATAATATTGTAACAGAAATAAGCCAAATTTCTAATATTAGCGATAACAAATCATTACTTTTTATTAGATGTGAAATATATATTGAGTTAGGAGAATATGATAAAGCGCTATTAGATTTTAATAGGTTATTTGAATTATATAATGAAGATATTTCATTTATTTATTTATTACAAAATTATCTTAATTATTGGTCATATTTGTGTGATTATTACAAAATAAGTGATATTGATTATAAAGATATTGGAATTATCGACAATTTTAAAAAATATATGTATAAAGGTGAGAGAATTTTCTTTTAATTTATTATTTATTGAAATACGAATTTAATCCATTTTTTTTATAGTAAAAAAAGTTTATTCTATATCGAATATTAGCAATATTCATCTTAAAAATGATATAAATAGGTAAGCAATGTGTCTATAATATAGCTTTTCTAAAAAATTGTTATATTAATATGATATAATATTTAAAAGTTTATCAGGAAGGTCATTCGATGCTAAGGATGTGCACCTTAATTTGGAGTTACCTAAACTGCTATTACCTTACGTAAAATCACAATACCTGTATATTGTTTGGAAAATATGCGTTAACAATATATCATCGAAAAATGCTACTATGGATTTTATAGTTGACATGGGAGTAGTAAGTTAAATTAATAAAATTAATAATTAAAAATAGTTTATTATACATTTATTAAAATTGTTTTTTTTTGTTATTTTAATTATAGGAACTTAGTTTATACTATTCATTACATCAAAGGAGAGAGCATAGATTAGAATATGATGATTTATCAAAACTTGTTGGATTGGGCTGGATTGAATTTACAGTACCAATTAAAATAAAATCAAATAAATTCGATTGGGTCCAACCTTCAATTACTGCAAACGGACCTTTCATTGATATGGTATACTTTTTTATTTTACATAAGCGCGACATTTTTTTTTTATTATAAAAAAAAAACAATAATTCGTTTAATTACTTTATTTTTTAATTTATAGCAAATAGATTATGTTCGATTCATGCAATTTGAAAGAGATCCTATTTACTTTCCTAAAATGGGTCATTTATTGCCTATATACAAATATCATCCGAATATTTTGAGTTCTAAATATTTTCCAAAAAAAGAAACAGAAAATTTGATTACTCTAGAAGATATCATTAGCTACTTATAATTGTGTCTTATATATACAGTAAATTTTCATGTATTATCTATTATTGTATATTTAACCAACTTATATATCAATAAAATACGAATTAAAAAATTCATATAAATTAACATGATTATAAATATTGACTCTTACTCTTTAATTTCATAATTCTAACCAATATGTTAATTTAGTAATTCTAAATTAGTAATATTCTGTTTACTAATGTTTATTTTTGCCCGTGACTTAACAACTTAACATATATTAATTTAGAATTAAATAATGTGTTGCAAATTACAAATACTAGTTACTCACGGATAGTCAGATTATTTGTTCCATTAGATCAAACATGTTCTTAAATAAACTATTATTGTACAATAATAAATCATTTCAGGCCAAACTCCAATAAAATTCTGGTTTTATCGTGTATGCAAAATGATATATTGAGTAATAGACATTTTAGGATAAATAATATAGGTCTTAGAAATTATATTATTTGTGGCTATTTTATGTCATTAATTAATCATTCATGAAAATTTTGCCGAGCCAACGCTGAAATATATTAAACATTTAAACTCCTCTTAACCTTCTTAGCTTTCTAGACTCCATTTTTTGTATTTTGTATTTTACAGAGTAGTTTCGTTTGCTTTTATTACCTTCTTTAAACATACAAATATTATTAGGTTATTTGAGTCCTGAAAGTATCACCGTGCCATTCACATATTAATACACGTAATTCTACTCCGCTTTAGACGTCCCAATAAAAGTGCTTTAACCCGGTAAGTTGGGAAAACAAACAAAATTATTTCATTCGGAACCATTAAATTATTTGTTCATTATAAAAAAAGAAACAAATCAATAAAAATTTAATTCAGCAATTTATATCAATTTAGGGATAAAATATTCACTATATGATAGAGTGGCATGAAAAAGATTAAGATGTTATGCATTTATTTACATTAAATACAGTATATATTATTTATTATATGGACTTAAGGAATGGGACTCAGTACAAATCTATATGTTTAAAAATTTTTGTTTGTGTATTATTCTCACGTATTTAACAGCTGATCAGTTTTTTTAAAAGATATGAAACTTTGACAAAAATTTATTATTCGAATATTCCCGTGTTTCGTTATCGCCGAATAATAAAATTTTATTTTAAACATGGAGTAAGATCACATTTTATATAGATCAATTCGTGTAGCCTACGAGTTGACCTCGTCTAATATATTTGTTTATTGTTTACCCCATTATAACAAAGCTCTCTCTTTCTTTTCTTATAATAATGTTTTAAAAATTCATTAAATAATAAAAAAAATAAAAAAAATTTTGAAAAGCTAAAGCATATGATACTTTTTTAGAATTTATATTATTAATTTTGAAATGACAGACTTGAGTGGACTAAGTAGTTATTTAATAGATGTGGAAATATTTATTTATTGATATTGCTTAAGTATTTATGAAAAAGTACAGTATCTATTTTTTTCTAATAAAATTAATTGTTACATTTTTTTTAATTTTATAATTTTGATACTTTAGTTAAACGAAGTATCATAGGTCTAGGAAGCTTAAATAATGCCATTCAGCGGGTATGGAACTACTTAAATATTAATTTTTATCAAAATATCTTGAATATTTGCAAAAATATTAATATTTCTGTACGGATTACTGTGCCACGCGCAGGTGGTATTTTAACTTTATAGCGTAATTTTGGTAAACAAGTCTCTAGAGATTAAGTAATGTTATTCAGCAGGCGAAGAACTGTCTATATATTAATTTTTGGCAAGCTAGCTTGAGTAAAAATTATTATCTTTAAAAAGTGTTTATTTATTTGTTTATTAAATTTAATAAAGTGTAAGAGTTATTTTTGTTGTAAAAGAGTAATAAAATAATTTCTTTTTTTTTTGTTTTTTTTTCCTAAGATGAATGTTACACACGAAACTACCAAACTTTTAAACGCCACAAAAATCACATGGTGGAAAAGTAGACTGTATCACGTGATATACACGCAGTCGATGCACGCCAATCGCATCATTGTTTCACAGTTCAAAGCCCGATCTACATGTTACTGCATTATTTAATAATTGTCAACAAATACAACAAATATTGTCACTTCTCTTCTGTAAGAAAAAGCATGGATAGAATTTCAAGCCAGGTAATAATGAAATTATCATTTTAGTTAATTTTATTTAAAATATTAATATATGAAACAATTTTAAATAAAATATTTAGAGTGAAGGATCTTCGAGTAAGAAAAGGATAGAAAACAATTATGAAGAAAGCCATACAAATATATTTGAAAATCAAGTCCTACTCGAATTAGAAATGGATGGATTCACAACAACAGATGAAAAAGTCAAAAAACTTATTATTGAGGAATTAGATGAAGTGAAATATTTGTATGCCCTAAAATTACTATTTGAAAATTTTCAAGAACAAATTTCTGATAATGTATTAGTTAAATCGTTAAAGAAGTTGGCTAGCCCCGCTTTATTCGATTCATATTATTCAGAAGAAAGTGCAGCTAGGTTAGAATTACATATACGTACATGGATAGCAGCTTTAGAAAGGATACTTTTCTTAAAAATACGTCTCACTAGAGAATTTCGAAATCAACTTTATAATTCTTTGGCAAAATTTGCAAAAATTCATCGTAAAACAACTCAAGTAATAAAAGAAGGACTTGAAAATAATATTAGACCTAAAATAAATAAAGCTGTAGAAGAAGGATTCAAAAATGACTTTAATCTTAATTATAATCCATTAGATCATCAAAAAGATAATCAAGGTAATGAAAAAATTGCAAAAAAGCGAAATTATAATGTTGATTTTTTATTAACCCATTTACGAGATACGTTACATAGTTTACGTGATGATGAAAATTGGGTTCAAGAAATTTTTCGACGATTAACAAGCTTTCTTAAGACTTTTTTAAACATTGCACCTGGAGCCTTACCTGGACTTCCTATTCCAAATGATAATTGTTCAATCTTATCTATGTTGTCACAATTACGGCAGGGATTAAGTTTCAAATATCCAGTAGCGTCTTACTATATAAATTGGAGAATTATATTGTTAATTAAGTATAAACTTACTGAATTGTCTGGGAGCTCTAAAAAATTTTGTGAAATGATGATAGTAGAATATATTTGGGCTTATTTTGAAAGAGAATGGGAAAATGTTGCCAATAAAACTATACTAGACACTCTAGATTCTCAATTTAAATTTGATGAAATATCTAATAAGCTCATTAAGACACTAAGAAATGCAGGAAGCTTAATTAATGATCTTGTTGAAAATGAACCTCTTGCATTGCCAGATACATTATGGTTTGGGATATTGGATCTTGCACAGAGTCTTATCCAATCATCAATACAGACGTCAATACATGGTTTATGTTATTACTTAGCTATTGAATCTCTCAATAAAGCACCAAGCAGCTTTATTCAATTTAAAGCAATTGAAGTATTGCTACATCTATATAATGTTAATAAAGAATTATTTTCAGTAATTGAAATTGATCTTGAGCAATATGCTCAAAAATTAAGGGAAAATAATTTATCAATAGAAAAATTTGAAAATTTATTACAATATGTTAAAGAAAAATGTCATAAAGACTTTGAAATAATTAATCGTAATAATGAAAACAAAAAAGGAAAAGAAACAACTTTATCCACTAATAAACAGGGTGAAATTCTGAATAAAGTTGCCGAGAATATAACTTGTCCAATTAGCAGTGAGCCAGCAGACAAATTATGCACTTTTGGATGTCAACATACTATATCATTAGATAGTTTTAAGAAATTAGAAAAATATATATGTCCAATTTGTCGACAGAATATAGAGAGTATTAATATTTTGCCACAGAATACCATTTATAAAAGTTTAAATTCACAATTCACTAAAGCTGGGCATATTACACCATCAATTAACTTAGATCATACAAGCGATTCTAATGATTCGGAGGTTGATAATATGCTGAGTAAAAAAATGAATTTTGTTAGAAAAATTAAATTTAACACAAATAAATTACAATCGCTCTTTCAAGTTAGAAATTCAGTAAAGCAACATCCAATATATCAAAATGTTATCAAGGAATTAACCGAAAGAAATTATAAACAAGCTATAGATGAGTGTCAAAAATATCTGAAGAGTTTTCCAAAAAGCAATTCTATGAAATGTCTTATAGCTTATAGTTATAGATGCCTTAATAATTATGATCAGGCATGTTTATATTTAGATGAGGCTATTAAATTAAAAGAAAAAGATCCAATTGCTTGGTACATTTATGGTGAAATTTTTTTCAGACAAAATAAGTACGATGATGCTATATCTAAATTGGTTATTTCTAGAGGATTAAATGCTAATATTGGTAATTTAAATATCATACTTGGTTATAGTTATCTTTTTCTAGGGATGAAAAGAAATAACAAAAGCAATTATTCTATAAATGAACATGCTTTAAAGGTTTTTAACGAAATTCAAAATGGTTCGAATAAATCTTTATGTTTTAAATATTGTGCGTATCTTTATGAAATGCAAGGAGATTATATAAATACTTTAAGAAAATTAGATAGCTATTTAAATATAAATGATGGTGATTCTTTAGTTTTGTGTTATTATGGTGAAATCCTTATAAGATTAGGGCGATACAATGAGGCAATGGAGTATTTTAAAAAAGCATATGACGTGGATCCAGAAAATTTTCATAATTTAAGTAAGAGAGCCATAACATATCATATGCTTGGAAAATATGAAGAGGCTTTATCGGATCTTAATAGAGCTTTACAATTAAATCAATCATATAGTTTGGCGTATCATTATAGGGGATTAACCTTTTATTCGATGAAAAATGTTAACAAATCAATTTCAGATTTTGAAAAATGTGTAAAATTAAATTCCAATGATATGTTGGGAAGGATGCAATTATTATATTTAAAGAAATTAGATGATATTAATTCTGAAATAGATCAAATTGCTAATATTGATGATGATGAATCATTGCTTTTTATTAGGTGTAAAATTTATATCGAATCAAAAGAATATGATAAAGCATTATTAGATTTGGATAGATTATTTGAATTAAATTATGATGAAATTTCATTTATTCATCTATTACGAGAATATTTTGATTTTTGGATATATGTCTGTGAATATTATAATATAAGTGATGATGGATTTACCGATTTTGGAATTGTTGAAAAACTTAACAAATATATGTATAAAGGTATGAAATCTTTAATAAATATTGCTATTTATATAAAAAATATTTAATTAATAATTATATAATTTTATTTAACAGTAAAGGCAATTTATTTTGTATCAAATCTTGACAATCTATCCACTATTAATTATAACATTCAAGACGATGACAACCCAAATAGGTAAAATAATATTTTGTTTTTTGGTCATAATAAGGCTGCTCCAATTTAATAGTTTGTTTAACGTCCTAACTTTATATAAAAATTGAGGGGGGGAGGGGGTCAAATTAAGTAAACATTTAAAAATAAACATAGTTTTTTCTTTATCACTCAATGCATTTTTACTAAAAATACATCTTAATTTATTACAGATAATGCAATTAATAAGTTTACATATATTACTTTTATTAATTATACCATTTTCTTTGGTAGATTCAATTACACTGGAAAGAAATTCTTTTAAATATTATACAGATTGGTGATGTTATTATAAGTCACGTGATATAACATATGTTTGTTTATTTTTAAAAATTTTTCAAAAATGAGGGGGTGGGGTACGTTAAACAAACTATTAAATTGGAGTGGCCTAATGTCCTTACATTTTATTAATATAATTACTGCATTTTAAGTTTGCCAAAAAAAGTTCTAATTATGAAGAATAAGTTAGTAACATTTCCTAGATTATCAAATATTTGGTGGGATGATGTTAAATATTACGTTGCCTGGAGGCTATGCATTAGAGAATTACCATCTAAGGATTGTTCCTTGAATTTTATGATTAAGATAGGAAATGTAAGTTAATATTTATTTTTGAAATTTTTCATTTAAAATATTAAAAAGAAATTATCTTTTATAGGGGGATAACTCATACCGTCAAATAGACCATACATTAGAATATGAAAAGTTATCAAAATTTATTGGATTAGGTTGGACTGAATATACAGTGCCATCGAAAGTAGAATCAGACATGCTAGATTGGATAGAGCTTTCAGTTGAAGCTAACAATGATTTAATTATTGTACGTCTTATATTTATGTAATGGAATAATATTTAACGTAAAAAAAAATTACTAACTTTACTTATTAAATTTAAAGAAAATAGACTACGTCCGATTCACAACAATTGAAAAAGACCACATTTATCTTCCTAAAATAGATTGTTTACCAATCTATAAATTACATCCGAGTGTTCCAAAAGCTTTTGAAGACAAATATTTTCAAAAACAAGTTTTAGAAAATTTACTTGAATTGAATTACATTATTAACTACTTATAATAATGTATTATTGCATGACTCTTTTATAATTATATTATATTATAAATTTATTATAAATTATTTCTTCTTTTTTTTTAAGAATAAAATTTGATTTACTGACAAAACGATACCATTTGAATATAGTGCAATATAGCACTGATTCATAATTAATTTAAAAATAAATATCGATTGTTCTATTAAGTTCTATAATAGCCACGTTTGATGAATACATTTTCCAATGACATTAGAAGTAATTATCATACTACTTTTATAATATAAAAAACTATCATTTACTGTAAATGTAACCACTGAAACTATGCGCTTTTGATCGGTTTACTTTATCGATGGAAATTAGTTTGTTTTGTTCTTTATTTGCGTTTAAATTCTCGAAATTTTTCTTAACGAAAGATAATTTAGTATTAAATAAAAAACAATCTTTATCCACAAAGATTAATTCATAATAAAACTAATTTACGGATAAGTTAAATATTTTTAGTTGCATGTGTTACTATATAATTTATTGTTTCAAATATTAGGTAATGCTAAAGCAAATGAACATACGAGTTTTTTTGTAACGTTCAAAATTCTTGGTAACAATGGAATTGAAATAATTTGGACAATTGGAATTGGACTATTTGGAAACGTCCACTCCAAGTCTAATTGTATTTGGACACTAATGGAATTTGAAATAAGTCCACTTTGTCCAATATTTTTTGGACTATGTCCAATTGTCTAGTCCAATTAACATATAATTACAGTGAATGCATTATCTGATAAAGGTGATGATAATATAAATCAATGCATGTTATAAAATACAAAAAGCAAATGATTGAAGAGTATAGTTTCAAGATGGATAAGTATATTAGTCAGATTCAGAAAAGGCACGCAGAAAATAATAACATTATCCTATCTCCATATAGATAAAAATACTAAATGAAAACTTTAGTTCATAATATTTTTGTTGAAGGGTTGGAAGAACCTCCCTATTTATCAATACCTAGTAAGATAGTTAGTATCAATAATATGCCTAAATAACAAATAATAAAAAATAATAAATTTAAATAAATTTGAATTAAATCATTAAATATATATTAAAAATAATTGGAAGTGAATTTAAGTCCAATTGTCCATTAGTCCAAAAGGCCATCACTACTTGGAAAAATATAAATATCCAAGTTGACCCTTGATAAAATTGAATAATAGACCCTTTAATTTTACGGAGGGAGAATATGCTGGATGTTATCATTCAATCACGTTAATTAACCAATAACGGTCCTGATTACTCCTGTGATTAATCATATATTAATAATTTTTAATATTATTTGTCATCATATGATGTAATAGTGTAGTAATTTCATAATACTAAAAAGTAGATCTGGCGCAATTACCATAGAAATACACTATGACGCTTGACAATATCTCGCCATAGATTTATACATACTGTATAGAAGATATTTTTGGTATTTTTCTAAACTCCTAAAATAACGTTACTGTTACTAAAGTTAAAGCATACTATGTTTGTATGTAATAAAATTTGGCACAATGAGTTATGATAAGTACACTTTAAGCATTGCAAGCAGAAACAAAATACAAGAATTGAAAAAGCATTTGGAAGATGGCAATATTAACACTTTTACGGATTTATTTAAAAGTAAAAGTAACTTCAACTCTAAAGATCATGAGTCTATTATTGGCAATTGGATTTTATTTTATGGATCAAATGAACAAACAAGGAAGCAAATAGCAGGTCTTAAAAGTCAAAGTTTTGATAACTTACGAAAATTTTCACGGAAACGATTAATAATGGAAAAAAATTAACCATTTTTATTCCAAAGTTCACTGGGAAGAATAGAAGTGAGTATCCTAGTAGATCTGAGCAAAGAACGTATTACGAATCATGCGTCAACGTTGAACTTACTTCTAGTATCGATGACTCTAAGAGATTAATTAATTCTTATTTTATGGATCTTTCTGTTCTTGTTCTTTCAGGGGGATCCGAAAGTTATACACTCAGTATTGAATAATGTGTTTTTTTTTAGTTATAATTTGGGAATATGTACTGTACGTAGAAGATAGTTGATATTGTGCACTGAATATAACAAACCATATATTAAATGTTAATTTTACTAGCGTTGTTAATAAAGTAATTAGTTGCTAAAATTCACGAGAACCTTGTCTTAAAAAGCAAAAACAATATGCATGAATTATATCGTGCTATACTGTATAACGGAAATTGTATATTCTTTACAGTAATAAAAAACTGAGTGCGTTCACATAGACCAATCTACTATATCTATTTTCTATGGTACAATTATAATTATTTTTTCTTCATCAGCTTGGAAATTTTTAGTTTAAGTTTGCGTGCTAGAAGTTTTCTAAAATTATAAACTTATTTCTTCCTTCTTTAGCAATTGGTAATTTTTTTTATCGTAGTGAACGCTTTGGTTTTTTTTATATTTTTAGTCTAGTTCCATAAGCATGGAATCTGTGCGCGCGTTAAACAGTCATTTTTGATGAGTCATCATTCAAATTTTGTTACCGATATATAATTCTTTATCCACACGTATTGCCTTCTAGATTATTAGAAGTTTGTAGGGTTTCACTTTTCAATATAATATACTAACCAGTAGGACCGGGCGTTGCCCCGGTTGCTAGCTAGTGTTCATAATGTTTTAGTGTTATTGTTAATTTGTTTAAAAATTTGTAAAACAAGTAAAATAAATATTCGATATGCCAAAATTTGTCACGTGATCTGCGCTTACTGTTTTTATTGGTGTAAATTGTAAATTATAAATATTGCAGGGGCATCGATCAAGGCAGGGGACGATTAAGGAGTGACAATTACGTGATCTACACGTGATGTTTGTCACGTGGCTGCATTTTTTTTAGTGACGCAGACTGAAATATATATAAATATAAAAAAAAAATATTTTTTTAATATTCCTTTATCTTTTTTTAAAATTTTTTAGGGTCGTTTCAAAAAGGATGAATTGGAGATAGTTGTAAATATAAAATATTTGTTAAAATATTCAAAACTATTGAAATTATAAAGCAAGCTGCTTTTGATTAAAGCTTATTATTTAAAACTAGTTGATTTTTATTTAATTAATAAATTCATTTTTAATTTTCATTTAGGTATATAAATAAGTGATTCAAAGTAATTTATGATTTATATACTTAAAACTCATATTGGGAGTTATTTTTTCATAGAAATTTGCTTATTCAAATAATTCTTAATAACATATACGCGGTGGTAATGATTATAAACATATATATTATTTCATTTTTTCATATTCGTTAATTTATATATTTTTTACTATTTCAAACTTATGATAAATAAATAAATTAAAGTGTAATAATAATAGTCTTACTAATTCGTAATTTATTTAAACCTAAGAACAAAAATTTATAGATTTTATAAAAGTAACTACAATTAAATACCCTTCGGAAATTTAAGGAATTTAGGCAATTTCCTATCATCATATTTTTTCGACGATTTCTTGAATGAAAAATCATCAGAAAGAGGAAATCTTGAATCTTTTGAAAATTCACCAAGCGGAGGAGAGAGAGAAAATTTTGATTCACGTTCATTGTCTGACTCTCTTTTAGGGATGATACCATTTTTAATCGGTATAGAAACAAAATTAGTGGAAAAAAAAACTAAGGTTAAAACCAGAAATAATTCTAGAGCAAATTTCATCTTAATAATTTTTACGAGGGTAGTTTTTATAAATGTTTTAATCAATCATCAAAAATTCAATTTAATAAAAATAACTCTTTTCAGAGCCATATAATGATTATTTAATTATAAGTTGACTTGATAAATTAAAGAAAAAAAGGACGACACATTTATATAAATTTGTAAAAGAATTACATAATTTGGATATCCTTTATATCATAAGTAATGAGAATCTTATCGCGTTTAGCGTGTTTCATATTTCTTTTATTGTCACATTGATGATATTGTAATTGAATCTTCTGATCTTCGAGTATATGTACGTTAGTAGCTTAGCACGTGTGAAAAAATTTATTTATGATTTCAATTTTCAGCTATATTTAGTGGACAAGCACAAAATAAAGGTCTGAGTATTTGTTATTCGCGATAGTAAATATTATGTAGATCAATATCTTGGCTCTCAAATTTAGTAAATTTAACGTAGTTACTGTATTAAAGCCAAGAAAATTACATGTATATAAGAATTACGTTTTATTCGTTTTAGCCAAGAGCCAAGAAGGATGTTCACCATCGAACAGGAATATTGTAAATATTAAAGACTAAACCAGTTAATACAATTACTAAATGAATAGACTTTGTACCGTTATATTTATTGTTAACAATTATTATTTACTGTATTAATAAAAACTTAAAATATCGAGTTTTTTTTTTAACTTAAGATGAAATTTATCAATTAGTTTAATAATAAAAATAAATTTTTTTATTCATATAATAATTATAATGAAATCACAATAACAACGAATTCACGTCCATCGGATTTTGCAAAAAAATGATTATGACAAAAACTTTTATTATTATGTATTGGTACGTTGTTCATAGATACTAAATTATTAAAATGAATAAATAATAAAAGTAGATTTATTAACAAAATGATATATATTCATTGTAATAATGAAGTATTCTTCTTTAATATTAATCTGATAAGATTTTTTTCAGATTGAAAACAGATATCTTAAATAATTACATTTAAATTATGACTAAATTATCTTATAATTAACTGATGGTCATCCTTATTTTATGTTAATATATTACAAAAATTTTGATATATGAACCCGCTAGAACGCATCATTTTTAAACTTCATATACTATATTGTCTTAAAAAGTTTATTTATCTGGCCTAAAGACCGAATTGTTTAAATCTATAAATATTCATAAATATATAATAATTGTTTTAAATTAAAATTATCATAACCTTTGTATTTATTTTAAAGTGTATATATCACGAGATAAAAACAGTTATCGGGTATATAATTCTTGGTAATGCAGAATAAATAATTACACGGAGGTAATAAAAAGTATAAATATAAAAACAAATATTTATTACTGAAAAAATGATTAATAAAAAAATTATCTAAATTTTTTAATTTTTAAGAATCGTCAAATATTTTTTAGTACTCCTCTTTACCATAATCGTCGCTCTCCCATCTTTCTTGATATAATGAATTACTTCGCGATTATAATATTCAATCTACTACTTTCCTCAGAATCATCTAATCTTTTTGGGCATATCGCTTCTTTTATATTAAATACTCTACCAATTACGTGTACTGCAATTGTTGTACAAGATGAAACCAATGATAATGAAGTTAATGTATCATAATAGCCTACTGTCAAAAAATACAATATCTAATATTTTTAGGAAAAAAAAAAGCAACTTAATAAATAAATATATTAAATCATTTATAATTTTTCAAACTTCACTTACTTGAATTGAAATTTGAGGTATATCTTCAACAAATATACCTAAACAAGCAACCCAAAAAATTTTTCTTGCAGTACTATCACTAAATTTACTTCCAAAAAATTTATAACTTTGTAAAATATTTAACGTTTCAACATCGGCACATGAAAGTAAGGTAAAAAATAATAAAACTACAGAATTCACGTTTGATCCTAATGAATGTAATTCACGTGATAAATAAAGTACAAATAATGTATTTATTGCCAATGATATTAATAATATTACAGTACTAATGTCGTGGGAGAAGGTAATAAAAAGTTTCTGGTGAATGAAAATTTAGTATACAAAAAAAAAATACATTTCAATAAATCTTTCTTACTTTGGAATATAAAGCCATTCTACTTCTCGAACCCTTACACTGAAAAGTAAATCCATTACAAGATCAAATATAATTAATATGATAACGGTATTCGGCTAAATAGATAAAAAAAGGAAGGAATTTAGCGATAATAGTTTCATTTTTAAAAATGACGCACAGGTTTTACTTTTGACCATACCGATCTTCCAGGGGTTTTCATTTTTTTTTTTTTTTCTTTTTCGATAATTTACAGATTATAAATGATTGTCGTATTTATTCTGAAAATAAGTTGCCTATTTGCACATAATTCCGGCAAAGATCACCGTAATGCAGGTCAGAAATTTTAATGTAGGCCGGAAAGCTTATTTTCGTAACTTATTAAAATAAGCCACACGGAAATTTCAATCTTACTTCATTATTCAGGTACTGGATATTTTTATTTTTATGCGTACGTCGATCGATGACCGATTGATCAATTATGTATATCAAGTCGGTAATTTCCATATTCAATGAATTGTGGCTTTGCTTTGCTTTTTATAGTTTACCGCAATTACACAATAATTTGGATCAAATCTAATTAATTTTCTTTTTTTAAAATTCGTAAAGCCTAACCTTTTATAATTTATCAACTTAAATCCTATCTGTTTACGCACGTTTTCTTTAAATTTATTTGCTCTGAAAATTTTCAATAAAATCTAGATACATTATAAAGCAATAAAACAAATAAAATTTCGCCATAAATTTGATTATGGCAAATGTATCGAAGGTCATTGAGATATTACACACTTTAATAATAAAATACACATCATAATTTTCATAAATTAATTTTTTTGAAACAATTCTTTTTCGCTCGCAAATTTTCAAAGATTTTCATAACGAATGCAGATCGGTCAGTAACTCGGGCCAAAATTTATAATGCTGGCCAGAATTACGATAACACGAAATCCACATTCTCATATGAAACTGAGAAAAAAAATTATTCTGTACGATGGGTAACTTTTTCTTTTCTAAAAAGTCTTTTTCAAGCTAGAATTTTTCCTCATATTTCACGAAATAAAAGTAAAAATGAATTTGAAATTTTCACAATTGCATATGTATGTAGGGTTAACGGCTACGCAATTAACAATGTAATACGTCTTAAATTTCTATTTATCTATTGATTCTTTTATTATCATTACAAAAATCCAAAAAAATATACTACATATATAGTATACAGATTACGAGCGTTGCATTAATTTACTGTAAATATTTGCCGACATTTTTTTAATAATAAATCAAAATAAATCAAATAAATGGTTGAGGCGACCTTATATTTTACTTTCTCCCATTCTTTATTAACAAGCTTGATCATATCAATTTTTTGTGTCTAAATATTTAAACCCGTCGATAGTATTAGGTGATAGGCTTTATGACTCAGGGTATAAGAATGAATTGTAGGGCTAACCTTTACTTTTTCATTTTTTCAGTTAAAATAATTATGAATTCTGTGTATACTAGTCGTTATTTTTCAAAAATATTTAAAAATAAAAAAAAAAGTTTTAATTATAATTTATTATGAAATGAACAGATGCTCTTGACTATCGAATCAACAGCTTTTGCTGTAGTTCGAAAAATATCTCTTACATTTCGATTTCTTAACGTTTAATTGATTGGATCAAAAATATTAACGTTAACGGACGATTGCTGCGCCACATACTTGAAATCATATTATGGCTTAGATCATTTTATGGCTTGTCGGCAATGATTATAATTTGATCGTGGAAATTTAAAAAATTATCACTTTTTATCTTGTTCTTTTAAAATAATGATGCAAATGTATCAAGCTTCATCTTTTTTCAAAGATTATGTGAAATATTTACAAGAGAGATTTACATCAGTAGAAAAGAAAAGTAGTAATAATGATTTTGTTGATAAGTTAATCGATAAACTTGAGATAAAAACAAAACCATTTGTTGATTTAAAATATTTTTTAAAGTTTTTTCAGCTTATAGTAATGATGTCAATTAATACTTATACCATTTACATTGGTGCATTTACAAGTGATAGAAATAAAATAGATTGGTTCGTCAATTATTTTGAATTCTATTTTGTTGTTACGTGGATCGTAATTTGGTTTATTTATATTGATTTCCACTTTAGAGGACAAAAAAGTTTAGAGTTTTTAATTTGGGTTATGAAATTCATTTCTGGTTTCTCGATGTTCTTGCTCATCTATTTTTTGAGCCTTGATATGACTATGTATAGGGTCAAAAAACCAATAGTAAATTTTAGTAATCAAAAATTGACAAAAAAATTATATATTTTTCTGATGTTAATGATGGTAATAACCCTCACCCCAATTGCCATTATCGCACTCTTTGTCAAGTGTAGACAAATCTCTACATCCCTTGAACCAATTACTTCCCGGAATGTGGCCGACCTATTTCATAAAGATAATATTGCTGAGACTATAAGAGCCATCATCCGTTTTGCGGGATTTACGCTCAATATAGCCTATTTAAATAAACCTCCAAACATGAATTCGTGGTTAGAAACTCATTATATAGAGAATCAGAAATTTTACGAACGTTTGATAGATAGGAAGGGAAGATGGGGAGCGATAAAAGTGATGCTTAAATATGACAATGCATTTCGTTTGGACAAAAAATTTTGGAAATCATTTGATGGTTAAATTAATTTATCATAGAATAATTACTAGTTGAAACTTGATAATAACATTAAGCAAAATGTAATAAAATATATTAAAAAATTTGCGGTATATGAATGGTCTTTTTTAATTTTAAAAGACTTTAATATATTTATTATTATATTATTTATTTTATTAAGTAAATATTTCTTTTAAAAATGTTCTTTCTTTTATAATTGATTATAATTTTTTTTTTTTGGTTTTTATAACAAAATTTTTATAACAATAAAAAAATATTTTTGTATGAAGTTTAAAAATCTATTAATATTTTTTATTTTTATAGTTAAAGTCCGCTATAATAAATTTTTTTCGATGATATCACAATGAAATTTAAGAGTAATGTATTTTATCATTTTATCATCTATCTGAGGATGAAATTTTTTCGATACAAATGACTAGCCGTCAAATCATGTTCACGTAAAGACGTAAAGTCGTAATGATTCAGCATGATCATATGGTAATAATAATAACTCAATTAGTAATAATCATATTTGATTATGTCACGATTTTTTATATTTTGGCGTAACTTACGTAACTTCAAAATTCGTTATTGTCGCGTACTTTTTTTTGACCTGAATTTTACTAATTTTACTATTATACACAACTCTTCAAGAACTAAAATAATATAAATGAATTTACCTTAGAAAAAAATATTAACTTCTATGATGATATTATGGAAAGGTAAAATTATATTACGCGAGGCACTGTGGAAAATATTTATTAAATAGGAAATTAATGTGTTTGTTATAATATTAGCCGTGACTCGTAAGTTAATGAGTCATAATTAATCAATTTCGTTGGAAAAAACTACTCATATACCTCAAAAAAAAAAAATATAAATACCTTACCTTTCCTTTATCCTGTAAGTAAGTTTTTTTTTCTTACAATATTACACTTTATAACAAAAAAAGATAATTTGTTTTTTTTACAATATAGTAAATTTTCTAAACTTTATAACGAAGTTTCTACACGTTACAACAATATTTCACTCTTTCTACACTTTATAACGAAAAATGATTCATTTTTTTTTACACTATTTCACATTTTCTAAACTTTATAATAAATTTTCTACACGTTTTATTTATTTTTTTTTTTTTTGAAATCTCTCGCTAATAAGTCTTTCGGGGCAGCATGGCGTACTATCTCACGCTAATGTCCAGCATTATCTCTCATATTAATTCTTCTAATAACTATGCAACTAAGAATCACTCTCCCTCAATAATCAAGATTAGAAGCAGAATGTGAAATGTTTGAATATACAGTACATTTGTGGTAAGGTGACAAAGGAAAAAAAATATTCTGCTGATGATAGTTTTAACATTTTTAGTATTAGATATCTAATAATCTTTTGTATCATTTACTTTGCAACAGAGAGACTTTAAGCTATTAGCAGATGCCATCAATATTAAGGTATTATTTTATCATTAAAATGTTGTGAGGGTTCAAAAGGCAATATCCAAGTGTTTCTTATCAATTGCTGTTAAGTTCTTAAGGGGGCTTAGCATGTACTTGGAGTATGATCTAGATGGTGAATTTTAAAATCCCCTGTTGAGGAGGCACAAACCTTTTCAATATATTTTAAAAAACACCTGTTGAGGAGGAACACAACCTTTTCAACAGTTTTTTTGACATCTTTTTCATGTCAATTATTTGTTCTCATTGAGGTCATTCTTAGATTCAGAGAACTGGAAGCACATCGTGGCCACAGTTTGCTGTCTTAGCATGTGGGGGACAGATACTGTGAACGTCCTTCTCTGTTTTTAGGAATTTCCTGATGATTGCAAATCTTTGAGTGCTTGGCTTTTGCTGCATGAATAACAGAAATTAGCCATTGTAACTTGGTTCAAAACCTTGATGAAAACTAACAGTTGTGTATCGCTGAGATGCTGCGACCCTTTTGCTTTTCTGAAGGGCGTCTTTATATATTTCAGATTAAGCAAAAGTTCTGTTACCATGCCAACCCAATCATTCATATTTTTTGGTTCAATAGTACAGTACTCACATATTTTGTATTTCAGATTATTTATTCAGAAAGAAGATTAAGAAGATTGCAAAGTTGACAATAATATGCAATAAACAAATTTCTTGAATGAATGGTAACATTATTAGAAAAATACATAACAACATGAATAATTATACTCAATTGTATTTTTAATCCAAAAAAAAATTATTAAATTTTTTATTTATAATAATTATTTATTCTATTATTAAAATAAATTAATGATTGAAATTATTATTATAATTATATTATGTAAATTCTACTGAAGTATTCAAGTACACTGTGATGCAAGAAATTCCACCATTTACTTGATTATTTAAGCATGGTATATTTATAATGTAACAAAGAACTAACTATATTTATCAATGATGGTTTTTTTCAAATTTTACATTTTATCATGTGGGTATCAGATGCGAAACCTTTTATAAGTCCATAACGTAAAGGAGAGCTTGCCATAAATTTACATAGTATTTGCGTATAATTTTTAAAAGTTATAAGAAAGATTGAATTATAAATAATTTGTTATAAAAAAAAATATTATATGTTAATAGAAGGAATACCTGGAACTCATCCAAGACATACTTTGACTTTGGTACGTAAGAATAAATATTCATTATTATCTATTATTTAATTATGCTTTATTATTAGATTGCGAAATCTTGCAAACAAGCTTTCTTATGCAAAAGAAGAATATACAGTATAAGTATGCTAAATCCATTCATAAAAAATCATAAGCAGAGAATTAATAAATTTTAATGGATTTGAATTTTTACGAAAGTATAGAGGTGAACAATAATGTTTATGTATTATAATAAAAAAACTCACTTTTGAAAGATAATTTTACTTATCATTCATTTTAAAGTAGATGGATCAATATATGGCATTGTCTATAAAGGATTTGGTTTATTAAACGAAATACATATTATGCACGTCTTATTAATTCAACATTAAGTTTTTGGTATAGAATAGTCATAGCATATTGCTTTTGAAGTAAAATATGATTTGAAAATTCTTACCTACTTTATTTAAAGAAGAAATTATTTTCTGTTACATTAGACATCATCAGAAAAAAGTCATTTTTATATACTTTGAATGATATTGGCCTCAAGTACCTAGGAACGAAGGAAAACAAAATAATAGAAATTCCTTTATTTAATCATTAGGAGACACCTATAAGAGGTATAATTATCATACCAATTGTTGTATATTTTTATATTTTTAGATCTTGCTTTGGCTCTCAAATCTGATAATAGTGTCACATCATTTTATGTATAGAGCCTAAGTTTTTATTCCAGAATATCAGGAAAAAAAACAGATAGATCTACTTATGATTGCTGAAACAGCGACTACTACCAATGATGCTACTTTAGTTTGTAAAGGAATAAAAGTCAACGTGAACTCGAGGGAGTTCAAATAATAGATCGTGAAGATGGATATCATCTTATTACAGAAGGAGTTGCTCAAGAGTCGGCACATCTTAGTAACCTTCGCGAGGAAATCACCAAAGAAATTTGGCATCTTGAAGCAGTTTATAAAACTATGTGCGATCATAATAATTATCTTGGAAGTCAATTAGATAGTTTTGCAGAACGTGAGATAATAGATTTCAACTGATCCAGTAGGATTCAGAGAGAAAAAACCAGCAAAATGGAAGTTTTAGGTTAAGACGGGTAGTGTTCCAGATAATCGGTAGGTTATGAAAGATTAATAATTTATACTTACTTAATTCAATTAATAGGCGACAGAATAATTATTTTAATATACCCCTAGCATTTTTATCATTGCATTACATTATAAAGGGAAGATGCTACTATCTTGGGAATGGATCTTAAGTTAGACGATCTTTTAGAAAAGGTAACATTTTAGACTTTTGGTCATACCAGATCCCTACATTTATTTGTTTTATATAAGTATAACTTATTTAGAAACAAGATAATGTCATGTCATACATATGCAGTTAAACGTTCCAAAGATATTACAGTTATTGAACTCCAAGCGAAAGACGTAGTTGTTGGGAAACATATTTATTATATTTATTTTTTTTTCATTTCTATAGGGATACTTCCGAAGTGTGAGGCAAATTGTGAATCCACATTATTCTATCAAAGGATGAAAGAATGTGGATTTCATGATGAAAAAAAGAACCTGCTAAAGTTGGTGGATTATCAAGAGAATATGTTAATCTTACGATTCACCCGGTTGGCTTTTCTTGTTTAGAATCAAACCATAAGAATCATAGGTATTTTATTTCTTTCCTTTTTTTAAACCATTCTGTATTTCTGAATGTGTGAAAAATAAATGGCTTATATTTTATATAGGGAAGTCCTTATCCTACAAGATTTTTAATATTCATCACATATTTTTTATTCTGAACTTACAATAGTTGTCTTACAATTGTACAGTTGTTGCGTTATTAAAGTAATTTTCGTTCAACAATTTGAAATTACTTTCATTAATTTTTAATAATGGCAAAATTATCATTTAATTCCCAGAATTTTATTATAGACCCATTAGAAAGCATTGACGGATATTTGGTTATTTTATTTTATTTTATTTTATGTGAAGACGGATAGGCTATTAACAGGACATATACCTAACGGTGCTACCCTACATCTAGCTATCATCCACCCTAGGGCGGACCCGAACTTCTTTGAATCCATCGAACCAGATTGATCCCCTCCGCTACCGAATAGGGACCAATGTCCAAGAAAAAGTATGAACTATATAAAGAACCCTAACGAAATAATAAGAAGTTGTGGCGATCTAAACATTATAAATAGCTAAATTTCAATTAATTGACAAGCATTAATCTGTATTTTTCTTTCAACCACAAGGGTTGCCACCTGTAAATACTGTAAGAGGTGGAATGGTTTACACTATTTTAAGTTGTTAAAAATCTAACATAAAGGAAAAGAACTAAAATGCTAATAAGCATGTACAAAAAGAAACTAATATATGTGTAAATTCCTATATAAAAAATGACTAACGAGTACTTAAGTAGTACGAGTAGACGAACTGTTACCTAAATCCTTCGAGGCGGATACCAAGCAAACCTTTTTATCTATATGATAACCATAGTGAGTATCTAAATTGCCATTATTACTGGCACTTCGTTTAAACGGTCTATCATCCATAATAGCACAAGGCTGATATGCCAAACTGAATTCATTCCTATAATAATTCATGTAAAAAATGTCATCATAATTTAGAACCTGAGAACGTAAGTCTTCTAAGATTTCGGTATCTTCCTGTTTTTTCCGTTCAAATTCTCGTAATATTTGTACTTGACGTTTTTCGCGTTTTTTGCGTTTGCTATTCTTGATAGGTCCAGATAAAATTGGAAATTCAGGTGTTACTACCGATGAGATTTCAAGTAATTTCATCTCATAATCATGTTTAGTGTTAGTGACTTCTATTATAAGATCGCAAAGATCTTTCCTGTATTCGCCTTGATCAGGAGTAGTATCCCATTGTATTCCGGCATCAATTTTTCCTTGTTCGTATTTTGTCGTTGATATGTGATCATCATAAATTTCTTTCATGAAGGCTAGCCAGCCATCACTGCCGACTGCAAGTGGTTGTAATTTCTTTTTCCACACTTTCATACGAGAAGGTTGATTCAATCGGCCACCTTCATAAATGGCATATGGAGGAATTAAAGGAATATAATGTTCAGGTACATTCTCCCAATGGTTTATATTGACTGGGGATATAACATTCTCAATTGGTTTAGGTGCGACAGAGCTATCGTTGCAGATCGGTTCTACCAAAATGGGTACAGATACAGTTCTTGGTTTATGAACGGGGATTGGAAAGGTGTAATGTTCTTTTGATGGTATGACAAATTTTTTCTTGTATCGAAGGTGTTTAATGGGAGTGATGAAACTTTGATTTTTTTGGAATAATAATTTGTGACGTCGTGCAACGTGGAGTTTATCATCCGTTAGCGCATTATCATCCAGCTTGGCGTTATGAAAAGTGTGCCTAACCAAAGCGTTAAAACGTGCTTCTTGTCTTTTCTTTACATTTGGAGATGAACTGGGGGTAAATTGAAGATTTCCATAAGATTTGCCATAAATAAAATCAAGTCCTTTCGTAGCGACGACATTAGTGTTATATGCATGGTATGATGTGGTGAAAGAGATACCCAATCGGTTCGAAAAATTCTGATGTAATTTCTTTTTGGTCCATCTGTTGTAGAGGCGAGATGCATGAAAATCTTTGAATGTTTTGCAACGACTAAAGTCAGGAATTTTGTTATCCTTCGAGATAGAATAAAGAACAAGATTCTTATGGTGGATGATACAGGCATGACGATGATGTGACATTGTAAAAGGGACCGGAATGGAGCAGGTTGCAATAGTATTGGGAAGTAAACCCACTGTGTGAGTATGATTACATGGGAGGTAAATTCCAAAATAAAATCTATATTTTTTATACGAAAAATTAAAAAAAGTTTTAGTCATGTGATTATTTTTGTCTTTTTTTTGGGCACGTGATCTTATAAAATCCAAACGCTCCAATAGTTTTTTACGAATATGTGTAAAAAATTTTTCTTGCAATCTTCGAGGAATAACTTTTTGTGTTAAAAAAAAGTGCGTGAGCTGTTTCGATATTTGAAATTTGAAATTAGGGAGTCGGCTTGTGGAATCATGATTAATTGGGTTAGAGGACATATGATAATCATTTGTGTAAATCTTCACTTGAAGTTGATTGGTGTCTGGTAAATGATCAACCAGCTCAAAAAAGAAACTTTTTGAACGCCTAAAATTGTAAATCTTGTTATAACCGGCTCTATGGTGTGGAGTCACGTGGAACTTTTCGTATTTTGTAGAAAAAATATAATTTTTGTTAGGCGAGGAAAAGGGCCTAATATCATCAAAGTCGTTATGAGATGAAGGTGTATCTGATAAACTGTCTTCAGTAGGAGGTACTGTTTGTGAAGTATCGTGGTTGAAAACGAAGTCATCAGGACCAGCAGGCGTATAGTCGTATCCGGGTGCAAGAACAAAATCGTCGGCTCTTGGAAAATAAGACATAACCAACCCTTTGAGTATGGGTGTAATAAGAACAATAAAACCTCGTCTTATGCCCGAGGCGCCCTATTAGGGCCTCTTCCCTTTGGGTGTTTCAAATAGAAACTAAAAAAAATAAACTTGCGCAAAATTACTGCGGAAAACTACTGAAATGAAGAAAAAGGGGAAAGAGTTTTTTTTTTCATACGACGGATATTTGGTCCAATTGTGCAGATGGACAACACTAGCTTGCTTTCAAAATCACGTGAATCTGATAAGATGTTGCGGTTAGAAAACCTTATCCAATATGTATATTTTTCTCAGAATATTTATTTTTTTTAAAAAAAAAATTGGTTGAGACCAAACCAAATGTTCCTAAGATATTATAAGTTTAGTGTATTAAAATTTCTTTTTGATTATCACAATATTACTCATAATTATGATAAAATGAATGGTCATAGATCATTAGCTAAAAAATTTTATCTTTTTCTACCCAGTATCTATCCGCATGGCTCAACGGCGTGCTTTACTGAATGAGGTATTTTTTCACTTCATAAATACATTAATGTAAATTAATATTTTCTAACTTTATATTGCTTTCAGATTTATGCTCCCTTAAAAAAATTTGAGGAAGGATCAAAAGAGTGGTATGAACTTTTTAATTCTGGAAAAGTCTGGAGAGACTATTATTGTCCATTTGAATGGCGTGCAAAAGATTATGGTATAATCAACTACGATCCTTTTTTAAATTATTTCAATTGATTTTTCATCATAAAATGATAAATTTTATTTTTGTTCATTAACAGAATATCAAGAAAAAAATATCCATTACTTAAAAGAGATTGATTTACTTAGCACCAAAAGTCCCATTGTGAAGATCTTGCAAAATATGATTGTGAATTTTTCACATAGAAGTTGTGCTATTGAAGCGAATACATTAGAACTATCAGAATCACAGGAAATTTGGGACAGGCTGAACAAGTCTTATAATCTAAATAATTTATTGAAGAATGAGAAATTTCCTCCTCCAAGTTCTATTTCTTCTTCTGATAAATCCGAAAAAGAGATTATTGAGGTTCGTAATCACCTTCTTGCTACGTATTTCATCTACAATACCGTGCGCAAATTGAATCAAGAGATCAATATTGATGGGATAAAAAAAGTTCATCGCATTATGCTAAAGGATACTCCAATGGAAAATTTTTGTCCATGGTATAATAGAAAAAATATGCAACAAGCAGGAAAATTTCGAACATTTGTAGTACAATCATACGGTGATCCTTTTACAGTTTATCCGGTAAAACCTAATTTATTTTTTCTTGTTTGATAAAATCAAGTTATTAACTTGTTATTTTGCATCCTTTATAGTATGATGTAGAAGTACCTGCACTAATGGAAGAGTTTATGAAGTTTCACGATGAAAGCAAAAATATTGCCATTCATCCTATCATGATTTCTTGTCGTCTTAATGCATCCCTAGCTCATATTCATCCGTTTTATGATGGTAATGGACGCGTGAGCCGTTCAATTATGGCACAGTACCTTATTTGTAATGGTTATCTACCTGCTATTTTTCACCAAGTTAAACGAGAAGATTATATAAACTCATTACGTGAAATACAGAGGGGGAAAGATGCTTCTCTGCTGTATGACATAGTGATTTCTGACATTTTATCGTCTTATCATGCTCATAACAAATTGTGATATTTATATTCAATAAAAATTATGGTAACAACCGTTTAATACTTTATTAATATTAGTGTATTTCATCAAAATGAACAAATGGCAAAATTATTTTCGAGACTTAATTTTTAATTTACTAATTGTATTGAGTTGGAAATTGCAATTTAATAGTATAACAATTCAACTTTTTAAACTATATCATGAATTATTTTTGAAATTAACCACATTAGGTAAAGATAATCATTGGCTGATTGCAAACTAGTAAATAGAAAGTTACCGATTATAAAACAAGCACATGAAAACTATAAAAACTTTGTGACATTGATTCTCCAAAGATCAACAATAATTAGTCTAAAGCAGTTATTTTTCTTTTTCACATGAAAATTACCAGCTTATCACTTTATGTAATCTGTTTTCTAATTGTACTACTTCGATATTCAACATAATTAAAACGTGATATATTACGCCCAAATGAATTTCATTTCGCTTGTATATTATTACAAAAATTTCCAATCATATATAAATACTTTAACTTCTTTTTGTAAATCATCTTCAAGCCAAAATTTAAAAATGGCATTTTGGAAAGTTGCAGCACTTGCAACATTTGTAATAATAACGGCGTTAGTTGCTCTTAACAATAACAATAATAATGGCAATTATTACCACAATGGTGCCTTTTATAATAATGATGATGATGATGATGACAATGACAATGATGATTCTTATGATGATGATGATTCTTATAATGATGATGATGATGATGATTTTTATGATGATTTTTATGATGATTTTTATGATAATGATGACTCTTATGATGATGATTCTTCTGATGATAATGACTCTTATGATGATGATTCTTTTGATTATAATGATTCTTATGATGATGATAATTATGATATTGGTTATGTTGATGATTATGATGATTTTTTTTATAAATGATCATTTTGATGGCGAATATAACTAGTTGAATTCAGTAAAAATAGAGAATGTAATAATACATCTTTTATCAAAATAAAGATAAGATTTGTCCCATTTTATTATTCATAATAGTCAAAAGCCTTTATTTTCATTAGGATAATTAGAAACAAAAGGATTTTTATTTATGATAAACGTATAACCTCTGGGTCTCTTCTCTAATACATATTTTTCTATTTATTAGCATCACTACTTGCTTGTTATAAATTTATCTCCCATTTTCACATTTGATTTTAAATAATTCGTACCATGTAACATTTGACTTCAATCCTTAAAGAATTATTTTAAATATTCTAATAAATCATAACTTATGAAAATTTTAAATTATCATAGGAAATATTATCAATTTCAAAGATTTCAAGTTAAATAGAAATTTTTACAAATTACATCTAACCATTTGATCATGCTTCCTTCTACAGCACAAATTATATAAATGACAAATTTTTGCACCTGAATTCAAAACAAAATATTACAATATAATTTTCGAGATATCATATTAAATTTTTTACACCCATGAAATGCTTGATTAATGATTGATCAAAAATTTATCTTTTCATGTTTTCATATGTAATCGTTATTTCACGTGTTCACAGATTACTTGTTAAAATGTTATAATGTATAAAACTTACAAATTACAATAAGATGAACTAAGGATTATAAATTTTTCAGTAAAATGTTGTGACAGATAGATACTCTAAAAAGACGCTTAAAAAAAATAAGAAATATACTTTATTATAAAATATTGTGAACTATGAGAATATAATATATTAAACGAAAAAAAATGTTAATACAATTGTTATAGATTAGTTATAAGTTATCGATAATATTTTTAAGTTCTACCAAATCCTCCATTTCTCTATTTGAAAAATACTTATCCCTAAAAGCATCTGGTATATTTGGAAGTAATTTATTGATTGATATAAAATGATTCATTTTAGGAAGATAGGACTGTTCTTCATTAGGAATTAATTGAACATAATCTATTTTCTTATAAATGTAATACAGTAAAGATCAATACCGAATTTATAAATTTTTTCTTTTCTACTAAGCCTGATTTTGTGTATACACATTACACAGCTATAAAAAAAAGTAAATGAAAAGAAAATCGCTAAGCTAAAGTGCTCACACATAATTATAAATTATGTATAACAATTCACTTTTAATTTTTTTAAAAACTTTTTACATTACAAACTTGTACATTACATACATTCATAATTATATAGTAAATACATGTTAAATGAAGAAGAGAATGTTATATGATAAGAGGTGTAATAGGTACAATATTTATTATATTGGTCTTTACATGTCCTGATTTAAGCAAGAAAAAGAAAAATATTCTTAAAAAAATTCATTAATTAAAAAAATTCTTTAAAATGAAATAATTGAAATTATATGTGAATACATAAATGAATATTTTATATATATATTTTTTTATTCTTTTAAATCCTCTCTTATATAGCTAGTATTCATACACTTATAACTATGTTTTCATGTAAGTTTTTTAATGAGTTAACCGGGCGTTTTTATTGAAAAGTTTAAAAATAATAATTCTTCTTTATTTAATAATTTTAGTAGGATTAATATCTACAGCTATTAAAAGTATATGATGTAACATGGATGGATTAATGAGTCATATAAAAGAACAACTATGATAAAAAAAATTATTATTATTATAACCTTCTTATATCAACGGATTTTCGCTTATAAAAATTATTTTTCCTTTAATCCTAATAATATCAGTTAATAACTTTTATCGTACATGAATGAATGATTTACATCTACATATAACATGAAAAACGTGCTGTAATATGAAACCCATGACATGCTGCGCCCGATCTATTCTGGTAAAATCCGGTTAATGAAATTTGGTCAAAATTTTTTTTTTGGATTATTAACTGAAAATTTTTCTAATATTTAATATTTTTAACCTTTCCTTTTACAGTTTTTTTCAAGCCAATCTTTTTTTTTCAAAATTTTTTTCAGCTTTTTTTTCAAACTGAATTTTTTCTTTCAAATGTTTAATATCTTTAATTTTCCCCTTTTCGGTTTGGTTTTTTTTTCAAACCAAAAAAATTCATTCATTGGCGCTGAAGGGCCATGGGTAAGCGCCGTTTCTTTATTTTTTTCTCTTTAATAATTTTTTTCTGTCCCTTCGTCTCTCAGGTTTTTTTTGATCGGGAAGAAGCATTGCTGAAAATTAATTGAAATAAATATATATATTTTTTGTTCAAGTAAAATTATCATTATAATTATGATAAGTTTAAGTATTATTTGTAAAAAAATAAATAGTATTAAATTTCAAAAAAAAATATCGTTATGTGGTTAATTATACCTTCAACTCAAGCAAGTTTGCCATTTCTTTTCTTGAAAAGTATTTTTCTTTAAAAGTTTTTGGAACATTTAGTAGTAAATCGCCTATGACAGGAATGTATACCCAAATCAGATATTATCTGTTTGCTATATATGAATAATTGATGAGTTATCCAAGGCAAAAGCTTCTTAGTAGAATAAAAATATACCAATAATACCATGCTAATAGAACCATTTACTTCAATTGAAAGTTGAAGGATTAGGTTGGGTTGAGTTTTAGCTTTCAATAATTGCACATGCACGTAATCTTCAAGTTTTACCACATATTTATATCAGAATCCTATAATTATTAAAATCATATATTATAATTTAAAAATTAAAAGTAACATTTTTTAATAGTAATAAAACTTACATTATTTTTAACTACAAAATTTAGTGTAATATTTTTTTAATATTTATTTTACAAATAACATAATTAGTGTTGTAAAGTTCAAGTCGTGCCAAACTGAATTGAACACCGCTAATGGAGTCGATTCGGCTTGACCTGATGTTCTAAAGTTATTCAGTTCAGTTCGGCTTGAAGAAACCCAAGTTGCGGTTAGTCCAACTTGAAAAAGACAAGCTGATAAGGGTCAAATTTTCATAAAAAAATTAAAGAAACATAAGTAACATTTCAAAATTAATCCCTCTCCAGCTCCCTTTCTTCAAAGAGCTCAATATTTAAATCCTGTGCAATTGTCTGTGCTCACCTGAAATAAAAAGGAAAGATAATACTGTAATATCTTTTCTTTCAATAATAAATTAACTTTCCATTCTCTAAGAAACGTTAGTAATGTTCTACTAACGTCTCCTAAATTTCCACCTTTTCCAACTCAACCCACCTTCCATGTCTGGAATATGGAACTTCAGACGTCCAAAATTGGTGTTCCAATAAATACGCGTCCTAAAAAAATAAAAGAAAGAATGGTTAGTATTTATAAAAAAAAACACAAAAAAAATTAATTACATTCTTCCACTTCTAAATTCTAACCAAGATACTTTCTATGTCTTAAATCCGAGGTCCAAAAACTGGTGTTCACGTCCTAAATAGTAAAGAAAAAGGTAGTTAATGATTTCTGTAAAAAATTGCTATACTCTCTTCTGACCATTATACCTTTAATAGTTCCATGTTCGAAAGCTGGAAGTTCAGGTACTTAAGAACTGATGTTCTATTCCTACAAAATAAAAGAAAATGTAGTTAGTAATCTAGTATAATGACTATTTCTTAAAGGAAAATATATATATATGAAATAGTTTCTGAGAGCATAGTTCCAATAATTATTTATTTTAAAAGCTCCACTTTACAATTTCTAAACTACTTACTGAATAAGAAATCAATTTATACGGAATGTTTATAAAAATGAAACTAAGTATATAGAATGTATAGAGAATGTAAAAAACTTAGTCTAAAAAAAATCATTACAAAAAAAAATCTTTTTTTTTTTTAATAATAAAAATATCGTACAATTGCAAAGCTTTATCTGGCAGACTGCTACAAATTAGGAAAGGGAATAAAAAAAGATGAAAAAAGGGAAATGATTTATTTAATCTGATCATTGAGGTACACAAAAAAATTCAGATGTCATTTTTTTAATAATAAATTACCCATTGACTCCAACAGTCCCACCAGCCTGCCGGTTCAGCTTGGCTTGAGCTTTCAAGTCGATGGGTCCAGCTCGGTTCAGCTTGATTTTTTAACGGTCAAGCTTGACTTTGGCTTCAAGCCAGGCCATTAGCATCACTAAACATAATCATACTTATTACCATTTAGTATGGAAAGTCTAAATAAATTTCTTCATTTTTAGAATATATCATCCTTCCTGCTGATTTATTATATTAAATTTTTCAAAATATTAATTTACCTATTTGTATTGTCATCTTGAAATTGATAAAGTTTATCATTTAAATTTACTACAGTAAATTTGATATAAGGTAAACTTGTGGTTCTAAATAATTCATTATTGATTAATATATATTAATTATTATTCACTTTAAATTAAATATTCTCCTACTTTCATACATGTGTTTACTAAATTCATAAACAATTCCAGGTTTAGAAAAATCATTACTATCATTAACATTAAAGGTCCACGTATTCTGTTAATAGATAAATATATGAGATATATGAAATATGAATTAAATCCTATTATGATATATATATGTGTATAACAATTACTTTGCTTCATAGTACATTTTTAATTCTATATATATTTTACATTCTAATTAAAAAGTATTAATTTGCTATCTTTAATATTAGAATATGTTTAATTTCAAAAGATAATTTTTATTCAGTAGAATAGTTGAGTTTTTACTAATATATCATCATCAGATAATCATCAATATCTTTCAATGCATAATTATAACTGATAATATGTTAGACACTTGATGTTTCCAATTGTATAACTTTATTAAGATCAAACAAAACATTATCATATTCTTGAAAAATATAATAATACACAATAGTTCTTTTGTTTAAATTATAAAATATTCTTTCTTTTTTGGTTTGTTCTCCAAAATTTTTTTTTCAGTTTTTTTAACCATCCTTTCTCCTTTTTTTTTTTATTTTTTCAGTTTATTTTTAAAACTAAATTTTTTTTATTTTGGCCTTTTTTTAACTGACTTTTTTTAATTTTTTTTTTGGTTTTGTTTTTTCTAAAACCGAAAATTTTTTCTTTTAATTTTTCTTTTCGATTTGGTTTTTTTAAACCAATTTTTTTTATTTTTTTTTCCTTCATAATCTATACTATTTTTTATATAAATTTTTTCATTTAATTTTATTTAATTTTATATACTATATTTTTCTATTATTGCTAGATAATTACATTATTAATTATTCTTTTTTTTTTTGACTTGAATCTAAATCAATGATCTGATTGATGCTTGCGGTGTTACAGTAAGTACCTTCTTTTTAATCCTCATTTTCAACAATAATTTTTTTTCTATATCTATTTTTTTTGCTAATATTTAATGATATTTTTCTTTATACTTGGATCAGTGATTGGATAGATGCTGTAGTGCTATGGTAAGTACCTTTTTTCTGAATAATATTTTTTTTCCTAATTATTTTTTTTACTGATTTTTTTTTCTTCCTATTTCTTTCGTTCTTTTACCTTTTAGGAGGTCAGTGTTGTCTAAAGTTTTAAAATATTAATTTAATTATTTTTAAATTGAAATTTTTTTATAATAAATAAAATGAATTTATTAATTTTCAAATATTACAAATTGAAAGCAAATGAAAAAAATGAAACAGTGTTAAAAAAGTTATAGGTGGTTAATTATATCTTTCAGCTCAAGTAAGTTTTCCATTTCTTTTCTTGGAAAATATTTATCTTTAAAAGTTTCTGGAACATTTGGACAAAATTTATGAAAATTTGGTAATAAGTTACTCATGTCAGAAATGTTAGGAATATAAGTTATCTCTTCTTTATTACTATACCCAAGTCGAAAATACTCTATTTGCTATATGAATAAATAATAATGATGAGTTACAACATAAAATAATTTCCTTTTAAAATCAAGTAAAATAGAAATATACCATATTAATAGAACCATTTATTTCAATTGAAGATTGTACATAAATTTCAATTATTTCTTTTGGAAGTTGATATTCAATCCAACCTAATCCTTCAAATTTTAACACATCTTCATATTTCAACACATGTTCATAAACTACATCTTTATACTGTTCAGAATACTACAATAAATCCATAGATTAATTAAAAATAACATTTTTAATAGTAAAAAAAGAGATTTTAGCAATTAATAAAACTTACAGTGCATTCAATTGTAAATTTTATAAAACAATCTTTATTTAGTATTTTTTTAACATTTATTTTCCAAATAATTCTATTGTACCTCTTAAAATATAGCATGGGCAAATTCAAATGAAGCTCTTTATTTTTTGAACTTATTATCTTTTCTGATAAACTAAGAAATTCAAAGTTAAAAAATTTACCCAATTTTTGAAAAATTAAAGTGCATAATAAATATATTCATTTACCTATTTATGTCATTTTCTTGGAATTGATGAAGTTCACTATTTAAATTTACCAGATTTGATATAAAATAAACTTGTGATTCTAAATAATTATTAATCAATAGATTAATTATTAAACATTATAAGAAATTAATAAATTAAAACATTCTCTTACTTTCATACATGTGTTTACTAAATCCATTCACAATTCCAAGTTCAGAAAAATCATTATTGTTATTAACATAAATATAACCAAAAATCTGTGTATTCTCGTAATAAATAAATATATGAAATATATTGATAATGATTACAATTTTTATCATATAACAAGTTCAAGTCTAACATTGCTTCATGATACATTTTTAATTCTACATATACTTTACATCTAACAAAAAGTAGTAATTCACTATCTTTAATACTAGAAATTTGATTAATTTTTATTAATATACTATTTAATTCTGTAGAATTATTTTTATTCAGTAAATATTCCAGATGAAATAGTCGAGTTTTTGCTAATATATCATTAAAATCGAATAATTCTTTACATATCCGCCGATCTGCGGAATTAACAAAATTCGTCTAAATTAAGGAATTTGACAATAATTTAATAAAAATTAGGTAAATTAAGTTTCGCAAAAATGATCACACTTGTGCTACATGATCATATGACAGATATCAAGAAATTACTTCAACAAAAAGTAGTGTTAAAAAAATTTTTTTCTTTCGTAAACTCCCTATTAACTCCCCATCAACTCCCCCATCAACTTTTCAACCAGTTTTTACATCAAGTAAGTTGAGAATTTTTGCAAGTATATTAGTAATTATTTTATCTGTCTCTTATACACATCTAGATGTGTATAAGAGACAGATTATAATCTATTTGATATTTATTATTAATTATTTTTCAGTTAATTTTTTTTCGTTAAATCATTAAATATTCTGGATTTTGTAAAGTTTTTCTTTTGTTTTTTTTAATAAACTAACTTTATAATATTTTTTTCCTTTTTTTTCTAGAAACTCCTTCTACTGGTTTCGGGTTGAAGTGGTAAATATTTTGGGAGAGGTCTTTAAAGTTTTTTTTATATATTTATTGACATTTTTTCTTACGTAGGAACGGGTTTTGATCGATTTTAATCGGTACTGCGCCACATAATTGATGATCGGCAAATTCCGCAAATCGGCGGATATGACACTTTTCAAATACCATTATAGTATTATCAATATCTTTTTTTGTATAATAAGTTAGACACTTGAGATAATATGCTAAATTATTTAATGGATCTAATTGTATAACTTTATCAAGATCTAATAAAACTTTATTATAATTTTGAAGAGTATAATATGCAATAGCTCTCTTATTTAAATTATGAGTATTTTCTGGATCAATAATATTTGCTTTTGTAAAATATGATATAGATTTACTATATTGTTTCATAGTATTACATAAAATTTCGCCATAATAGCATAAAATTAAAGAATCATCCTTGTTGATATTTAGCAGTTTATCTAACATTTCTAAAGCTTCTGAATATACATGCCCCTTTTCATAGCTATATGCAATATTCTTAAGACATAAAGAATTATCTGGACTATTTTTTAATGCAAAATTATAACTACTATATGTATTATAATAATAATTACAAAATAAGTAACTATTTCCATGTCAGAATATGTAAATATTATTATAATAACGATATATGAAAGATAACATTGTCAATTACGAGTAAAATTAATATGTTGAATAAATTTATGAAAACATAATTATCTTTGATTAAAAAAAAAATTGTCTAAATTTCTTCCTTCGTATTATGAAAGGTTGATAAATTAATAAATATATGAATCGTTTGACGATAAGAGCACTAAAAAGATTTCAAAAATGTGGTAAACTTGAAACCGATTTTTTACGTAATTCGAAATTTTTTTATAATACTGGAAATAAAAAATTAAATGAATCCGTTGTTAGGATATTTATACTTACTAGGACCCAGAAATATATATATAGGGGTCAGGTGGCGAAAAATTTTTTTACTATGAGCTGTACGCAGAGACTTTTTATATTAGTAGTACGCATAATTGACACCTGATATTGAAAATCCTGCAAAAATACGCAAATAAAATTTCAGACATTAAGTTATTAATTATATTATCATGGCTTCTATATTATTTATAAAACCAAATACTAATTGAAAAAATAGAATTTACCATTTTTTTAATAATATTTTTCTAAAATTTCACTTTTTAACCCTCAGAAATTTCTTTCAATTTATACTAAATATTACAATGCGGTTAGTGCGTACAGTAAATATATTATATATATATAAGATTAGCCAAATTTAGGCCAAAAATACGCAAACTAATTTTTTACATATAAAAATTTTGATAAAAAATACGCAATCTTGATGACCTAACTATAGATGAAAAATTCTAAAATTGTATGCAAATCAAAACTTTACTCCGTCTAATTCCACTATGATGGCGACGCATCTGTGTACCCTACCCCTGTATATATATTTCTGGGTCCTTACTTACTCATTTTTAAATATTATATGTAAGAAATTTTTATAATGAAAATTTTTTTTTATTAATAAAACAAAATTTGTTTCACTAAATTTTATTTTTCTAAAAAAGGAATCAAACTATTGAACTATTTTCGCCACATCTTATATAGAATTTAAAATGACTAATAAATAATTAATAATAAAAAGTATGAACAATAAATAAGGATTACTTGTACAAATAATGATTAACTTACCATATTGGATTTGATATAAATATATAATATATTTTGTATTTCAGTTATGAGTAATCATGAAAAGACTACCAATTAAAGACACTTCTATCGTCTAGAGATTCCACGTAGATAGCTCTTTGTAAATAAGCATCCCACAACATATATATATATAGAAATGAAGTAAAAGAAAAAATATAAATAAAGTAATACCTACTTTACCTACTTTGCCTTGATTTTTATATTGATCTTAGCGAATCATAGGTTTTTCATAATGAATTTCCCGGTATCTTTGCGATGAATTAATTTTAATAATTGTTTTCTAAAGTAGTTTCTTACTTTTACTGGATTATTTTAAACATTTATTTATAATTTCTGAACGAACTTCACACAGTTAGCCCGAGCACAAATATATAGGTGTAATTAAATATCATTGTCTTGAAACATTTAACTTTTAATACATATAAAATTAACAATTACTTTATAGTAATTTAATTAAAAAGATTAAAAATCGATATTATAATAGTTAATTAAATTTTTTTCGAATGAAAGTTCTTACCAATAAAATAACCATTAGTTACATGAAAATATTCATTATGTATAATATTCCGAAATTCCAATAACCCTAATACTTTTATTTTATAGAGAGTTATAAGTTAATAATTTTCTTTCCAACAAATAAGGATGAGTCCAATAGTGTAACTTATAAGTATATTTATGGAGTTTCTTGAACTTATACCTTGACTTGAGCTTTTACGCCAAATTGAAGGCTGGTAAAAAAAACAAATACTTCACCAAATAATAACAACTTTATTTCATATTAAATGTCTTTCAAATTAAGAGGAGTAATTTAAATTTACAGTACTTAATCGATCCATTTGAAAGGGTAACTAATTTGTAATAAAATTTGTCAATTGTCATACACCATTTAAAATAAAGTTAAGTTGACCAAAATGCTACTATCTATATATAGTATTTACTGTATTATTAATTTCTTCTCACATAGCTTGATTTATTCTGCAAACTTTGCCAAAGAATTATAATAAATTCAAGATAAAAATATAAATGTGTAAGTTTGCATTAGAAATTTAACCTTACTAAAAGTGGAATTTAATGTTCCGAAAGGGTCAGGTTAAACCTGGGTTATTGATCTGACTCATATTTAGGGTTGGGTTGAGGTTAGAGGTCTGCATTGACCACTATTTTACAACCTGGCCCGGCCCGCACTTGGAAATTAACATAAAGTGCCCGGCCTGGCCCGGCCCGGATTTAAAATATCAAAAACCCAACCCGGACCGGACTCGGACTTTTATTATATTATTTTGTTGTAAAAACAAAAAAATTGGCCAACTTAATTTTGGTCAGTTTAATTTCGGCCGGAATTAAGACGAATCCGGGTTTGACGAAACTTCATGTGCCAGCCCGGACCCAGCCCGGGTGAATTTTGAAGAAAATTTGCTGGCCCAAACCTGGATCTGGGTCCGGGCCGGGTTAGGGTTTCCGGGTTCCGGGTCTCGTTTGCAGACCTCTAGTTGAGGTCGCATATTTTGATGACCCGTGACCTCGACCCACGTCGAGTCAGTTATACCTTACTTTGACCTAGCGACCTGACTTTTTATTATATATTATATTTTAACTAAAAATTTAAGCTTTTTTATATTAAATACAACTTGACGGGTCGAACTTGAGTTATCAGAATCAGACTATAATCAGATCCAGGCCGTTACTTTTACACTCAGGTAGAGTTCGAATATACCAAAAATCTGACCCGACTCGACCCCTTCAAAACACTTCAATGTATGTAAACATATTATTAACTAAAATTCCTTACGACTATATTTACTAAAACGTGTTGTAATTAAATTTGTAATATATAAATTTTTTTCGTGATGAACTGATTATCACATTAATGCACGTTTTTACATCATAAAATGTTAACATAAATTAATTGTTTAACGAATTAATTCATTAATAAACTTTTTATAGCTTTTTTAGCTAATTTATACATTTGTGCTGTGAAAGAATTTAGAACAGTTATGTAGTACTAGTAATTAATTGTCTAAAGAATTAAATTAATATTGGTTTATTATTTTAAAGTTAAAATTTTTTTATAATAAATAAAATGAATTTATTAATTTTCAAATATTACAAATTGAAAGCAAATGAAAAAAATAAAACAGTATTAATTTAAAAAAAAAAAGTTATAGGTGGTTAATTATATCTTTCAGCTCAAGTAAGTTTTCCATTTCTTTTCTTGAAAAATATTTATCTTTAAAAGTTTCTGGAACATTTGGACAAATTTTATGAAACTTTGGTAATAAATCACCCATGCTAGGAATATAAGTTATCTCTTCAGTATTACAATACCAATATCGTCGAAAATAATCTATTTGCTATATGAATAAATAACAATGCTGAGTTACTTAAATCAATTTTCTTTTAAATAGAATGTCACAAGTAAAATAGAAATATACCATATTAATAGAACCATTTATTTCAATTGAAGGTTGTACATAAACTTCATATACATTTATTGGAAGTCGATATTCAATCCAACCTAATCCCTCAAGTTTTAACACATCTCCATATTTTAACACATGTTCATAATGTATTAGTTCAGAATCCTTATGATACTGTTTAGAATACTATAATAAATCCATACATTAATTAAAAATAACATTTTTAATAATAGTAAAAAAAAAGATTTTAGCAATTAATAAAACTTACAGTGCCTTTAATTATAAATTTTATAAAACAATCTTTATTTAGTATTTCTTTAACATTTATTTTCCAAATAATTCCATAACATTTCATCTGAAAATATAGCATGGGCAAATTCAAATAAAGCTCTTCATTTTTTGAACTTATTATTTTTTCTGATAAACTAAGAAATTCAAAGTTAAAAATTTACCTCAATTCTTGAAAATTTTAAATGAATAATAAATACATTCATTTACCTATTTATGCCATTTTCTTGAAGTTGATGAAGTTTGCTATTTAAATTTACCAGATTTGATATTAAATAAACTTGTGTTTCTAAATAATTTATTAATCAATAGATTAATTATTAAACATTATAAGAAATTAATAAATTAAACATTCTCTTACTTTCATACATGTGTTTACTAAATTCATTAACAATTCCAAGTTCAGAAAGATCATTATTGTTATTAACATTTAAATATAACCAAAAATCTGTGTATTCTCGTAATAAATAAATATACGAAATATATACTATATATTGATAATAAATATTATTTTTATCATATAACAAGTTCAAGTCTAACATTGCTTCATAATACATTTTTAATTCTACATATACTTTGCATCTAACAAAAAGTAGTAATTCATTATATTTAATATTAGAAATTTGATTAATTTTTGTTAATATATTATTTAATTCTGTAGAATTATTTTTATTCAGTAAATATTCCAGATGAAATAGTAGAGTTTTTGCTAATATATCATTAAGATCTAATAATTCTTTACACTTTTCAAATACCATTATAGCATTATCAATATCTTTTTTTGTATAATAAATTAGACACTTGAGATAATATGCTAAATTATTTAATGGATCTAATTGCATAACTTTATCAAGATCTAATAAAACTTTATTATAATCTTGAAGAACATAATATGCAATAGCTCTCTTATTTAAATTATGAGTATTTTCTGGATCAATAATATTTGCTTTTGTAAAATATGATATAGCTTTACTATATTGATTCATATTACATAAAATTTCTCCATAATAACATAAAATTAAAGAATCATCCTTGTTGATATTCAGCAGTTTATCTAACATTTTTAAAGCTTCTGAATACATATGCCTCTTTTCATAGCTACATGCATTATTCTTAAGACATAAATAATTATCTGGATCATTTTTTAATGCATCATTATAATTATGATTTGCATTAACATAGTAATTTTTATAAAATAAGTAACTATTTCCAAGTATTATATATAAGTTATTTATTTTAGCCTTATAATCTCTTGATTTTTCTAAATTATTTATTGCTTCATTATAGTTACTTTGCCAAAAAAATATTTCTCCACAAATTAAATAAGCAATTGGTTCTTTTGGTTTTAAATTAATGGCTTTCTTCAAATAGGAGTGTGCTTGTTCATAATTTTTAAGACATCTATAAATATAACCTAAAATGCATCTTAAAGAATAACTTTTAGGAAAAAAATTTAAAAATTCTTTACACATTGATTCAGCTTTCTCATAATGTTTTTCATTTATTTCTTTTATAATATTTTGATATGTTGGATGTTGTTTTTTTGAATTTCTTGAAAGTATTGATGATAATGATATATTTGAATTTAATTTAATAATTGAATTTACAGATTTCTTCTTTTTAGATATTATAAGATCAGCTTCTGAATTATCTGAATCATCACTATCATATATTTGATCTGAATTTTCTAATTTAATTGGAGGTATAATATGTCCAGATTCAGAAAATTTAGTATATAAATTTTTATAAATAGAACTTTGTGGTAAATATCTGATATCATTTTCTTCAATTTTTTCTCGACATTCAGGACATATTTTTTGTTTTAATAATTTTAAATTATTTAATGATAATGTATGTTGACATTTTAAAATACATAATTGATCCTCTGGTTCACTACTAACTGGACAAGTCATTTCATCTGCTATAATATCTATAATATTAGAATTTGATGTATTTTCTCTCTTTAAATATGAATTTTGATTCAAACTTTTTCCTTTCCCTTTTCCTTTCTTTTCTTTTCCAATATTTTCACTTAAAATTTTTAAGTCTTCAAGATATTTTTCTTTAATAAATAATAATAAATTTTGAAATTTTTCTGAAAAATCTGATGATTTATTATTTTTATTTAATTCTTTTATATATTGATCAAAATCATCATCAATCATTGAAAACATTTTACTATCAATATTATGTAAATGTAATAATATTTCAACTGCTTTAAATTGAATAAAACTACTTGGAGCTTTATTAAGTGATTCAATTGCTAAGTAATAACAAAGACCATATGTGGCAGTTCGATTAGACTTTTGAATAAGGTTTTGTGCAAGATCCAATATTCCAAACCATAAGGTATGTGGTAATGCAATAGGTTCATTTCCAGCAAGATCATTTAAGAAATTTCCAGTGTTTTTTAAAGCTTTAGTAACTTTATTTGATACTTCATCAAATTTTGTTTGAGAATCTAAAATAAATTTATTAGTTATATCAATCCATTCTCTTTCCAAAAAGCTCCAAAAATATTCCATTAATACCAATTCACAGAATTTTTTACTAATTATCATTTCAGTACCTTCAGACCATGTAAAAAGATTATGTTGAAACATCAACATAATTCTCCAATCTACATAATAGGATGCTACAGGGTATTTAAAACTTAAGCCTTTACGTATTTGAGTAAGCATTGATAAGATTGAACAATTATCATTTGGAAGAGCAACTCCTGCCACTGATAAAATTCCTGGGGTAATATTCAATGCAGCTTTAAGTAATTCTTTAGTTCTTCGTATAATTTCTTGAAACCAAGTTTCATCATCACGCAAACTATGTAATGTGTCTCGTAAGTGGATTAATAAGAAGTCAATGTTATAATTACGCTTTTTGGTGATAATTTGGTCATCTTGATTGTTGTCTTGTTGGTTAAATTGGTTAAAATTTGATTTAAAATTATTATCAACTCCTATTTCAAAAACTTGGGTCGTTTTACGATGAATTTCTGCAAATTTTGATAAAGAATTATAAACCTTATCTCGAAGTTCTTTACTAAGTACTATTGGCGAAAAGCATATCCGTTCTAAGACCGTTACCCAAGTTCTTAAATGTAACTCCAATCTAGTCACACTTTGTTTTGCATAAAAATCGAATGGGGTCGGATCCGCCAATGCAACCAAAGTATCTCGAAGAATTTGAGGTGAAAATTCATTTTGTAAATTTTCAAAAAGTAATTTTAATGCATACAAATATTTTATGTTGGTCAGTCTATTAATAAGTTCTTCTGCCTTTTCATCGGGAGTAGTAAATCCATCCTCTTCTAATTTTAAAAGAATACTATTATTGAAGAAGTATTCATGTGAAACCGTTTTATATGAAAAAACAGAGTCGTGAATTTTTGGAATAGTATTGCAAGAAGAACTTCCGTTCTACATATTTATAAAATTATTATAAACTCAATTTCTAATTAATTAAAAATTTAATTTTTATTTAAAATTATAATTTACCAGACTTGAACTTCCTTCCATATTTTTTTTTGTTGCAAAACCTCTACTGGCGTAAGATTTTTAGGATTAATATTTTCGTTTAAATGTAAGTTTGTACAACTGCAAGTTGGCGTAAATTTAACATTGTAACAAATGAACTTATTTAGTAAGATTTGTGCCTCCAAATAGTTGCACATCACTATTCAATGATATCATTACTAATATTGTGGCGTAGTGTCAAAGTGTGATGGAATAAAATATGTAGGTCCAGCATAAGTTTCATGTATTTTATTTAAAATTTTATTAATAATTATTCCTTCTAGTCTTTGGTATAGAAAAAATTGGGTACTATTTTTTTTTTTAATTTGTGTAATTAATGTGAAACATTATTAATAAACCTCGCCGATCTACAGGATCGGCCTAAAATTTAACAAAAAAATGTGACGGTTATGTTACGTGATCATCATCATCTTAAAGACTAGAGGTTGACGTTCAGTTACAGTTAATTAACCGGTTAAGGTAAGGCTTCTCAAAAAATTGGTTAACCTAGTTAAAACTAGTATTTGGACTATAATTCCGGTCGGAGTTATATAATGTTAAATAATGCAGTCATAAGTATGCAACTGCGGTCATGTGTTTTCATTTAGTACCAATTTTTTCATTTGTTTAACGAAATTAATGTAATCCTATAATTAAATAAGAATCAAATGGATACAATTTATAGCCAAAAAAATTTAAATTAATTAACCAGTATTTGAACCTATTGGTTAACTGGTTAATTTAGGGAGAAGAACTGGTATTAGGACCAGTTTTAACGGACTTTGGTCCAGGACGGACCGGACCGGATCAGGGCCGATTATATAAAATTTCTCATCAAATAAAAGGATGACAAATTTCATATTATTAATCAAATTTCATTTTGAAATATCAAAAATTTTCGTATATCAATATTATTCGATTTCTTATGATGTTTTTAAAAAAAAGTTAAAGTATGGAAAATAATCTTTTTTCATTATTTTGTGTTACATGATCGACGTCAATTTATTTATATTACAACTTACAATGGTATTATTTTTTTTAATAATTAAATAAACACGAATTTTTAAAATTTTGTCAAAAATGGACCAATATTTTTATCCTTAAGCTTTGAGATTTCATTTGACTCATATTTAGACAGTCATATTTAAATTACAATGAAAAAAGGTAAATCAATGTCAAATTTTTAGTGCGGCCTGTCTTTGCTGATCAACCTAACTATACCGCTGTTGTAATGTAAATAAAATAAATTTGAAAACCTTAAGAGGACCGGCCTAAGACCAGTCCAGTCCTCTGTTTGAACCGGACTAATTCAGCTCTACTGGTTATTAACTGATTAAGGTTTTTTTTGAATGGTTTCTACCTTTACAAAAGACTAGTATGATTCAAGGATCGTAAACTGCGGGATCTTCATAGGAACAAATATGGTTGTTGAACAGAATTATGATTCTTTACTATCAATATAGGATTTTTTGATAGCCATATGATGATTACATGAATTTTAACCTGCGTTATTGTATATGATTATGACATGAATTTTACATACATTAAAACACTATATTGTATATGATTATGATGTTAATTCATTTTGCATTATAATAGGTATATAATTACAATAATCCTAATACAATAATTACATCATAATTAAATAATAAAATTCATTTAATATATTACTCCTTATTATTCTTATCATGTGATTCTTCCAAACAAAGACTTGATAGTTGATACCATAAAGTATCATCGCTTTATTGAAGACAGTAAATTGGAGAACCGTTATAGGATCAACATTTCCATTTCTTTAAAATCAATCAACTAAAAGAAAGGATTAATACATCCATAATAATCTTTGTATAACATAATTACTCTAATTAATACACAAGATCGTTCATCAAGATTATCAGCATCTCGCTTTGTCAACTCATAATGTGATAGTAGTAACATCAGCTTCTAAACATACAGTACAGTAAATTGAATAGAATCATAATAGTTATCATGATGCTGAATAATAATACCACACATACTTCCTGGTAAACTCTTGTAATTTCAGCTAATAGATTTTCTACGGAAAGAGTAGTTGATAATTGCTCTTGAACTTTAAATTTTTTACATAATCCATGAACTTGAATGGATAAAATTCCTAAATTTAAATTTATAATAAATAAAAAAAAAAAATTTTAAAAAATAAAAATAGGCATAATATTATCAACTACCAAATAAAATTAAAAATCGTTTTTGCAAAATGTAATTTCATTTAAATAATCTGAAAATAAAATATTAATATAAATTAATCGTATAACAAATTAATTCATTAATAAGCTTTTCTAGCTTTTTTAGCTAATTTATACACTTGTGCTATGAAAGAATTTAGAAGTCATGTACTAGTAATTAATTGTCTAAAGATTTAAAATTTTGGTTTAATTATTTAAAATTGAAATTTTTTTATAATAAATAAAATGAATTTATTAATTTTAAAATATCACAAATGAAAGCAAATGAAAAAAAAATGAAACAGTATTAATTTAAAAAAAAAACAGTCATAGGTGGTTAATTATATCTTTCAGTTCAAGCAAGTTTTCCATTTCTTTTCTTGAAAAACATTTATTTTTAAAAGTTTCTGGAACATTTGGACAAATTTTGTAAAAATTTGGTAATAAATCACCTATGTTAGGAATATAAGTTATCTCTTCTTCATTACACCCATGTCGAGCATAATCTATTTGCTATATGAATAAATAATAATAATGAGTTACTTAAATCAGTTTTCTTTTAAAATAAAAAGTCCCAAGTAAAATAGAAACATACCATATTAATAGAACCATTTATTTCAATTGAAGGTTGTACGTAAAGTTCACCTACATTTGTTGGAAGTTGATATTCAATCCAACCTAATCCCACAAGTTTTAACACATCTTCATATTTTAACATGTGTTCATAATGTTTTAGTTCAGAATTTTTATACTGTTCAAAATTCTACAACAAATTTATACATTAATTAAAAATAACATTTATTTTAATAGTAAAAAAGAGATTTTAGCAATTAATAAAACTTACAGTGCTTTTAATTATAAATTTTATAAAACAATCTTTATTTAGTATTTCATTAACATTTATTTTCCAAATAATTCCAGTATACCCCTGCTGAAGATATAGCATGGGCAAATTTAAATGAAGCTCTTTATTTTTTGAACTTAATATCTTTTCTGATAAACTAAGAATCCAAAGTTAAAAAAATTTACCACAATTTTTAAAATTTTAAAATGCATAATAAATACATCATTCATTTACCTATTTATGCCATTTTCTTGAAGTTGATGAAGTTCACTATTTAAATTTACCAGATTTGATATAAAATAGACTTTTGGTTCTAAATAATTTATTAATCAATAGATTAATTATTAAACAATATAAGAAATTAATAAATTAAATATTCCTCTTACTTTCATACATGTATTTATTAAATCCATTAACAATTCCAAGTTCAGAAAAATTATTGTTATTAACATTTAAATATAACCAAAAATCTGTGTATTCTCGTAATAAATAAATATATGAAATATATGAAATATATTTATAATAATAATAATTATTTTTATCATATAACAAGTTCAAGTCTAACATTGCTTCATGATACATTTTTAATTCTATATATACTTTGCATCTAACAAAAAGTAGTAATTCACTATCTTTAATATTAGAAATTTGATTAATTTTTGTTAATATATTATTTAATTCTGTAGAATTATTTTTATTCAGTAAATATTCCAGATGAAATAGTAGAGTTTTTGCTAATATATTATTAAGACCTAATAATTCTTTACACTTTTCAAATACCATTATAGCATTCTCTTATACACATCTAGATGTGTATAAGAGACAGATATTATTCGATTTCTTATGATGTTTTTAAAAAAAAGTTAAAGTATGGAAAATAATCTTTTTTCATTATTTTGTGTTACATGATCGACGTCAATTTATTTATATTACAACTTACAATGGTATTATTTTTTTTAATAATTAAATAAACACGAATTTTTAAAATTTTGTCAAAAATGGACCAATATTTTTATCCTTAAGCTTTGAGATTTCATTTGACTCATATTTAGACAGTCATATTTAAATTACAATGAAAAAAGGTAAATCAATGTCAAATTTTTAGTGCGGCCTGTCTTTGCTGATCAACCTAACTATACCGCTGTTGTAATGTAAATAAAATAAATTTGAAAACCTTAAGAGGACCGGCCTAAGACCAGTCCAGTCCTCTGTTTGAACCGGACTAATTCAGCTCTACTGGTTATTAACTGATTAAGGTTTTTTTTGAATGGTTTCTACCTTTACAAAAGACTAGTATGATTCAAGGATCGTAAACTGCGGGATCTTCATAGGAACAAATATGGTTGTTGAACAGAATTATGATTCTTTACTATCAATATAGGATTTTTTGATAGCCATATGATGATTACATGAATTTTAACCTGCGTTATTGTATATGATTATGACATGAATTTTACATACATTAAAACACTATATTGTATATGATTATGATGTTAATTCATTTTGCATTATAATAGGTATATAATTACAATAATCCTAATACAATAATTACATCATAATTAAATAATAAAATTCATTTAATATATTACTCCTTATTATTCTTATCATGTGATTCTTCCAAACAAAGACTTGATAGTTGATACCATAAAGTATCATCGCTTTATTGAAGACAGTAAATTGGAGAACCGTTATAGGATCAACATTTCCATTTCTTTAAAATCAATCAACTAAAAGAAAGGATTAATACATCCATAATAATCTTTGTATAACATAATTACTCTAATTAATACACAAGATCGTTCATCAAGATTATCAGCATCTCGCTTTGTCAACTCATAATGTGATAGTAGTAACATCAGCTTCTAAACATACAGTACAGTAAATTGAATAGAATCATAATAGTTATCATGATGCTGAATAATAATACCACACATACTTCCTGGTAAACTCTTGTAATTTCAGCTAATAGATTTTCTACGGAAAGAGTAGTTGATAATTGCTCTTGAACTTTAAATTTTTTACATAATCCATGAACTTGAATGGATAAAATTCCTAAATTTAAATTTATAATAAATAAAAAAAAAAAATTTTAAAAAATAAAAATAGGCATAATATTATCAACTACCAAATAAAATTAAAAATCGTTTTTGCAAAATGTAATTTCATTTAAATAATCTGAAAATAAAATATTAATATAAATTAATCGTATAACAAATTAATTCATTAATAAGCTTTTCTAGCTTTTTTAGCTAATTTATACACTTGTGCTATGAAAGAATTTAGAAGTCATGTACTAGTAATTAATTGTCTAAAGATTTAAAATTTTGGTTTAANACCATAAGGTATGTGGTAATGCAATAGGTTCATTTCCAGCGAGATCATTTAAGAAATTTCCAGTGTTTTTTAAAGCTTTAGTAACTTTATTTGATACTTCATCAAATTTTGTTTGAGAATCTAAAATAGATTTATTAGTTACATCAATCCATTCTCTTCCCAAAAAGCTCCAAAGATATTCCATTAATACCAATTCACAGAATTTTTTACTAATTATCATTTTAGTACCTTCAGACCATGCAAAAAGATTATGTTGAAACATCAACATAATTCTCCAATATACATAATAAGATGTTACAGGATATTTAAAACTTAAGCCTTTACGTATTTGAGTAAGCATTGATAAGATTGAACAATTATCATTTGGAAGAGCAACTCCTGCCACTGATAAAATTTCTGGGGTAATATTCAATGCAACTTTAAGTAATTCTTTAGTTCTTCGTATAATTTCTTGAAACCAAGTTTCATCATCACGCAAACTATGTAATGTGTCTCGTAAGTGGATTAATAAGAAGTCAATATTATAATTACGCTTTTTGGTGATAATCTGGTCATCTTGATTGTTGTTTTGTTGGTTAAATTGGTTAAAATTTGGTCTAAAATTATTATCAATTCCTATTTCAAGAACTTGAGTCGTTTTACGATGAATTTCTGCAAATTTTGATAAAGAATTATAAACTTTATCTCGAAGTTCCTTACTAAGTACTATTGGTGAAAAGCATATCCGTTCTAAGACTGTTACCCAAGTTCTTAAATGTAACTCCAATCTAGTCACACTTTGTTTTGCATAAAAATTGAATGGGGTCGGATCCGCCAATGCAACCAAAGTATCTCGGAGAGTTTGAGGTGAAAATTCATTTTGTAAATTTTCAAAAAGTAATTTTAATGCATACAAATATTTTATGTTGGTCAGTTTCTTAATAAGTTCTTCTGCCTTTTCATCGGGAGTTGTAAATCCATCCTCTTCTAATTTTAAAAGAATACTATTATTGAAGAAGTTTTCATGCGAAACCGTTTTATATGAAAAAGCAGAGTCGTGAATTTCTGGAATAATATTGCAAGAAGAACTTCCGTTCTACATAATTATAAAATTATTATAAACTCAATTTTTAATTAATTTTAATATTTAATATTATTTAAAATTATAATTTACCTGACTTGAACTTCCTTCCATATTTTTTTTTTTTTTGTTGTAAAAGAATTGGCGTAAGATTTTTAGGATTAATATTTTGCGTTTTAAATACAAGTTTGTACAACTGCAAGATGACGTAAATTTAACGAAGCGTCGAAGCGTCCATTCAAAAATGAACATATTTAGTATGATTTGTGCAACCAAACAGTTGCACATCATTATTTATTGATATCATTATCATTACTAGTGTTGGAATAAAATTTGTAAATTGTAACTCCAAATACCTGATACGTTTTATTTAAAATTTCTTGTAAAAATTATTTTTTTCTTGTTTGGTCTAGTGTACTATTTAAATTTTTTTTTACTATTATTGTGAAACATTATTAATAAACCTCGTGATCCTAAAATTTAAACAAAAAAAACGTGACAATCCTAATTTAAATTGCATCACGTGATCATTTTCGATAAGATATGTTTAATAAATACGTATAAACAACTGAAGGTTAATAATAACCTTAATTGAATTTTAAATTTTTAATAGTTTATGTTATAACAGAAAATTTCATGTTTGTTGCATATTAAGTATAATAAGTAGCCATTTTTTTTTTGTTTTCTAAGTTTATTAACGCGTAGTGAAGTTATAAGAAATCGGGAAGGTTTAACTTTGTATGATTTTATTTGTTTGTTCTTTTATACAGTATCATATTTTAAAGGATTTTAAGTAGTACCAATATTTTTATTATTGTTGGTTTTAAAATTGGACTAATTTTATTATTCAATAATCTGAGAGTGTGGAAGACTTTATTTGACCTTCTTAATTTCTCATTAATAATAATTTCTTAGTAAAGTATTATTTTGGTGTAATTACATCTAATCTAAATTATAACCTATAAAAATAATAAAAATAATTTTTTTTTTTTAAGAAAAATAAAATAGTAATTACAAAAACAACTAAATAACTTAGCTAATATTATGAAAATAATGTCATTAGATATTATTCAAATAGAGCTTTTACTTCACTTAACTTAATAAGATATCAAAATACATTTTGCGTACGCTTATTATCGTACTATTATCGTACGTGGTGGTACTGTTCACTAATCATTTCCATAATAGTTTTTGACTTTAATAAAGAGGATGATACGATTTTACAGTAAGGACAATTCTGTTAATTGGCGAACATATACGGTAAATATTATTATAATAACGATATATGAAAAATAATTTTAATAATTAGACGAGTAAAATTAATGTATTGAATAAATTTAATTAAAAAATTCATCTAAGTTTCTTTCTTTCTTCGTGTTATGAAAAATTGATAAATAAAGTGAATCATTTGACGATAAGAGCACTACCAGGATTTCAAAAATGTGATAAACTTGGAGCCTGATTTTTTACGTAAATTGAAAAATTATTCATTAATTCTAGAAAATGATTCCTTCAGTTACTCGCAATAATATCGAATTTGAAATTAAATGTATCAAACTATATTCGTCGTCGGATATATATTTTTTAAATAAAAAAGATAAGTTTAATTAAAACTGTTAAAACTGTTTTCATAATATATGAAATGTTGGTAATAGATAAATAATAAAAATGTATAATGAAACAAACAATAATAGATTATTATATTTTAACTTGCCATGTAACATCGAAAGAATATAATTTGTAAGACAATTATTAAAAAAGACTACCGACAAAAGATCGTCCTTGACTTAATATCACCAAGGTTCGCAAAATCTGTCCATAACATTAATGATAAGAAGACCAGCTGTTTTAACATTCCTTAAATAACAACTAATGCTGCAAAGCAATCTCTCACAAAAGTCAATATTGTGAGAGCAGTACGTAATGTGGACATTCTTCTTTATTATTTATGTTAACAATAGTGATTAGGCGATTCTTTCAAGATGATGATATTGATATGCCTAAAAAATAAATTGCAAAAAAATATGAAAGAAAAGCTAACACACAATATGTTATACGTACAATAATACAATATGATATATTACTATATGTATAATTTATTAAAAAAAAAAAGTTTCATATTTATTATTTATTTACGCAAACCGATAGTTATTTATATAATTATTCAATTTAAAGGTTATCAAATATTTATTTTTAATTTTTTTTAAAGTTTTACGCAATTTATATTTGATACTATAACCATTTTGGTAAGAAGAGAAAAGTCTGCACCAAATAATAACCAATAAAATCAAATTCACAGGTCATAAAATATTTATTCTTTTAAAAAGGCTTTTTTTATCTCCAAGTTCTTTAGTAAGACATTTTGGCGAAAAACACACTTTTTCTAATACTGATATCCATGTACGAAACATTTTGTTTTATTCAATTGCTCAATCACTTGAATTTGGTCTTCTTCAGAATCATTTTTATCAATTACTAATCCTAAACCAATTTTATGATATCGTCATCTAAATAATTTCTTTTCTAATTCACAAAAAGTATTTATTTGATGCATCTGCTAATAAAGCAGCGTGAAAATCAGTTATTACATCTATAATAAAATAAACTCATCAGATCACGATGCATAGCATTTGCTGATTGAAATGTAACGTGTCACCATCAACATATTCCCAAAACGAGTAAGTATATTTTCATTTGATTCATCGTACATTTGAAAAAAATTTGAGCGATAAAAAAAAATAATTTATTTGTCAAAAGTTTTAATATGTTTCTAAATTTACTATCATTTTCTTTATTTGTAATTCCATAAAACCGCAAAATATTTTCACGAATATCAACTTTTCGGTGAATGAAATAATATATATAAGAGGATTAATTTATCTGTCACATTTTTTTAAATGATTACAAAGTTTCATACCTCTTTAATATTACTATAAGGATTCAAAGCGAAATAACGAGTAGTATTTTTCCAGGTACCCAAATAATCTTTTTCCTATTTGTTGTATATTCCTAAAGTCAGAATATTCATAGTATTCAATATGTCCTTCGGAAATTAATGATTCTAAATCTTCAATATTGTTTTGACATTTTATTTCATTATCAAATTTTGATAAACAAAAAAAATCATTCGGTTTGACGTTTTATAGTGTGTAGTTGCGGTTAATCCCAGTCAATAATATAAATAGTTAATGTGGGACTATGGGTAATCAAATTTGGAATTAAACCTAATTATGATATTTTCACGTCATCCAAATGTTACAGTCACGTGATACTAAATTTCATGCAAAATAAGAATAAGGCAATTTTGGCCTCAACATTTAAAAGATTATATAAATTCTGGACAGGATTGACCAGAATTAAGATAATAAAGTGGACAAAATCGTTCACACGGAATTAATAAAAAATGGAGATGAGAAATCATAAAAAAATGGAACAAACACGCAAAAATAAAAGAAAAAAAGTGGACAAAAATTGCCCAGTAGCAAAAAAAAAACAAAAAACATGTAATTTATAAACAGCTTAAAAAAACTTTATTGACTTATGTTTTACTTTAAAAAAAAAATTTTTTAATACAATTAATAAGAAACTAGAAAATGAATTAAGATTAGCAAAACATGAAAGGAGATGAAAAAAACAACTTGCCACTCTCTTTCTCATTTACCCATTTATCTAACTAATATGTTCAAACTGCATCCAAATGAAACGTAAAAACATTTCTTAAATCAATTAATAAAAAAAAAAAAACTCACTCACTTCTCCTTTTTAATCACCTTTAAAGTTCAACATGTAAAAGAAATCCAACATTCCTGAACATCAACTTACCACAGCGGGCTGAAAAGACTGGAAAGGAAAATTTTTTTTTTAATCGATTTGTAAAGAAACGTTTCTATCGTTTTATTTCTTGGTTTTTTTTCTAGTGATGCTAAGTTCTTTATAATAAACCCGGACGTTTAAAGGTAAATTAGGAAGGGGAAAGGAATATTTATTTTACTTTAAAGAAACGTTTCTGACGTTTCTTTTGTTCTTTCTAACATACATCAAATATTTTATAATTTACTGATTTCTAATAAAGGATAGAGTGACATACATTATACATTATAATGATTATTATGCGAGTAAAATTATATAATCAACTCTGTCCTATAGTATCTAAAGTAGATGCAAGTTACGCCACGCTATCACTTTTATTACTTTTATCGTAAATTCATGTATGCTAATTAAATAAGTACGAACTCAAATAATATGTGTGCAGAAAAACTGAACCTCATACATTTTTCACATGAAAATTTTACCTGCGCTTCGTTATGAGGAGTTAACAACCGATTTCCTTTTTAGTAACATATTTGCGCAGATTATTTTTATATAATCCTCTTTTGCCAATCATTGTTCATTTGTCATATGAAATCAATGGTAAAAATATATTATATTCAAAATTGAATGAAAATCCTTTTTTCACATAAATTTTAAAAAATTTCGTAACAATATACAGTAACCGCTTTTTTTTTTAAAAAAAAAAAAAAAAAATATTTCTTATTTTTAAAAGCTTTATTTTTAATCGCAAAATAAAAAAAAATGGTATTTTGGAAGATTGTATTTGTTACAATAGCGTTTGTATGGATTATTTATGAGGTTAACAATCTCAACAATAATTTTGATGACGCCAATTATTTCAACAACAATTGCCATGATGATTTCGATGCTTATGACGATCCTTACGACAATTATGACGATTTTTATGACGATTTTTATGACGATTTTTATTATGATTCTGACGATGATTTCGATTATTATGATGGCTTTGATGACTATGATTATTCGGAATATGACTCTGATTGAACTTGTTGCGATAGGAAATAGAGAGAGGCATTAATTTAATTCGTGCAAAAGTAATTTTGTTATTTTTATTACGAAAGATTTCATTTTTTCTAAGCTGTAATTTTAATTAGCCATAACAATACCTTTGTCTTAAATGGTTTTAATGTTTGTGGAATTATTTGTTGGATATTTTTTTTTGATCAAGAGATAAATTACATCACTCTGAATGGTTTGTCCTTTCCTTTTTCACTTCCATGTATAAAATATTAATACTCGTTGATGTATTAATATTGTAATTA